GAGAAGAATGAATGGAATAACCGTGGATCAGAAACTATCTGAGCCAGAAGGACCTAGACATAGGCGTTGACTGACAAAACCTGCCCATGTGTGCAATGGGCCAAACGCTCTGGCGTGCGTCTTGGGCCCCAATATCCCCTGCTTCGGTTCCCTGGTAATCCTGGCATTTTTCATGGCATGAAGTCCGATATTGTCAGTGATATAAATCGGCCAGATAACCTTGGAAATCGACTTTACCAATATTCCAAAGGAATTCTGAATTGGATCTGTATTTTATTAGATACCGTATTTGAGCAATATAGTATTTCCGCACCCACTATTATTAATGCCTACAAAGTATTAGTAACCTTGGGAAGGGGTATACTATACTAGTCAAAAGGGAGAGGGTATGAGCAACGCAATTGACTGGTAGTATACTGCAAACCCTCAGGCTGAGAAGCCCTGGAGTATTATTGAAAGAGTGCCTCTATGATGTTCGGAGAGCATATTACTAGTATTACTTGAACCTGACAACCTTGAAACTTGAAAATGAACTTCAAGTTGAAGAGCGCCCGTACTACTACTAACAGTAGTATGCCCAGGTAATAATGCGAGATATATAATATCCGAGTCCTGCTCCCAAACTTAAAACTTCCAAAGCTCAAGGTGAAGCCCTGGAGTAGTACTAGTACTAGTAGTAGCATCACAATCAGAATTATATTTAATAGACAGTAAAACCCTTAATTATGATGTCACAGGCTTCAAAGTTGAATATTACCACAGACGTACTGGTCCTGGTGGAGAATCCATGCAAGTCCGAACCCCTGAGAGAAAATTGAAGGCCACAAATTCAGAAGCTCCCAAAATTATTGCAAAGCTACCTGAAATTTTCTATTGAAAGGAGCATTGATCAGATGAACGCATTAATAAGTGCGACTGCAAGTGAAATACTGAATATTTAGAATGTGATCAATTTAATGAAGGTCCTAATTACGAACTGATCTTGGCGGTAGCTTCCACTGCAGAATTTATATTTCGGCAGCCGCATTGTTGAATTATACCTAGTATGGATCAAACCATGTGACTTGAGCACCTCGTAGAATAACAGAATATATAACGGGAGAAAGGCACTGGGCCATGTAGAAAATAAGCAAAGCCTCACACCTGGGCAGTAATAGCATTGCCGAACCTTGGAAAGCTGAAAGCTTCCAGTTATTCCGCCATCTGCCACTCAATGTGTTCTGATCCTCCTCTCCTGGGTAGGTCGATTATTTTTGTCTTCTTGTTCGATTGATCTATCACTTAGCCCCTGATTTCGGGGTTCGATATAAAACCTTTCTCCGTCACTCGATTCGGTCACGGTTTTGGATAGCCAAAGGCTGAAATTGACGGTCTCGTAGTCAGAATCGGATGGTCTTGACTGGTATGTCAATCCGACGACGCAGTGAAAGGGTTGCGAGTTTGCCATGGTGATATCATCTGTTTGGCGTTGGGATTACCAAGAAGTGTATTCGTCCAGATCTTGTTCGGCATCCAGGTCTTCGGCCTGGTGCCTATCGGGCCATAAAGGAGTAAATGTATCCGGGTGTTGATTTGTGTTGTCGGGTCCAAACAAAAGAACCTCCCATCAAAAGGACCGTTTCTTCAGTCGCCGCAACAGGTTCCTCGAAAGGCCAACGAAGAAAGCCTCGATGACCATTCTGACAACCCAGGACGTTTTCAAGCCGGTCATCCCACCATCCCAGTATAACTTGATAGCTTTGCCGAGCCGAGACGTCTCAAGTTCTTCCGGACAGATGCGTATGTACTCCAAGCCGTGACGAAGCTCGTATAAAACAGGTCCGGAGTTATCGATCCAGATGGCGGGCTGTGTGTCGATTGATGAGCCGGGGTGATGCCATAATCGATGTCGAGTTCTGCCTATTGACCCTTTCAAGACTTTCCAGGCCAGTCCGTACTCCAGGAGACCAATTATGCCGCCGGTGAAGGACATCATTTCCTCGAAGGAGACGTGGAATTGCTGAGTCCGAGTGCCGACCTTGTAGATACCGGCCGCATCAAATTGAATGGTGAACATCTGGGAATCGATTTAGACCGAGAGCGGATCGTCGATATCTAGCTTCGCGTCATACCTTGAGCATTGGGTATAAATATGAATCGATCTGCAGTCGCTTTTTTTCAACCGAGGTGCACTCAGCCCTTCCAAGGTTGGTATCGTGAAAAACCCCGTAGAATCCTAGAATCTTTAATATCTGGCCATAAGAGATATCATAAAGGAGAATCTGTAACCACCCACCAGCAGTTCGAAAGGATTGATAGTCCTCAGTCATCTTGGTCTAAGGGGTTGAGTCACGGGGGTAAGGGGCAACGAGTTGGAGTATAAGTCTTATCAAAGAGATACTAAAAGTAACTCGATCCATATCCTCGGGAAGCTTGACAGGCGCTCCGCCACCCGCCGAGAGTGCCGGGTACACTAATTTAAACTTTTGACGAAGAATTACCTTTTCGAGCTAGAGATGGCCCCAGTCGGGCGTTATTCGGGGAAACATTTTCTGATGTCGGGTATCAATTGGGCATTGTTTCTTGGTTTAGGCTCCCTCATAGGTCAAAATATCACTCAAAAAGGGGTCGATCAGATGCCGGGACGCCACTGGCACCCAAGAGTTTATTTGGATCGTTATGCACCCCTGCACACGCGCGTCACTACCATCGTAGATCGCAGCACCTGCGGGCCTGCGGCTTTCTTGGGTGGATTCGGGCTTGAAAATTGGACGAGAGGGTGGATGCTCTACTCCGTACGTGGGGATATGGATCGAATGAAAATTTCAAGTTGATAATCATCAAAGTATGCATGTGTGGTATATAAGCAAGTGTGTACAATGGTGGAGTATTTTGAAACCGTTGTCATGTCCATCCCAAGGCGCCATAATAGTAAGACCTCAACCCCATATAGAAAGCAATATACAAGTCCTGACGCCGGAAGATAGCAAATGCACATGAAAGACATAATGGCGGATTCGCCTATGGAGCCATGTTCGTTTAGATGAACGCCACAGTGGTTCTGGTCAGTGTATATCGTCAAAGTTTGTTATCAATCGATACACACGAAAAGGGTTGAACCTGATACGGTGCCTAAATGTTGGGCCTAGGGAGATGCCATTTTTAGGGCGTCATCTCAAGGAGGTAACAATCGGGGATGTAAGCTCGCAGCGGATGGTTCATCGCGTTCCGGTCATCCGATGAAACGATGGAACAGACACAAGAGCCATAAAGGATTGTGTCCATGGGGTCGTAAAACGCGTTGGTGCCAGGCCTCAGTCTACAGCTGGTGAAAAGCAACCCAGTGAGTTGCTAGCCGAGAGCGATTCCGCAACACGGTGTGCGGTGAAAAGAGTGACCCGAGAAGGCAGAGATAGCGCTTGGCCTGGGCCACCGCCACGAAAACCGCACAATAATGATTTATCGAGTCTCGCCCCAGTCCTGCATCTTGACGTTGGTTCCCGGGTGTTCGTGGATTGGCTGTTGCATGAGACCAGAGCGGACAACCGATTGGGAGGGTTGTGGAGGGCCGGTGCCCGAGCGGCGTCTGCGTTCGCGTTCCAGAGGTCCAGGTAGTTCGACGTTGTTGCTTCGGCTGCGGAACTTTTGGTTGATGCCGCTGAGCCAGTTACCATCCTCTTCTTCACCCAGCCAATAGCTATGACCGATGCCGACCATGACGCGACCAAGCTTTCCTTTCCAACCCTGTCCGTCGGGGCTGTAGGCAGAAAAGGGTTCACGGTCAATATCGGCTACACTTGCCATTGAGACATTGCGGCTGTGGGTGGGGAGCGAAGTGTGCTTGGGAACGGCGACCCAGAGACGGAGAGTTTGGCGGGCGAAGGCGAGCATCACAAGGACAAAGTAGACACGCATGGCCCAGAGAAGGGCGATGAAAATGATGCTCTGGAAGCTTTCTGGCTGAGCGACGGCGTTGCTGAGGTGCTCGGCACTACGAGGAGGGTGTGCGATAAACTCGTTACCGTCACTGGTGTGCTGAATTTCGACGTAGGCTGCATCGTACTTGGGGCTGGTGAAACCGGCGGTTTGTGCAATGGTCTCGCTGCCCGGACCGGAGACCTTGCCACCGTCCATATTTTGCGACACGACCAAGAACCAAGTGACACCAAAGGCAGCGGTATAGGCGGCGTTGATGAGGCTGTCCAAGAGATAGAGCCAAGCGAGACCGAGACACTCGAGAGGCGACTGTTTGCGGATGTGGGGGAAAAGTAAAGCGGCGATGGCGAGGGCGACCAGGGAATACAGATACATGGAAAGCTGCACGGGGGAGAGGTGATAGCCGGTCAGAAGGGCGAGCAGGCCATACAGGCCACTGATCTTGTTCAGTAGTAGCGAGAGGGTGATGAGAGACGCGCCTGTCTCCAGGCTCATCACATAGAGAAAGGTCTGCGAAAGTCACGAGTCAGCGGGCGTTGGGCGTGGAAGTGAAGAATCAGGGGGGAGCGGGCCTACCTCTGGCCGCGGAATGCGGAGGAAACGGGATGAGAACCCCATAGTGAAGGAAGAATGTCGATAAAAGGGTGTGCCACGATTCCAGGTCCAACTTGAAGTTGTCAAAGAGTAGGAGGGAGAGATGGCTGGGACCTGGGAGATTATGGGATGCCAAGTGGTCCAGGGGCGCAGACGCTTTCCGGGCAGATCCGCCTTGTCGATCGCTGCCGCATTTCGATCGAATACATCTGCATAATTGTGCTACACTTTAGTAGGGAAATTATGAAATAAAACAAGAATTATCTCATGATCTATTGTAGTCTATAGAGTTGAACAATTTAGAATCACCACAATTTATTATCTACATGTTGTACAATATGACGCGATTCCAGGTGTATGGTACATCTTGTGTGGGGCCATCTCCGCCATGAAGTAACTGCATAGTGCATAGTAGTACTAGTAAATAGTTATACCATGATCCAGTATTGGCGACAATTTTGGAAACACTCAAGTTCAAGTTTGCGCAGCGATTACTCCTTTTCCTTAAAAGGGAGGTTGAAACAAGGTCCAGTACTGTCGCGGCTGGTCGGGACTCCCTCAGCTTTTGATCGTGACATTTCCCGCCGGATTATCTCCATGAGTTCTTCATCTGGTTGAGTCGCCGTAGTTCCCCTCCTCTGCCTAGGTGCCCCTCCAGCCTCTTGGTCGCTTTCCGAGGTCTCTAGTTCCTCACCCTGACCCGGCTCATCAGTATGAAACTGAGGCTGTTGCTCAAGGACCAGAGCTTCGATGCGAGCTTGCATAGCCTTTTCATCCACATCCTGTTTGATCATGGCGTAGTGTGACCTTCTGTAGACGCCGACGGTACTAAGTATCAGGCCGACAACTTCATAGACGAAGAGAACGGGAAGTGCGTAGTAGAGCTGCGGATTGCACCCCCTTGACCAGATGTCGACCAGGACATTGAAAATGCTGTGTGCCGGTAGAGCGTAGCCCACACGGTAAAAGGCGGGCGAGAGCTCAAAAGGGAGAAGAATAGATGTGACGTTCGACACAATCCAGAATATCAACGCCATAGGCACATATGGAGGTGACAGCCAAATCGTGAAAACATCCAGAACAAGGAAGTTCAAGTGGGCAAAAAGCCACAAGGCCATCCACGTTATGACAAATTGGCTACCACCAACATTCCAGCCGTGGCGGAATGCCCAGATAGCGCCGGTGGTACATAAAGAGCCAATGAAGGTGTAAGTTCCCGAAATCATCTGGCGCACAATGGCAATTCGATGCGGGTGGAGCGAGGTGTAAAGTTGGAATTGTTGGTACAGACCATTCACATAACCCAGGAAGAAGAATTCCTGGATTAAGATTAGAATGATGGTCAGCGTATTATAGATCAATCGGGATCCTTGTGTTGTTGCTTGTAGGTTTACCGAGGATAAAACCCATGGATTCGAAAAAGCAGCCAAGGCAGCGGAGTCAGATGTGTTCAATGTCGGGATGATTTGCTTGCCATCCGCTTGCGTATACGCGACTCTTGCAGCTTCCGACAAAGCCTTTAGATTATCGGATACGGCAGAGTCAACAACTGTGGGATAGCGCGCCTCGTTCCAAACCATAGTCATCACACCACTTTTGTTGTAGGAGGCAGCTGCCGATCCGCCTGCAACTGCAGCAGACAAAAGATTCGAAGCGTTGGAGGTGACGTATAGAGCTGCCCAATAGTCGATATCACAAACAGCACCACGAATGCTGGTGGGATCTGGGTATAAGAGAGCAGGTCGCTCAACCAGGGTCGGAAAGCCGGTGCTCGCCATTTGAGTGTATGCGCTGCGCACAGCATTGCCAATGGCCCCGCCATCATAGTCGACGAACAAGACGTTGATGTTGTGGATGTGCCCGGTCTGCTGGAAGAGAGACCCGAAGAGATAACAGAAGAGTCCTGAGAAAGAGAAATTGCAGCAGGAGCAGATTGCTTGTCGCGGCCTTCAGTAGCGCGAGGCGACGCGGCCGAACAGCGGGATCATGAATGCTGGGCCGCTGTTGGCGGGCCCTAGGGTAAAATTTCCCTAGCTTCATGATCAATTGACGGAAATTCGGGACAGTGAACCTTGGCAATATTTCATGAAGATGGAGGGATCAAGTACGATAGTGAATATAGAGAAATATAAGGCGTGTGTGTGAGTCAGTGAGAAGGCTTTTGAATGTAGCAAAGCCCGGCGAGTAGCAAGCAGTGAACGGATCCCGGCCCGCCAAATCCCGGAGAAGAAGTCGGTCAAGTTGATGTGAGCAAGATCATATCGTAATTCTGATGGCGAATTCTCGAATACGAGAGGGTTTATTGGGCTGCCAAATAAGCGGCGGCTTCTTGGGGGTGTTTGAGGGGGGCGTTGGAGGGTCTGGATCTGTCAGCCCGCATTAGGGACCCCTGGTTCGCTCTGCCTGATTCGTCCAGTCCTGCAACCGATGCCTTTATTTTCTCACATGCATACCCTAGTACACATTGAAGATAAATAAAGATCTCAATCAGACAAGGATATAGACGCTAGCCTATGATATCCCAGTAGGATCTACCTAGCCCCTCATCCTCATCGTCATGACTATCATGTCAGTGACTGCTAAGCTTTAGTTTAGAAGGACCAAGGAGATCAATTATAAGCGATTGGCTACCGTCAAAGCATAAACTTCCTGTTAATTGAAGGCGGAAAAATTAGTATCTGGGGCAGCAATATCGAATTGTTGTCTATATGTCAGTCAACACTCCGCAGTTGGAATGAGCACTGGCCAGGTTCAAGCTGGATCCTCATTTGTTGATCGTGGTGTGTGACCTCCATGTGTCCCAGGGTATTACTAGTATAGGATAACATGCTGCTTTTTGTATCGAAAGAGAGGTGTGGGATGTGAATACTGGGCTTATTCTCCGTATTTCTCTTTTACTAGTAAGCAATAGTAATCACTAGTAGCTTGGTAGTTATACCTAGTTCAAAAAAAATCGTATGCTTTTCTCGTTGTTTAAGAATATAGAACAAACAGAAAAGAAGTAATCGAAATTGGCGGGGGAGCAATCTGGATTCCACTCAACTTGAAAACCACATCGTAACTACTAGTAGTACTGTACCAGTAGTAGTATCCAGATCTTAACTATGTACCGAGATAGCCGGTGTTTGGACCCAAGATTCCTCAAGATCCCGTCAATGCTTGTACTGATGTCCCCACTGTTCTCCTGCACAGGTACCGTTGCGACGCAGAGTCTCGGAAGTTCGCACTCATAGATTCCGAGATTTGCACCCTCGTGTTCCAGATTTTTTCGGCGCGGCCGTTCCTAGGGGGCCGCATTTAGCATCGCCACCGAGCTCACGCTCTTTGGACTCGGCGTAAAATTATTAATAGCCCCACCTGGGGCCACTGATTCATGACATCGAATGAATGACATCAATTTTGCTCCGCGTGCACATATTTTCCCACTAGTAAAATCGGACCCACCGTCCCAGAACATCATGGCTTTGACGAGGTTGCAGCCAGGAATGCTGACATGATTACTTCACCTGGAGAAGCATCGGCCACCAGGACAATACCAGAAGAACATAGGTACGTATAGAGAGAAAAGTCAAATCACTGGTAACTTATCTTTGTCTAGAAAATAATAGAATTAAAATAAAATAAGAATCTTACTGACCCCCTATTAAGGCCTCACGAAGCTCGGCACTTAGGCTCCCAAGGTGAAGCCGTCGGGAGGTGGGTCTGGACGGTTAACTCGGCCTCTTTAGCTCCATTTTCACTTTTATGGCCACCTCCAGGGCAAGTTCTGTTTATATTAGTAGATCGCCGCCACCTGCGGAATCTCACTTCCCCTTCTTCATTCAGGTCCATCCGCTATCAGTGCTGTTGAGTCACAAAAAAAAAAACACGCCCACATCACCACGGCCCCGGGGCCATTAATTAAGCTCTAGGACAATCAGAAGATCTGTCGGCCCACCATGAATAGGACCGACGAAGAGCTCCAGCAGGCCGAAGCCGATGTCTCAAACTGGGGCGAGGAAAAGTATAGTGCTTCAGCGGAGGCAGATCGACCCACGACATCAGGCACTACCGGCTCATCGTCTGGCTCAAGCAGTTCAGTCGAGTACGATCCATATGTCCACAGACTGCAATCGCGCAACACAGAGGTGGATCTGGAGCGCCGACGATCGACAACTTCTCAAGCACTCAGCCGAATCGAAACCCAGCGACTTCAACATCAGCTTACGGTTGGTGAAAGCGTCAAATCGAGAGCTTCAAAAACACCTCTGCCGGCTTTCGGCGCTGGCAAGCCCTACCCCCCGCAGCTACCGAATCGTGATGACTACGTTGTGGAATTCGATGGTCCAGATGATCCCCTGTATCCACAGAATTGGCCGCTTTGGACAAAGTAAGTCATGAAGCTCTGTCCGCTGGAAGATGGTATCTAACATTCCGCTTAGGGTATACATTGGTGCCATGCTCGCCTTCACAAGTATTTGTTCAACTTTCGACTCTGCCGTCTTTAGCTCCTCATCTCAAAATGTCTCAAAATTTTTCGGTATTAGCCTCGAAGTCTCCGTCCTGTCAAGTTCGCTATACATCGTCGGATACGCGTCTGGGCCACTCATCTGGGCACCGCTATCTGAGCTCAAAGGCCGTCGTCCAGGAATCGTGTTCGCCATGCTTGGGTTTGGAATTTTCAACACTGCCGTTGCAGTATCCAAAGATGTACAAACTCTTATGATTTGCCGCTTCTTCTGTGGTATCTTCGGCAGTTCGCCATTGGCCGTCGTGGCAGCCATTTTCTCCGACATCTTCAACAACCGAACTCGTGGTGTCGCAATCGCTTGTTTCTCCGGCACAGTCTTCTTGGGCCCCCTCATTGCCCCCTTTATTGGAGGATTCATCAACATGTCTTACCTTGGTTGGCGCTGGACCGCCTACATTCCTGCTTTCATGGGCTACGCTGCATTCCTGATGAATCTTTTCTTCCTAAAGGAGTCCTACCCACCTGTCGTTCTTGTTGAAAAGGCCGCAGAGTTGCGCCGTCGCACGAAGAATTGGGGAATCCACGCCAAGCAAGAGGAAATCGAGGTTGATTTCAAAGAACTGGTCATCAACAACTTCTCTCGTCCGCTTAAACTGCTTTTCTACGAGCCCTTGATCCTGGCAGTGACAATCTACCTCAGCTTCATCTATGGGCTTCTGTACTGCTTCTTGACAGCCTACACTCTTGTCTTCCAGCAGGTATACGGTATGAATGCCGGTGTCGGTGGCTTGCCATTATTCGGAATGGTTGTCGGCCTGTTTCTCGCTGCAGCATACATCATTTTGACTGCCCCAGCTTATGTCAAGAAGCTGGAAAAGAATGGAAATGTCCCGGTTCCTGAATGGCGTCTTCCGCCGGTGATGGTCGCCGGTGCTATGTTCGCTGCCGGGCTTTTCTGGTTCGGCTGGACAGGATTCAACGGTACCATCCACTGGATCGTACCTACATTGAGCGGTTTGTTTACCGGCTTTGGTCTTTTGATCATATTTATCCAATTGTTCAACTACCTGATCGACACTTATCTTATGTTGTAAGTTGACTCTAAATCTGCCCCCACCCCCGTATTTTGCCTCCGATCTAACCTTCAAACAGTGCCGCATCTGCTATCGCAGCTAATACATTCTGCCGTTCAATGGTCGCGGCAGCCTTCCCCTTTTCTCTCGTCAAATGTTTAACGGTATGGGTATCCAATGGGCGTCTACGCTGCTTGGCTGCGTCGCCGCTCTTCTGGTTCCGATTCCGATTGGATTCTACTTCTTTGGCAAAAAATTGAGAATGAAGAGCAAATTCGCTCCTTTCTTTGAGCCAGCACAGGAATCCTGCGCTGTGGAACCTGAAGAAGAACTGGAAAGAAACTGAATGGCTCAACTTTCTTGATGAATGCCCAAAAATGTACATAATAAGATTCCCCCACTCCCACCGAGGAGACCAAAAGATTACTTGAATAATACAACCCAAGATTTCAAATATGAGTATTTTCGAGATGCGATATTCTGAGAATTTTATTGAAAGATTCAACCGCCATCTACCCAAAGAACGAAAATAACTGATCTGTTGCTTTGTGACTCGCTATCATAGCGGCGCCCTAATCTCGATATAGCTAGCCTCCACGAACGGGTCGCTGCCTGAGCTGGAAGCCTAGGCAATTCCCAACCTTTTAAGGTTGGAAGCCCCCCCCCAGATTCTCAGCCGGTGGCCATATAAGCAGCAGAAACTTGAATGCCACCTCGATCAATGATCCTCGGTCATGGCCCATTATCTACATGCCGCCCTAGCCTTGATCAAAACGCCTAACTGGGGATTGTTGCCGACTCCAAAAAAGACCGACAAGATGACAGGGCTACTAGACCTGCCCAGCGAGGTTATTCTGATGATCGTTGGGTATTTACAAACACAATCGCATGAAAAGGGCATCCTGATGCCCTTTTACTGGTTCAGTGATGCATATCGCCAGACTGTCTTCGAACATGATCAGCCGCCTCAAGTGAAGGACCTGCACTCCCTTCTCCTCACTTCGCGACAATTCAAAGCTCTTCTTCAGCCAATCCTCTACCGTGATATCTCTGTACGCAAGTGGTTACGCTGGAACGAGAAAAGACCATTTGACCAGCTTAAATGGAGCCTAGGGAACACTCCCAGCTTGCAGAACCTTATCATTACAGCGATGGTTCCTTGCGTTACGCCTAGCACCATGTATGATGTCAGTGATCTATTTTGGTATCCTTACCTGAAGGATCTCACCATTTCTGAATTCAAGGACTGGGAAGAACTTGAGTTCGAAGACAACGCACACGTTGGTACCTCCGCGGTGGAACATCTGAGATTGATCAGTTGTGGTGCACAAGAAGAGGCTCTGGCAGCCGTGCTGAGCTGGCCAAAGGCTTTAAAGACACTCTCCTATGACGCCGAACAGGGAGAGTGGGGTGGTCATATTGAAGATCAACCCATGAAAGAATGGTCATGTGAGGCCTTTGTTCGAACGCTGCAGCCACAAAAGGAAACCCTGGAGGAACTAGTCATGACAAGACCTCGCCTGGAACATGAAGGGTTATTCGAGGGACCAGCCATTAAATTGGGGGGATTTTTCGGCCTTGAAAGTCCTGCGCATTTTTCACGTTTTTCTTTGTGGTTGGGATGGCTCAGATGGGATCTCAGCACGTTTGCCTCCTAACCTTGAGGTTTTGCAGGTATGGTATGATGACACGGACCTCACGACGTTCTTGCAAGAATCAGACGAGGGGCCGCCCTACGATCATTTCCTTGATATACTCGTCAGAGACAAGAAGCGCCGTTTCCCGAAATTGCACAAGGTGACCGTTCTTACCGATGAGCAGATATATGACAGCGAGAACGATGTGTGTCTGGAGTCTGGACGTTGGGAGCTGCCAACATCGCTTGCGCGTGATGCTGATGAAGCTGGGATAGAGGTCAATGTTTGGCTTGGCTGTGAACATTATTCTTTTCAGCCATTAGGCAATTTTGATGTTTTCCGTTCCTTGGAAATTAGTCAAAATAGTTTTGATACCTCGACGGTCATGTTACGCCATACATGAATAACCAGAGGAGTCGATTCCGATCTATCCCTTACCAGACAAGCCCAAAATCCCCCAAAAACAAATGTAAGACGGATATTAAAGTATTTAGGTTGTAGATTGAGCTTAGTTAGGTCTGAAAGATCTCAAGAACATAGCCATATGCCACCGGTGACTCGCAGTGTTGCGGCCCAAACTACGGACTCGGGGTAGATGATACCTCCAGGGCTGTTCATAGTAGTAGTACTCGTATGTATTCATGGATGGTTAGGTTCCCATTGGCATTACTATCATGATGATCTTGGCAGCTTCCTCGGATGGAATCGAGTAGCGGCCTCAATACAATGGAGATTGAAGGGATTGAACAGGGGGGTGCGTCTCTCACGCTAGGAAGGCATTGAGATAAACTCAATGTTGAGAGCATGCAAGGATGGGAGGGAGGACCGGTTACTCCCCACGGCATGACTCTCGGTTCCCCTAAGGGTGTGTGGGATTGTTTTTTTTAACCAGGGGCCAGGGCGGTATGACCCGGTGTGGTATGCAGGATTCTGCCGGTCATTGCTGATAACCCGCGACAGAAAAAAAGAGGGGAGTGCGGAACCACTACCATTCTTCCTTGAGCTCTGGAATTTTCTATTTTTTTCTGTTCTGGTACTGACCAGCTTCACGACTCAACTAATCTTGCGCCAGAATACTTCACCCGCTATGAGTTCCATCGAAGATGATCCTGTCGTCGCCTCGTACGACGTCTTCCTGACCGACTCCGATGTCTCTCGCTACGTCTTCCAATACATTGACCGACCCGGCAAGCACCCTTACAATGAACGAATGGGCCAAAAGCCGACTGCTCTGCGCATGAAACCGAACACCGGTCTGGTGGAAGTTGATGTCCCAATATTTACCCGCACCACCTATGACGTGAACAAAGGACTCAAATACGGCGATGCGATGAAAAAGAGTCGGATTGCTCGAGATGGCGGCGCATTTGGAATGGCCGGCGGCTTTAGTACTGGTGGATCGGCCAGTGCAGGTGGCCGAGTCAAGTCCGAAGCAAACGCAGATGTCGAGGTGCTGGATAATAGAAAGATGATCGACCCATCGGCACTGGTTCGAACACAGGCGCTTGGTGGTCGCATCAAGCCCCAGGAAGAGGGTGATCCGGTTCACATGCTGGCCGCATTCAAAGGGAGTGAGTTGATTCTTTGCAAATGAGTTCTCGCAGCTATCGGGGGTTTTTTTAATCGACAGATCACTAACAATGCTACCCAGAAAATTTGCATCTTTCTCCGGTTTCTGCAGTTGTTCAATTGCACCCCCAACTACACCATTTAGATGCGATGGACGAGCTGCCCAAGGGCAGGGGTGGCAAGGGCAAGAAGGATGACGAAGATCGCCCGACCGAGGCCGAAGCACGAGCAGTTGATGTCAAAATTAAAGGTGCGGAGGACGGAGGTGCAATGCTTGTTGGCAACCTGGACCTCTTGAAGAGGATGCAAGACGAGAAGTGGAAGAAGTTTGACTGGGTTGACGCCGAGGTAAGTCTGCTGCTCCGTCTCTAAGGTCGAGTGTCCGGTTCTGGTTTCTCTAACGCTTAATTTCCACAGACCGAGGAATCTTGGTATAACTATGAGAACTACATGATGCACCAGAACCCAGAAGAGTTGCCGCAGCTCCAATCCTTTATCGACAGCGAGAACTATTTGGATGGGATGAGTGCTCCGCGTATTGATCCTGCACGGCCTGAGATGACAGGATGGGCCATGAAGCAAAATCGGCAGAAGCAAAGAGAGGGACCATCTGATAGCGAGGATGAAGTATGACCGTGACTGTTATCACGAACAGAAAGAACCTGAAGCTGTAAAAAATTATGAAGCCTTCTTTTGCTAAATATACTGTTATTGTATAAAATACCACTCTTTGTACCAGCACTACCAGGATACATCGGCTGAAATACCTGCTTAATCCCACCCAGCAATGGAGATTACCGTAAAAATGAAGATTACACTGAATAGATCAATCATATCGACGATCTTTGAGTGGCAACACAATGTAGAAAGTTCCAACCAATCACGGCGCGACACCCCCCGATCTCCGCTCGCAGGGTCACGTGTGCTTCCGCGTCGCTCGCCCCGGTCATGTCGGTTTTTTTTCCGCGCCATCCCCTTTCATCAAAAACCTTTCCTTTCTTTATCGATCTTTCCTCTTTTCGCTCGGGTTGAGGGCTGCAGGTCGGTTGAAGGAATCTGGGATTTCACCGTTCGCCTTATCTACCACCCTTCATTTCGTCCTTCCCCGGCTGCTGCATTGCGATTTCTGCATTTTCATTTCGATTTCTATACCCTATCTTTTTTCTAATAATCTTTTCCACTCTCGCCTCTTTATCGACCTACCCCGAAAGCCCTTCATAATCACATACTTGTTCGCCATGTTGTCGCGCGTTGCTCGCCAGAAAAATGCGCTCTTCCATCTTCGGAGGGCCAGCGCCCACCGAACGTTGGCCGCGTCGTCAACGCTGCGTCTCCATTCAAGCTCGACTCGACCAAGCCCAGTCGCCATTCCACAGAGCTCTCAGACACCCGAGCGCCGCCGAAGGTCATCGTTCCAGTCACAACGTAGCCTCGCCACAGCTACCGACTCGACTACCTTCGATCACAACTCCTACATGCCAATGAGCCAGGCCACCCTGAACCGCCTGTCCGCGGTTGATACTTCCTCCTTGGTTATCATCGACCAGATTCCGCAAACCGAAGCAAAGATTTTTCGGAAGATCCGGGGTATGGGAGGCGACGAGGATGAAATGCTTGCGAACTTCGATATGTCACTCAAGGTCGGCCGGTTTGATCGGGCTGCTGCTTTGATCACGCGACTCGCTTCTTATCACCCCATGGGCTCTCTTGAGAACATCGCACTTCATAATCGCTACATGAAGGAAATGGTTGCATACATGATTACAACTCGACAGCATCATATGATCATAAACTTGCAAAGGTGGTTCGAAAGTGAGTTGCCCGCGGCAGGTGTGAAGCCGGACGCGACCACATATGCGATTATGATTCGCATGGCCTTGCGAATGTTGGATGGGCCGAAACGGGATCGGTCGGTCCGTCGGTACTGGAATTTTGCTAAACAGGTGGACCTCCATGAGGATCTTCTTGCAGTTGAAATTCTCACGGATTTGGATCTTGGTGAACTGTCTAGGGTATGTTCATATCTATGGTCCATAACGCCATTTGATGGCCCTATTCTAACCAGGCTATTACTGTAGATTTGCTTTTCCGACTTATCCGAACCTACACTCGACCTTCCAGTTGCCGCAGAAAACGCCACCGAGAACATTGATGATATTGCAGAAGTACTTGCGGCGGAACAAAAGGGCCAGGGCTTAACTTCTTTGAAAGAATCCATGTCTATGTTTACGGATGGCACCCGTTTCACCGTCCCTGAAGATTTCAAAGGAACCGAGGAAGAGAAAATCGATTTGCAAAACAAAATGCGCCAACAGCAACTCGAGGCCGATACCATCAAATCATCTTTGAATCGCTGGCGCGCGGAATTTGAGGCCAGGACCCAAGCCGGTGTGGATGTGGCTTCTGCAAAGAAAAATATCAATTCCGTGATCAGCCAATGGCATGGTAATCTTGTCTTGAAAATCCAGGAAGAATTGAGACTTGCCGCTGAAGAAGAAGGGAAGCCGATTCGTACCGAGGAACAAAAAAGGCGCATGGAATACTGCGTTTTCTTGCAATCAATGACCAGTGACCGGCTAGCTGCCTTGACTATCATTTCTGTCATGTCTACGTTCACCCGTGGAGGCATGGAGAAGGGTATCAAACTCTCTTCAATTGCTTCAACGATTGGCAAGGAAGCGCAGCACGAGTTGATTGCTCAAGCTGTTCTGAAGGAGCAAGAAAATGCAACCCCCCACCGCATGAAGTTGCTGAAGGAGATGCTCGCAGGCCGCAAGGGCAAGGATGGTCGATCGCGGTGGAAGGCTGTCAGTGAAAAAATGCTGACCGAAAATGAGACTCTTTCTTGGACTCCTCGAGTTCAGGTTCGAATTGGCGCAGTTTTGATGGGTCTTCTTCTCGAAATCGCCAAAGTTCCTGTTCGAACCACCGACCCGAACACCGAAAAAACGACGAGGTCAATGCAACCGGCATTCAACCACTCTTATCAAATTTCATACGGAAAACGCTCCGGTCTTATTCACCTGCACCCTTCCCTTGTCAAAATGGCAGTACAGGAGCCCCCGGCCGATCTTCTAGGCCGTCATCTTCCCATGGTGTGCAAACCGAAGCCGTGGACAGGATCGAAAGAAGGAGCCTACATGGTTTACAAAAGCAACTTGATTCGTTCGACACCGGGTGAAAATCTGCAACCAAAGTATATCGAGGCAGCATTGAAGGGGGCTGGTCTAAAGGATATCCGGAAAGGCCTGGATGTTCTCGGTAGCACAGGTTGGGTCATCAACCGTGATGTATTCAACGTTATGCTAGAAGCATGGAATTCTGGCAAGCCAGTTGCTACACTGGCACCCCTCGAGCCCGATCTAGCCGCTCCAGAAAAACCCGATTCCAGGGCTGGTCCTGCTGCTGAGAAGGAATGGCAACTGCGGATGCGTGAGATCGAGAATTTGCGGTCAGGATTCCATTCGGTGCGATGCTTCCAAAACTTTCAACTCGAAGTAGCTCGCTCTTTCCGTGACGAGACGTTCTACCTCCCTCATAACATGGATTTCCGAGGCCGAGCATACCCATTACCTCCTTACCTCAATCAAATGGGAGCCGACAACTCGCGCGGTCTACTCATGTTTAGCAACGCTAAACCCCTGGGTGTCAGTGGTCTGCGCTGGTTGAAAATTCAAATCGCAAACTTGTCCGGCTTCGACAAAGCTAGTATGTCAGAACGTGAGCAGTTTGCAATGGACAACATCGACCTTATCATTGACTCGGCTGACAACGGTCTGCATGGAAAACGTTGGTGGCTTAAAGCAGATGATCCGTGGCAGTGTCTCGCTGCTTGCATTGAACTCCGAAATGCCTTGCGCTATTCCGACCCAACCGAGTATCCGTGCCGTCTCCCAGTCCACCAAGATGGATCTTGTAACGGTCTACAGCACTATGCTGCTCTTGGTGGTGATATCATCGGTGCGAAGCAGGTCAACCTCGAACCTTCTGATCGGCCCTCTGATGTTTACACCGGTGTTTCCGAGTTTGTGAAGGAGGCAGTAGCCGCAGATGCTGCTAGGGGCGTTGAGATCGCCAAAGTTCTCGACGGAAGGATTTCTCGCAAGATTGTGAAGCAGACCGTCATGACCAATGTTTATGGCGTGACCTTTATGGGTGCTATGAGACAGGTTCGCAAGCAACTTGTGGACCACTATCCCGAACTCCCAAGTGAAACCAAGAAGACTGCTGCCCTGTACATTGCGCGGAAGATCTTCGAGGCCCTGGGTACGATGTTCAATGGAGCTCACGATATCCAGTACTGGCTGGGTGACTGCGCCAGTCGAATCACCCAGTCGCTCACACCCGACGAAATAGAATCCTTGGCGAACCAGGCTTTGCTACCTAGTGAATCCGGGAAAACGGATGCCAAAAACCTCGACCCAAGCAAATCATTCCGCTCGACCGTCATCTGGACCACCCCATTGGGCCTCCCAGTTGTTCAACCCTACCGCACCCGAAAGGCGAGACGTGTATCGACTACCCTCCAGGACCTCAGCATTGTGGATCCAAGCTCAAATGATGTGGTCTCAAAACGCAAGCAGCTTCAGGCATTCCCTCCCAATTTCATTCACTCTCTTGATGCCACACACATGATGCTTTCTGCCAATGCATGCCATGAGAATGGTCTCACTTTTGCTGCTGTTCACGATTCTTTCTGGACCCATGCCTGTGACATCGACAATATGAACAGCATTCTACGTGATGCGTTCGTGAAGATGCATTCGGATGACATTATCGGGAGACTTGCGGCAGAGTTCCGAGTTCGTTTTGGCAAGAACTTGTTCCTAGGCAAGGTGAAGGTCACCGGCAAGATCGGAAAGAAGATCCGTGAACGCCGTCAAGGCCTGGCCAAAAACTCGAAAATTGTTGAGTTGCTTGACGAGCACCGACGACAGACTCTCCTGCGGTCCAGTGATCCAGCACAACGAGCCGAAGGCCAAGAGATGGTCACATCGGCTAGTATCTTTGAGCAAATGGGCGGAACCCAAGAGGACCTTGTCATGTCTGGCTCCTTGGGAGAAACCAAAGTTGGCCATGTTCCAGAGAATCTGTCCGTCGCCGAACGCCGACCAGGTGCCAAGGCTGTCGACAACAGCGACCCAGCCATCCAGAGTCTGTTCGAAGACATTGAACTCATGGACTCGGAATCTGGATCCATGGCCGAGGCCGAAGATGGAAGTGCTCCCGCTAAGAAAATTAGCAAGAAGTACTCGGAGATTTGGTTGTGGTTGCCCATGTCATTCCGTGATGTTCCTACCAAGGGCTCCTGGGACGTTTCGCGCATTCGCCAGAGCGAGTATTTCTTCTCCTAAGTAATTTTCTAGGAGTCTCATTTGAACGCATTTGACTGGCGCCTTGAATTCACTCTAGCTTTCTTTTGGCGTTTTCTGGACTGTATCTATACGTTTTGTTTTTCTTGATGGCTGCCTGGGTGCGGACTCATCTATTGCATATATGTACATTACGCGCATTACGAGGGGACAGAGAACGGAAAGTAAATAAATATGCATATAATATCATTCGATTCACGTGTCTGAAAGTTTTGTTCGATATATGGACGCTAATCAGGCTGAGTCTACGACGCGGAGTTGGTCATATCGGAGGCGACTCGGAATTGCCCACTATTAGTAGGGCAAAAGATTCTACACCCACCTACTAGATGTCCTCATAGTTGAATTTCTTTTGCCTTTCACACCTGGGCAGTGCCCTAGGGTGGGGGGGCCTGAAAGCTAATCCCCGGACGGCCACCGGAACAGGCGGGCGCCGTGCACCTGCTTGATTCCCAATCTCACGGTTTCGACTCCCATTCGGATTCATTGCTCTGTTCATATCGTCCATCTCTCATCATGTCCTCGGCACCAACTCTCATCTTCGTCCATGGGGCCTGGCACGGCCCAGCCTGTTGGAGCAATGTGACCTCGCAACTGCAGCAACAAGGTTATCGATGTCTCGCCCCGCAGCTTGAGTTCTGTGGCACGCAAGAACCAGTACAATCTCTGGCAGGAAGCATTGGTCAGGTTCAAGATCTAATTGCGGCAGAGACTACACAAGGCAACAATGTTGTTCTTGTCAATCACTCATTCGGAGGCTGCGTGGGAAGCAGCTCTGTGAAAGGCTTCACTCAAAAGGACCCCTCCAAGTTGGGTCCTGGCTCCGGGAAAGTTGTGGGAATTGTCCAGATTTGTGCCTTCACGCCTGCTTCCAAGACTGCACTATATGACATTATCAATCTCGATACTCCCTTCCACCATTCCGGCCCTGATGGATGGGAGTTGATCGATAATGGGGAACCCATCGACCTCTTCTACAATGATATCTCCCCCGAGGATGCGCAGCAGTGGAAGGGTCGACTACTCAAGCATTCAAGCGCTTCCTTCAAGGACCGGGAAAGTGTCTATGCTGGCTGGGCTGATGTCCCCGTATGGTACCTTTTGTGTACTCGGGATCAAGCTATCCCTGTCCAAGTGCAGGAAATGATGGTCGCAGCAGCACGAGATGCAGGGGCAGACTTCACTACCAAGTCCTTGGATGCATCACACAGTCCATTCCTAAGCAAACCTAATGATACCGTTGGATTTATTCTAGAGGCCCTGGGAGATTTCGACCAGAAATCATCCAGGTCTTGATCCTGTAATGTTTATGTTATTATTGTCTCTTGTCGTATAAGAAAGTTACTTATTTCATGATGTAAAGCCATTCTAGCTCATATACTAGTAATCAAGCATAAACTCGTTATTTTTGAGTTGTTGGTTCTTCCCTGGGTCCATGTTTACCACTCAATCGAGGGTACATGATCAATTTGATAGACTTAGAAGCTGCAACTTGAAGTAACTTGGAACGTGTACACCCTCATATAACTACCATTTATCTTATATGAGATGATGAAAATGGCGACGGGATTCCTTTTCGATCGGAAAACGGGTTATTAAAAGGTTTTCGGTGCACGTATCGAAGCTTTGGAGCATTGCGATCCTCTCCACGTTTTACATACTACTGGTAGCAGCCCCCCCCAGACAAGCCACGGCTGAGATATCGATCATTTTCATCATGATTGTCCTCTCCAGTGTATATAGCTGGATCGTATACTACAAGTATAAGAGTCTAGAATGAGGTCTTCAACTTGGCATGCTAGTAGTAGTACATAGATGAATAGACCTGCAGCAATCCAAGTCCCTTTGGTAGTATAGGTATGTTATAAAGCGACTCTTGGACTCGTCTGCCTACGCCCTCAAGATATGAGGGGTTAAATTTCGACTGCTTTAGAAGCCTAATGTCGGAGTATCTATAATAGTAACAATGAGCTTGCAAACAGCGGCAAACTCCATGGAAACTGGAATGACCAGTGAGGAGATTGGAAATGGCGTCAGGAAAAGAGAATTTGAAAGCTACACAATTATTGGCCTGGTCTCTACGATCCGAAGAAAATCTAGGTAGAGGGTATGGGTAGGAAAAAGAAGCATTCTGATGTCATTGGATCGCCAGCTGCCAAAGGTGACGGCGTGGATAAACCAGATCCAGCGAAGACCAAGAAGAAATATCAACTTCTTTCGACCGAAAATGAACAGTCACGTTCTGCTACCTCGATGTTAGCCCCAGCAATGTCAAATGAGCTTGTTGTCATGTTGCAAAAACTGATAGAGAAACCAGAGAAACACGATACTGAAATGATGGTGAAGAAGAAGAAGAAGAAGAAGAAGAAGAAGAAGAAGAAGAAGAAGAAGAAGAAGAGAAAAAGCGGGAGGAACATGATACTGAAGTGGTGATCATGATGAAGCAGGAGGAACATAATACTGAAATAAGGAATGATTTGAGGACGATGGAGAAGAAGCAGGAGGAGGAATGGCATAAATTTATGGATGATCTAATGATAATGATGAAGGCTACCCTGAAAAAGCCTCCCGGATTTCATTAACAAATTGAGGTCTACTATGCATTTGAGTCATCGAGTCACGGTGTTCATGGGGTTGTGATACGAGAAAAGAGGACAATTTTGCAGAGAGGTGATTAGTTCTAGTTCTGTACAGTGCTCCATAGTGGTAACCGGCTCAGTAGTAGCCACTGATCCAAGCAAATTTTGTACCTTAGGGCACTAACATCTCAATACACATCTCAAATATCTATTCGGCTTTCGAGTGGACCTTAAAGTTCCCTAGCCCTTCACTTAATCCATATAATCTTAGACCTGACGGACGCTGAGACGGTTAGTCTAAATTGCGGAACTACTAAACTGATTGCCGCTATGGAGCGCCGCAATTCCCCTGGAGGAGGTTGTGATTCAGCAAATTCAATAATTGATAGCCTGGTATGCTTTATTGGCTATGATGTATACAAACCTTACCAATATTGTTGAGTTGTCTAAACTAAAAAGGTTAAGAGCCCCCAACTCTGCCAGTCGGTACATGCTAAGCAATGGACCCCGCCTTGCTTCCCCGCATCTAGGTTGCACTGCGGTCTCAGGCTCCCTTTCTGAATTATCTCGGCAGAGGCTGGTTGACAATAAATATCACCTTCGCACTTATTGGTCTCTATTAAGAACACATCTCCCTGGTTTCCTAGGATAGACAAGCACCTCATATCATTTTTAGGTATTTCCTTTGCTTCCACGGTACTTTAGAGAGAGAAATATGCCCCCACAACAGTCTGTGGAAAAGGTGCTTGATACCGTCTCTCGCCATTATCGAGGCCCAGGAGGGGCTATTGCTGTTATCAAAGATGGAAAACTCCTTAGTCAACGAGTTTGGGGATATGCCGATATTGACCAGCGGATTCTCCTGACTCCAGAGATTCAAATGCCCATTTGCTCAATCACTAAGCAGTTTGTGTGTGCCCTGCTCCTTGATCTCGAGCGCAACCCACCACCAGAAGTGGCCGCCAAGGGGGACATCCAAACTCAATTTACGAACAAGCTTTATGAGTTGCTTCGCCCTGAATTAACCCAAGGTACTGGTCTGACGCTTCAACACCTGTGCGACATGCAGTCTGGCATACGCGACTATTGGGCCATGACTACACTCTGGGGTGCACACCCTGAAGACAAATTTTCAGTTGAAAAGGATGGCCCTGCGGCGATTGAACGGACACGGTCTTTTCATTTCCAGCCTGGAGACGAATACTCCTATTGTAATGTTAACTTCTATATTACGGCACGCGTGATTGAACAGGTTACAGGACAGCCTCTTGGAAAATTGCTTGCCGAGAGAGTGTTGTCTCCTGCTGGAATGACGACCGCATTACTCTGTCCTGATACCGCCCAGCACCCAGGGCCATGTGTTGGATACGAAGGGACGGAAAAAACCGGATACAAATCCGCGGTCAATCGGATGGAATGGTCTGGAGACGCAGGCTTGGTAGCTTCTCTCGCGGACATGGTCGCCTATGAAAAATACCTGGATCACATTCACTCAGATCCACAAAGTTGGTATAGCATTGCAATTCAGCCGCAGACTTTTAATGATGGCACTCCGGCAAAATACCACTACGGACTTGCCCATGTTGATGTGGAGGGCATAAATACCGTGGGCCATGGGGGTGCTTTGCGCGGGTATCGACTTCACCGACGCCATGTACCAAGTGAGCACTTGTCTGTTGTGGTCTTGTTCAACCATGAAGCCGACGCATCTGCGGCTGTCAATGATGTGATCAGGGGAGTACTGGGTCTAGAAAAGCCCAGTAGGATGGATATTGCTGCAAGCTTTGACTGGATCGGCACATTCCTTGATCGTGACTCGGAAATAGCAATTGCCGTGAGTAAAGGGGCACAAGCTGGGGAAATTTGCATCAGCTACGCATTTTCCCCTGATACCGAGGTCGTGAGGTTGGTCAATTTCAAAGAAGCTCAGTCTAAATCAATGACTGCACGTATCATGGGAGACACTCTATATGTCGATCGCATAGGGGATAACCGAAAGCTAGAAGCTCGACGGATCGTGCCTCGCGAAAATGCACGTGAGGATATCTCTCTCCAAGGAGACTATAGCTGCGCTGAAGCCGACTCGACCTTTCATTGCAGCGGCGGGGCAGGGCTTTTTTATGGCTCTTTCGATGGGTACTTGGGTCGCGGGCCAGCAAGTCTGATGAAATATCTCGGTGATGATGTTTGGGCGTTGACCTGCCAGCGTGGCCTCGATGCACCTGCACCCGGCGATTGGACTTTGGCTTTTCAACGCAATGAAAGTGGCGCGATAGTAAATTTCAGAATTGGATGCTGGTTGGCTAAAGGTATCGTATTTGTCAAGACTTAGCCGGCAGCAAGCGGTGGTCAAATTATATCAATTCTCCAACTCACTACAGGGCCTGAACTCTTGTTTCGTTTCAAATAGATGTACGTACCTACCTATGTAAATAAAAGGATATCCAGCAGGATGCCGTATACTATCCTGCAGCCCTGGAGGTATCAGCCCTTTGACCTTTTCTAAAAATGACAGTGGAACCTGTTCCAGTCCGAATTTCTTACCTGTGCCAACCTGAAGTAGAATGAGGATTGATGCATGATTGCTGTTAGTTTTCCAGACCGCTTGTTAGGTCCGGAAATTAATGATCTACATAACCTTTAGAATCCAGCGAAGATATTATGGCTAAAATTGCTAGCAACTGCGTCAGCGGATTCGATGGCGGTCTCAAAACTGGGTATATCCCGGGGGAACATCCGGAACCCCACAAACACCATAGCCGGATTTAGGCAAAATGGCTTAAAAGCCCGGGATAAGGTTAGACTGACCCCGGGAGAACCCCCTTAGAACAACCTTGGAAACGATTCAACTTTCTTCTGTTGATCTTAAGAAGCAGGAACAGCTCTTAGTCAGAATTAGTGCCGCGAAGATTAAATTTGATCATCATCCGATGCTTTTGAAGAGAACAGGCATATTTAAGTTGGCAAACAGTGCGGTACTAACAGTTGTAGTAGTTTCTCATAACCTTGGAGGCCTCGGCAAATGCTCAACACTTGTAAGTTGACTGCCGGCGACTAATCTGCATGCCACAGAAACTGGTGCATATGAATGCCCTGGCTAACAGTACTAGTACTAACTAGTAGTTAGCAATAGTAACCTAGGTATGTTAAACTCGGAGAACGCACTTGATTTCGAGGCCTCTGCCTCTTATTTTTGAGTAACTTTTTAAGCTAACTTCTTCTGTTTTGATACTTAAAGTGAAAGCAACTTGAATAACCGTATAAATAGTAGCTACTGCAAATGTAGATCAAGATGTCACTCTGCCGAGTCCGGTAAAATACCCGGGGCTGTAAGCGAATGTGCAAAGGGATGCACTCCGCAATGAAACCCCAGTGCAGGTACCACTCCCCATCAGTCCGAACTATGATGATCAAAGCCATAATTGCCACTTGCATGATTACTCTAGTTTTAGTAAGTTCGTAGACCCTCAGCTCATGCTAATACTAGTATTGCATCCACCTCACCCTAGCATACCATACGATAATACCATACGATACCACGTGCCTCCCAGGGCTGCCAATGGTTCCCCCGCTTCTCCAGATTTTCCCCCTCGCCATCTTGCAGACCCTGAAACTCTGCACTTCTTCAGTTCACCTTACTGCCCTAACTATTCCTGGGAGGCACCCTCTAGAGATCCTCTGCAAACAATTCCGACTGAATCCTCGGTGCTCGGGTCTGAGACCAAGGATCGGATCGCCTCGTTGCCTCCACCGCCGTCCGGGGTACCTCTCTGTTACTCAACGATCTCACCTCCATGTCCTGACGCTTTCTTCAACTCTCGTGACGCAGTGGCTAGGAAGCAGATACCACGTTGATATATTCGGCTCCATGCTGCTCGAAGCCTAACTCTTCGGAGAAGCATGTCGACGGCCCCCCTCCGATCTGTCGCCAGTTCCTACTCCCCTTTCTCGGCTCGGTCGCAAACCATTCGAATGGCCCAGTCGCAAACCCCCGGTCTCGATACTCTCGCAGAAGGGTCGCAGTATGCCTTCGAGCAACTGCAGCTGGCACGCCAAGCTGGCACGGAATCGAATACCTCAACCGAACCCGAAGCGCTGCCATCCTACAGCGAACAAAATGACTCCCGTATAGCCGCAAGAGGGTCATCGCAGCCGCGCGACAATCTAGCGGAAGCTCGATCAACCATACGCAAATCCTCGTCCGCGACTCCAGTTCGTCGAAGAATAAGTCGAGCCTGCGACCAATGCAATCAGCTGCGCACCAAATGCGATGGGCAACAACCCTGCGCGCACTGCCTCGGTAGTCTTTTTCCACGATCAGAAACAATTGTGGCCGCGCTAACAAATTTCAGAGTTTGGACTCAGTTGCGAGTACGCCCGAGAGCGTAAAAAACGGGGGAAAGCCTCGAAAAAGGATCTTGCGACATCAGGCATGAGTTACACCGACAAGAAGATCAAAGATAATGTTTCTGTGCAAGCCGATTCTCCAAATGGTCAATCTCAGGATGCGAATGGACCGTACGATACGGCCTTCGATGCCGCACGGGCTATGCCAGGAACTACCCCGGCCCATCTACGAAACTCTAGCGCCCCTGAGATCCTGAGAATGCAGCAGAACTCACATTCGCAGCAATCCACAGCATCAAATATTGACGGCATGTCTTTACATTACGGCAATACGTCCGAGCCGAACCGTCCACCCATTGTCCCTGATCTCCGCTCACTACAAATGATGCACCAAAATGGCAACTCCCGGTCACCATCCACATTACTCAATTCCCAAGGATTCGGGTCAAACTACAACGATGGAACATATAACTTGATGAATTCTCAAGATGCAGGCAATGCCTCGATCAACCAATTCCGGATCGGTGGAACGACAGACAATCAATCCGCGCCTTTCTTGGGATTTTCTCCACCGGCCCAATCGCCTAGCTGGCTTCCCTTACCTTCGCCGTCACCCGCAAATTTCCCGTCTTTCAGCATGGCTCCATTTTCCAGTTCATTAAGATACCCCGTCTTGCAACCCGTACTTCCTCATATCGCTTCAATTATCCCCCAGTCACTCGCATGTGATCTGCTGGATGTCTATTTTGCCAGTTCATTCTCCTCCCATCTCTCACCACTATCACCTTACGTCGTTGGATTTGTTTTCCGCAAGCAATCCTTCCTTCACCCAACAAAACCCAGAATGTGCAGCCCTGGCCTACTTGCTAGTATGTTGTGGGTAGGCGCACAGACAAGTGAGGCTGCATTCTTGACATCACCTCCGTCTGCGCGTGGGCGGGTCTGCCAAAAATTGCTGGAGTTGACTGTTGGTCTACTACGGCCCCTTATCCACGGACCCGCCACCGGAGAGGCGTCCCCCAACTATGCAGCAAACATGGTCATCAATGGAGTGGCCCTTGGAGGCTTTGGTGTCTCCATGGATCAATTGGGTGCACAGAGCAGTGCGACAGGTGCGGTAGATGATGTTGCGACTTATGTTCATCTGGCTACCGTTGTATCGGCCAGTGAGTACAAGGCAGCGAGCATGCGCTGGTGGACAGCTGCATGGTCTTTAGCACGAGAACTCAAGCTGGGTCGGGAGCTGCCGCCAAATCCCACGTCTAAGCAAGATGGCGAGCTAGAGCGTGAATCGGAACTCGACATGAATGGAATTAAAAAGCAGTCGTCATCGCTTTTAAATACCATGAACAATGGGACTGGTAGCTCGGCAGTCAACCTGACCGAAGAGGAACGTGAGGAGCGCCGTCGAATCTGGTGGTTACTATACGTCATGGACAGGCATCTTGCCCTTTGCTATAACCGCCCTCTTACATTGTTGGATAAGGAATGCGAAGGGTTACTTCAACCAATGAATGATGATATCTGGCAGGCGGGTGACTTTTCAACCGCCAATTACCGACGCGCTGGCCCAGCATTTGAGTGCACCAGCCACAGTACATTCGGCTACTTTCTACCTCTCATGTCTATCCTCGGAGAAATTGTGGACTTACAGCATGCTCGAAATCACCCGCGGTTCGGCCTTCATTTCCGCAACAGCGGCGAGTCAGAAATCCAGGCGATGGAGATCACTCGGCAGCTAGATGTCTATGCACAGAGTTTGAAGGAGTTTGAGGCTCGATACACTAGCTCTCTGGCTCTCGGGACCGCCGATAACGATGCGATTATGGAAGGATCCCACCTCAACCATGTCAGCCCTTCTGGGCGATCAAGTAGTACGGTCGGCTCGCATGCGAGCCAGTCCATCGTGCATACCAAGATGGTTGTCGCGTATGGCACGCATATTATGCACGTATGCCATATTCTCTTGGCTGGCAAATGGGATCCCATCAATCTACTTGATGACAACGACCTCTGGATTTCATCCGATTCATTCATCTCCGCCATGGGTCATGCGGTTAGTGCAGCAGAAGCCGCCTCCGAAATTTTGGATTATGACCCAGATTTGAGTTTCATGCCTTTCTTCTTTGGCATTTATCTGCTACAAGGGAGTTTCTTACTACTTTTGACGGCCGACAAATTACAAGGGGACGCTAGCCCGAGTGTTGTCAGGGCCTGCGAGACCATCGTACGAGCGCACGAAGCTTGTGTTGTTACTCTCAATACAGAGTATCAGGTAATCCCCCCCTTTTCTTGGTTTCTAGGTCTCCGTAATCCAAGCTAATATTTCTGTTTTCAGCGGACCTTCCGAAAGGTGATGCGCTCAGCTCTTGCTCAAGTCCGTGGTCGTGTTCCCGAAGACTTTGGTGAGCAGCAACAACGCAGACGGGAAGTACTCGCGCTCTATCGCTGGAGCGGAGATGGCAGTGGTCTTGCACTGTGAGGACTGGTTATTTGGCTACCAGGATTGATTTCCTCCGTCCTGCCTGCTAATCTGTCTGCTGCCTAACCCTTTGTGGGTGAAGAACACATTCATATTATATTTTCTGTATACTATTGTTGCTTTTACTTGGATGCTGGACATACATACATACCCAAGGCGCAGGAGGACAGGGTTTATTTATTACATATTATTGATTCACGCATATGGAATACCCTTTCTTGGAAGTTGGTATTAAACCCGGAACACCATGCTAAGAGCTCAGCGGATAGTGTAGTGGCTAGCTTCCCTACCATCCAGGCCAAACCTGGAGGGCCCCCAGGCGGAGTCCGCTAAGTATAGTTATCCCTGGGCTATACATGAGCCGACAGGGGGGTGGGTGGGAACACCAGCTCCAGATCTCCCAGGGGCACCTGGGAAGGATGGGGCAGGGTATCATTTTTTTTTCTATAATTTTTTTCTGCTGATATTTTCAAGAGCTATTTGACCCGAATCTGCTCTTTTTATCTTCTTTTAACTATGTTTAAGGTGTAGTTTAGAGCTTGGAAGTATTGTATGTTGTGATCTGTATTTACCTGAGGTCCAACTTACGTACTTTGAACAACTCTTGGGAACAGCGGTACATGGCCCCACTTTTTCCGGGTACGCCGAGGTTGGCGGTTCGAACTACGCGCGTGTCAATTTTCTTCTTGCCTGGCCTAACTACTACAACCTCCTACACCATCCCTGAATCCATAATATCAAACAAAGCGACCTGTTTTCCGTGCCCATTATGACTACCAGTGATCTCGTGTACTCTATTGATCAAGAAATTGCTGGTTTCTTCGAGAAGACCGCAGCGACTCGTTTAGAATGTGACACTTTTACAAGCGAACGTCTTGGTGGGGACATTGTTCCGGTGGCCGTTTAAGGTGTATGCAGCTATACCGTCTATGCCGGCCAACTAAGCATGGAGATTGCAAATCTCGCTCGAAGCATCTACGGCCAATTTGCACCCGAAGTGTCATTTCTGGGGCAAATCGGAGAAGTAAACGAAAGCAAAGAACCGCTTCAAATACACGTCATGAGTCGAGTACAAGGCATTAGTCACTTCGATTTTGTCCTGGCACACAACAGCCAGGTACCTGAGAACTCACCCAAATTTTCTTCGTGGCGCAAAATTCTTATTATTGATATCGCGAAGCATGCTGAGCGTGCTCACATTCTTGTTACAGAAACACCAATTTGCTAATTACATGCCATACGAGGTTCTTTAGTCTTTCGTGGAAAAACCCTCAACTTGTTGATCAAGTGTACCGCGACTAATTGTACTATCGATACAAAGAAGAACTTGATTTACTTCTTGTTTCTCTCCCAGATCGCTTCCACCCGGTAATACAAAGTCTTTCGACTTACTACCGGCTATTTTTTCTCTTCTCATGGTGCTAATCCACAGAGACTTTGGTGTTTGCAACTTTATTGTGAATGAAATGACTTGCAATTTAGTCGGGGTGGTGGATTGGGCCGAAGCAGAGATTGCACCATTTGGCTTGAACCTATACTCTCATTATCGACTAATAAGTAAAATCCATCTCAAAAATAGTTGGTCCCGTTATGACGATTATGTCACTTTGGAGGTTATTTTCTGGAGCACATTCATCGAAGATACTGGAGGGTTGAGTAGCGACACAATCAGAGCCATCAAAGCAGCAAGAAATGTAGGACTGCTACTATCTCGTGGCTTTACGAGTCGTCTCGTGAATATACCGGAGCCAGTACCTATTCAGGATAATAAAAACGGAGCATATAACATGCGTGATCTCGATGGGCTGTTAATTAATCTAGTCACAAGATTTACAGATTTGGTATAGATGATGAATACTGGAAATTGGATAGGAAAAAGGGACCAAGGATTGAACTTTGGAATAACCAAAAAAAAAAGACATTCAAATAAATATGCCCTTCATATTGCATGATTTGTGCTCCATGCCGCCAGCCCCTAATCAATTAATGGCTAGAATTATCAACCTACAGTCTTGGAACCAAGAGATTCATCAATTGCGGAAATCGCATAGTTCAGAAACATCGCGCTTTATATTGTACATAAATTTAACATCATATATTATCCAATTGGGGCTCTTTAACTCTGGTGCAAAGGATATGAAATCAGGCAGTATCACGGCCAGCTATACCCATCCGAGGGCCCTTCTCATGAGACTCAAGACATCTTGAAAAGTATACAGAGAGCTTGGAGGTGACCGAGAGTTTCTTAGTATTCTCTTGGATATTGATAGAAATCCCTGCTGTTCTGCTATATCTGCAGCAGTATTCCCATCGTGATCATTCGAGAAGGGATTAGAACCAGCTTTCAAGAGTAGCATCACGACGTCCACATTGCCTTCTGCCGCCGCCCAATGTAAAGGCGTACGCCCAAACATATCCTCTTTTGTCAAATCTGCCCCTCCACTGAGAAGTATATTGGTGATATCCGGGTCTTGAATCAAAGCTGACCAGTGAAGAATGGAATAATCACCTGCAGTGCGCACAGATAGATCGGCCCCATTTTCGAGCAAAAGTCGAACTAGCTGCACCGCCTGTCCATGAACAGCCAGATTGAGTGCCGTTATGCCACCCTGTGCGGAAATATTTGGACCAAGACCAGCATCTAGCAGTAGCCGTGCGATGTTATATTCGCCACCTTGACATGCACAGTGCAGACCGGTATATCCTCGGTGATTCTGTATGGCGAGGTCGAAATCCTTGGAGAGCAAGGACTCAATGATATCAATGCATCCATTTGTAGCGGATTTATGTAACACCGTATCGCCTGCTTCATCCTTGATCGGCACCCAATATTTCGGTTTGTATAGGCGCTCCATGCCTGGGATGGCCCGGGCAAGGTTGATCAAGTCCCACGGGCCTAAGAGTCGGGCTATGAGGAGGAGGATTTCCGGTGGGAGAATTGGGAAGCTTCTATGCATAATGTGAGATGTATCCTCCAGGGACATTAATTATTTGGAAGGAAATGGGTGAGTGTGGGCGGTTGAGAACTAGGAACTAGTAGTGGCGTTTCAGCTGCCGTTGGTTGTACCCCAAATTGGAGAATCACCTGCCTTGCCCACTGGCACTCAAGCCTCCAACCAAAAAGAATAGTATTATGGGGAAGTTATCGCAGATTTCGAAAGCGATAAAGTTATAATAAATATCTGAGCCGATAAATTTGATACCAAGGAAGCATTATCTCCTGGTAGGGAATTCAACATAGCTGGTTGGCTCCATAACATGGCTGGCCAAGATCGCCAGCCTACTCACTTTTCATTCGTTGGAAATTTTTCGTCTTCCTTTTGTTTCTGCTCTCCATTGTGAACTGGCATTCGCTTTGCACAAAAATTATCAAGGGGTTCACTCGGCAAAAAAGGCAGCAATCGCAATCAAAGCCCAATCTGCAACTAAAAGAACACCCTGAATCCTATGGAGTCTCAGTAAAATATCCTATATCCTGGCTAGGAGATGGAAGATAAAAGACTGACCATGTTGACTCTCCCTCCATGATGAGATAGTTAAGCAGAAGTATAGACGCAAAAAGGCTTACAATCTCGAATCCATCGAAACTGAGAGTCATATTGTCGATATTCATCGGCCACGCCAAAAGCACCATTAGCGGAGTCACGAACAAAGATGTTTGCAAACATTTCCCGACAGTGACTTCTATAGTGCGATCCATTTCATCGGCCAAGGTGTGGGTTATTGGAGCCAAGTCATTGTTAAGAATGGGTAGCAATATAAGTCCAATGAAAGCCTTTGAGATGTTGGCATTATGACTGAGATTGTCGATACTGTCAACAGCGAATTGGGCGCAGAACGCAATTAGCGTGGTAGATGTGGTTAGCATTCCCAAAGCGACGTAAAGATGTAATTGTGGCTGCGAGTCGAAATCATCAAAATAAACAAGCGGATCTTCCAATTCGGGCTTGCTGCCAGGGATGGCACAAAACATGTACCCGATCCGAGCCAAACCTTTTTCTGCTGCCCCCTCAACGACTCGATATCTCCGACGCTTTTCGGTTCTAGGAGATGGTCTGTTCCATATATCGGCATGTGATTTGTATTGAAAGAAAAGATACGCAAAGTAGACGCACAGAAGCACGGCCGAAGCACGGCCGAAGCACCTCGCGATTGCTTCCTTAAACCTGCACTATTCGTCTGAGAGAGCAAGTGCGCTGCTGTTGGGATCAAAAGACTGGTAGATGAGAGCGACAAAAGGTTGGCACAGGTGTGGGCAACTGTCTTGTTATATTTCTGTGACATTCTGTTGTATCCACCCAGAATGAAACTGACCCCAAGCATAAGAAGCAAATTACTTAGAATTCCTCCAACAAGCGTCGTCTGTAAAATTAACGCTTGGTGATCTCTCAGGAGAAATATTCCTGAGATAAATTGAACGAAATTGCTATAAGCCCAACTCTTGTGAGCAAAAATCACATTTCCTAAGTGAGATGAGTAACTTACTATAAAGTGATATAGAGGAAACCTGCAATAGCGCCTCCGCGTATTTTGATTTCATGGAGCGCATTTTCCTCTAAGATGATGCTCAGGCATTCTGGACAGATATGTGTAATCTAAGGGAGTATCTAAATTTGGATGAGCAAAGGCGAGACACTTTGGAGAAACTTGTCTTAAAATTGTAGCGCACCGAGGTATTGAGATTTTGTGCTTCATGTGAGAGCTCAGGACAAATAGAATATTGTGTAGCATTTCACGAAAGTAATCAAGTCAAGGAAAAAGAAGAGAGGGTGGTTGAGTACATAGTATATAGACCCTGGGGCAGTGGAAGTACCCCAAATTGGAGAATCACCTGTCTTGCCCCACTTAAGCTTTCCTCGCACGAGCCAGCCTGGCGGAATGTTTCACGTCACTTCAACCAACCCCAACTCAACTCCCCACGCCCCTCATGAAGCCCTTAATCGGTATTTTGGCTGTCGCCGCTCTGGTATACCGCGCCTGGGCGCGCAAGTCGCTCACTCCTCTCGGTCTGGTCGTCGCTGGTGTGTCGGCAACTGCTCACGCGCTACACCCGTGGTCAACACCTTTCTGGTTGCTCGCGGTCTTTTATTATGGGGGCACAAAAGCTACGAAGGTGAATTTCCAGGGCACATTCAAATCCAAATTCGGATCGCTGGAATCATTCTATACAACAAGTTGATGCTGACACCTTGTGCCCTTAGGTCAAACATGACATCAAGGCACGTCTGACACTCTCAGCGACCGGTGCAGAAGGGGGAGAGGGCCCACGTACACATGTCCAGGTCCTGGCGAACTCGGTAGTCGCAACTGTTCTCAGTATCGCACACACTATTGTGTTAGCAAGGAGCCCCGTTGAATCATGTTTCTCTCTCGGCCACAGCGCAGCGGATATCTTAATGGTCGGAATTGTTGCGTATGTTGGCCCCGACCCGCTTGGTCTTGATATATACTTCCTGGCTTGATCACTGACTTTTCATGCGGGAGGTCAATAGAAACTACGCAGCAGTCGCGGCTGATACCTTCTCTTCTGAGCTGGGCATTCTCTCCAAGTCCAAACCACGTCTCATCACCTCACTTACACTTCGACAAGTTCCTCCCGGTACAAATGGTGGCGTGACTGCAGCCGGGCTGGGGGCCGGACTGCTTGGTTCATTCACGATTGCCCTGACATCTGCCATAATGTTGCCATTTTGCTCCGAGTTTGAGATACGAGATCGGGCAGTGTGGACGGTAGCTCTGAGCTTCTGGGGTTTGCTCGGAAGTGTGTTGGACAGCCTACTGGGAGGTCTCTTGCAAGCCAGTGTGGTCGACAAGCGAAGTGGCAAGGTCGTAGAAGGCAGTGGTGGGCGCAAGGTAAGTTTCTCTTCCAGTTCCCTGTGTCGCGTGTCCCACGTGTCAGCCATCTGATGTTCACGCAGGTCCTGATTCACCCGGGATCCACCAAACCTGCTGGTGCTGTTCTTGGCTCATCGGTGGAATCGACTAGCAGTACCCACCTGGGCACAACCGAAGCAGTGGCTAACGCGGCAACGCTTCGGGGAAGCCGAGTAACGGGCACCTCTGTGGGAAGCAGTCAGACCGACCGGGCGCATGAGGAAGGTCATGAGAGCCGCCGAATTGAAAGCGGACACGACTGGTTGGATAACAACGGGGTGAACGTGCTGATGGCCGTGTTGATGAGTGTGGGGGCGATGGGTATTGCCCAGTGGGCTTGGGGGGTCGAGCTCCAGCAATTGTGGTAAATGCGTCGCATGTCAGTGGGACCGATGGGAAGTGGATAGATCCCAGGACAAATGCATTTACCACAACGGAGTCCGGAGTACGGAGTATAATTGCAGACCAATGTTGTACATGAGCTCCTTGCGCCTCGTGGAATTGAATTGGATTTTGGTTAGCCTCAACTGGGATACCTCATGCACAGGCTACTCTGAACAGTCTCGATATAAGCGAAGAAGCAATTTAATCCATTGCGTGTCTACGGAGTACGGAGAATGGTACATCCTATACGAACACATTCCTGGATTGATCCGGGGCAAAGCCTCTTCTAGAACACGAGCGCCGGGGCGTGTTTCATTGCAGCCGGTATCATTTTAGAATTTCATACCTAGTCAATACTGGGACTATACCCCATCTCACCAGTCCAGGAGAGTCTCCACCCCACGTGTGTTCATCTCTCCATCTTATAGGAAGTGGTCCCTGCGGCCCCAGTATTGCCAAGTCTCTCTCCAACCAATCACAACCATCATCAATCTACATCAGGTCCACTTCCTGCCAGATCCAACCTTACTTTTACCCTCACTCCGGTTGTTTTTTATAAAGTCAACGCCTGCGCCCAGCTTCGCCAAGTTCTGCCAAGGTCGCCAAATTTGCTTCGAACGGGCTCTTTCCAGGAGAATTCTCTATCATAGTGTCTTGGCTACCATTCTATTGCGTGATTTCGCCCCGGTACCGTCCCCCATTTGCGCGCCACCGAACCTCTGACTTTGACACTAGAAACCTGCCAAGATGTCTTCGAACGATGCTTGTGAAGTCCATCTCGCGAGTCGCAGACGCACGTGTGGTCTGTCGACCTGCTTATGGCAGGTGTGGTCGTGAATCTGTGGCGACGTACGGCGCACCATGCGGCGTTTCTCGCCGAGCGCCAGAAGCGAACACCCTGGGATACTTTTGTACATAAACCCTGACAATCTGCGCTTCTCTGCCACAAATCGTACTTCTCCCTGTTGATCAATCGATTCCTTGGTCACTGCCAATCCTCCAGTCAAGATGGTGTATCTCCATGAGTACGACTATGTCTTCGCCATCGGCACTATGTTTGCCTTCCTTGATGCCTACAACAACGGTGCCAGTAAGAGAATACCAAATCATCCACAGAATCATTGAAATTGATGATTCATTTTCCCCTTTGATACTAATTCACTCTTACTATAGACGATGTGGCAAACTCCTGGGCGACCAGTGTTTCCTCTCGTTCCGTCTCCTATAGACAAGCCATGATTCTTGGCACGATCTTCGAGTTCCTGGGTGCAGTCACTGTCGGTTCTCGTACTGCTGAGACGATCAAAAACGGTATCATTCCAAGCACCGCTTTCCAGGATAATGCCCCTGTTCAGATGATGGCCTTCACCATTGCTCTCGTCGCCGCCTCGTCCTGGGTCATGTGGTGCACCAAGCACTCCGCTCACGTTTCCTCGACCTACTCTCTCATCTCGGCCGTTGCTGGTGTTGGTGTTGCTACTGTCGGTGCCTCGCAGGTTCAGTGGGGTTGGAACAAAGGAAAGGGTCTGGGTGCTATCTTCGCCGGTCTGGGAATGGCCCCCGTCATCTCGGGTTGCTTTGGAGCCATCATCTTCACCCTCATCAAGGTCATCGTCCACATGCGCAAGAACCCCGTTCCCTGGGCTGTCTACAGCTCTCCCTTCTGGTTCCTGGTCGCCGCCACTATCTGTACTCTTTCCATCGTCTACAAGGGTTCTCCCAACTTGGGCCTGGGCAAGAAGCCCATTTGGTATATCGTCGCTGTGACTCTGGGTACCGGATTTGGTGTCTGCCTTCTTTCCATCATCTTTTTCGTCCCCTTCCTCAAGGCCCGCATCCTCAACAAGGATCACTCCGTCAAGTGGTGGATGTTTATTCTGGGCCCCCTGCTGCTCAACCGCCCCGTCCCTACCACTGGCGAGGCTGCCAAGGTTCCCAACTATGCCGTCGTCCAGGATGATGAGGACTACGAGACCTCCACCCACGCCGGCTCCATTGATGAGGACGACAAGAACCCCCGTACCAGCGACAAGGAGAAGCAACTCGTCAACTCCGAGACCGCCCAGCTGACCTACAAAGAGATCGTGGCTCAGTCCGAGGAGCGCCACCGTCAAAAGCTTCTGCAGAGCCGCGGCCCCCCTAGGCTGGGCGATGCGCTTTCTTCGCGACAACCCTATGGGAGCCGGTGAGATCTACGAGGTCCGCAACATGGTGACATTCTTCAAGCGTCTTCCTCCCATGATCGTCTGCGGTCTTCTTTACGGTTTCCACTACGACATCCACACTGCCCAGTCTGGTGTTGTCGGCACCCCTGAGGGTGAGCGTATGAAGCGTGTCTATGCCGCTGCCGAGAAGTACCCCAACGAGGTCGAGCACACCTACTCTTTCGTCCAGGTTCTCACTGCCTGCACTGCTTCCTTCGCCCACGGTGCCAACGATATCGGTAACTCGGTCGGCCCCTGGGCTGCTATCTATTCTGCCTGGTCGACTGGCAAGACTGCTGGTGCCAAGGCCCCTGTCCCGGTCTGGCAACTGGCTGTCCTTGCTCTCTGGATTTCTCTCGGCCTCTGCACCTACGGTTACAACATCATGAAGGGTAAGTTCCATGTCAATTCTCGTTTTGAAGTCACAATCTCTAACCACTATGAACAGTCATGGGTAACAAGATCACCTATCACTCCCCCAGCCGTGGTTCCTCCATGGAGATGGGTGCTGCCCTTACCGTCCTTATATTCTCTCAATACTCCCTCCCTGTCTCTACCTCGATGTGTATCACCGGTGCCACCGTCGGTGTCGGTCTCTGCAACGGAACCTTCAAGGCTGTTAACTTCCAGCGTGTTGGTCTCTTGTTGCTTGCCTGGATCATGACTATCCCTATCGCCGGTACTCTCGGTGGATGCTTGATGGGTCTGTTCCTTAATGCTCCTCACTTTAGCTCATGATATGGGTGATGAGTAGCCGGATGGCTGTTGCTGCTGTTGTCATAATAATTTCATAGAGTTGATATCCTTTTGCATTTAATTTCACATTGCCAGACAAAAATCGAATTTTGATCTACATTTCCAACTGATTTCCATCTTTCAATCCATATATCGCTAGCTAGAATCAATCATGCACATAAGCCTAATAGAAAATTAAGTCCAGACCATATTTCTATTAGACACACTGGTTGAATTAATTAATCGTCATTAAAGCTCTTCAAGACCCGATGGAACTTCTTTGCCAGTCCCCATACTCTAAGATGATCCATAGCTTTCAGGGCATCCTCTCTCAGAGCACCAAGACTACGAGTGTCGCAAATATTATCCACCGAGCCAAAAGAGGCAGGTCCACCGTGCTCTATCCATCTCTCCACGTTCCCAAGATCATCTCTTGTCTGAATCTGCTCCAGAGGCGACACATCCAATCTCACCGCGGAGGTTCCATATACAGCCACTGGGCCCTCATCAAAAGGGAAAAACTTCACAAAGGCGAGAAGGAAAGCGTAGGAGAAAAATACACGCATGGTTTCACATGGTGTAAAGCTGGTACAGTCGCGTGATATGGCTACTACCAGGGCTGCATGATGAACGGACCGTCGCGTGGCAGCTGGATTGCGAACAAATCGGAGACGAAGATGAGACCTCGCCCTAGAGAGCTCTTGATTAAGTGGAGCGACCGATGACCCATGTTTCCAAGCATAATTATGGCGGAAAATGAAAGTGACCAGGTCCATTGTTTCCCCACCACTGCTGAGGTAAGCATAATGAGCCGTTGAGCAAGCGACACTGCCAGAAAAGCGTTAGGAGATATCGTCAGAATTTGCAAATGATAGGGGGACTCACTTCATATTCACCATTTCATTTACGCAATTTGGCCGAGACAAAGAATTGCTCATTGCCGAGAGACGCGCTAGAAGATTTTCTCTGGTTTTCTTGTGGACATCCACCAGGGACGACAGGCCCAGAACCTTCGATGATGAAGTATCCTCGATCTCGCGCAGGTCTCCAAGAAAACGACTGATTACCAATGAGCAAATTCGCTTAGCCCAATTAGGTGTCGTATTTGGAATTCCTTTCTGCGCGATGATATTCTGAAGCAATGGATAAAATCCAATATCACTTTGAAGGCTTGTGGAGAAGGAGGCTACCGAGGCCCATGCATTCGCTGAAGGAGCTTCCCATAGATTCTCTGAGCACGGTGCTTTCATTGGAAGTTCTGAGACGCTGAAAACTCCTCTTTTGCTAGTAAGTGTAGACATAGTGCAGTCGAACTCAAAGACTGACCATGCGACACGCCTTTCAAACTCGGTATCGCGCCAACGGTTCCAGGCGCGTTCGAGCGTCAAAGGATCCATCTTTTTAAGATGTTGGAAGTCACATGAACTGCTGTCACTTTGAGCTGCATCCGAAGATAGCACGCCTAGCTCTCTTAATCCTGTCGCAAGAAGTCCCCTTGAGGCATCGGCTAGCTCGTATAAGCGCCGGTTTCCAGACCCCAAGGCGTATATTTGATGTAGGCATGATGCAGCAATGTATACTGGGTTGCGATATGACCTGCTGTCGGATTGACCCTATTTGAAAGATTTAATTGACGGGGAATTCAGAGTTTCAGAGTTTCAGAGTCGCGAGATACACTTACCATCCAGAAAAGACTACGTTGAGTGATTTCCGCCAATATTGGAGCTACTCTCTGAGTCCCCTCGGTAGTTGAGTAAGACGCTCCTATACAGGCCATGGCGGCTAACAATGCAGCTGGGCATTTTTCAATGCGCCAAGTTGGTACATGAATAATTGAAAAGGCTGGGTGGAACTCTGCAAAGTAAGTTTTGACTAAATCTCCAAGAAATGCAATGGTAGGAACCATCTCCAGTGCCGTACTATCGTTTAAAGATGGAATAAATGGAGTCGAAAGTACCTTGACAAAATCCTTGGCTGTACCGGATTTAATAGTCGGGATATTTCCTATTGTTTGTTCGAGTACTTCTCGGAGTGGAGGTAGCTTTATTTTCCGGAAGCCTTTGTTCGATGTATAATCGAAAGGCCAGGACTCGTTGCCCCCACGATCCAGAATACCGGGCCAGGATTCATGCTCGTTCTTCTCTGAGGGGTCAGGATGGAGCTGTGGTGGTCGTTCGCTCCTCGGTGATGGGGTGAAGGTTTGATTGATTGATATAGGTTGATTCCTCAACCTATCTCCATTGAAAGACTCATCGTTGTAAAGAGTCTGCATATCACCAGAAACAGGTGGTGAAACATCTGTCTCGCACCCCAACCAATCCATCTTAGATGCTCTAAAGAAACTGCTATCAAATGCTTCGAGATCAAGTGAGAGATTTTCCAGCCATTCGTAGTTCCCTTCGTCCGCTCTTGAACCCATTAGCCCCTGATCAATCTCCAAAGCAGGATAATGGGTATCCCTTGGCATGAACGGAGTCTGGTTATAATCTTGAGGGCCCATAATTACAGGTTGCTGAGGCAAATTGGCATGCAGAAATGCCGGTCTAGACTGGTCCAGACTGGCTTCTGAATAATTTTGTAGTAAAGGTGTATTTTCAGTGCCTCGAATCCCGGTTATCGAGTCGGACGTCTCTGGAAATTCACATTCCAGATAAGAGCCGGCAGTTTCATGACCTGGCGAAGGTTGGCCATGGCGTATGGAGTCTCTTTCATCATTATCAGCATCCCAAGGGGGTTGAGACTGAGCAAACGACTGTGATTGAATAGCCAACTCAGATAAAGATGATTCATATGTGCAGGAAACTTGTTTTCGGAGACACGAGGCACATGGTATATCGCGATTACATTTCAGTTTGTATCGAATACACCGTTCGCAAGACTTTTTTGATCTTTTCTTCTGTCCTGCTTGTTTTGGATCATGGACAACCCGAACATGGCGCTGATATACATCCTTTCGGTTAAACGTCTTATTGCATGCATGGCATTGAAATATTTCCTTCGGGCTGCCACATGTTAATATGGATCCAAATAGACAACTGTCCTCCGATCTGATAAAGCTTCAAATACCTAGAATGCTGAAGCTGATGACGATGAAGATGAGAAATCCGAGACAGCTTGGTGCCACAAATGTCGCACGCGTAATTTCGCTTATTGTGCTTGCGATTCCTCTAGGGCATACAGTTAGGACCTGTTCCGATATCGCCGGCTGATCTTTGACATACTGATTCCGAGCCCGCAGCGATCTCCGGGCTGCAGGGGTCTGGCATGACTATCTGCAATCTTTGATTTTCCCCATCCGGCGATGAAAGTGGGGGAATTGCGATGGATATTCATATCTCTGATAGATGGTGGGGGTTGTCAACTCATGACGCGCTTCTTGCCATCGGACTTCTCTCCTGGCAATGCCCCGCCCCCACTCCGGATTCCGGAGCGGGGCTTGCACTCTAAGCCTGAGTCCCCAGTACATGCATGCATTTGATTAGATATTTTGAATTGGAAAATTCAGAGTATGTAACTGAGAGTAGCATTTTTTCCTTGTTGGTCTAGTCCAACTAACTCCTGGTCATCTCGTAGAATTAGTTTATCAATCGAACAGCACAACCAAGTGAGCTGTCTAGCACCAAACACCTTAGCTAAAGCATAAAACTATCTCAACACAATCCCAAGTAAGAATGTAAGAGTAAGCAAGCATACTTCGAGTGCGAGGAACACCATACTTGTCTGATTAGTAGTAATATAATTCTACAAGAGACTCCATTACGAAATAGAGGATGTTGAGATATTGTCTTAACTATTGTGCTTGCTGGACGGCTCGCTTGGTTGCGCTGCTCGTAAAGCACTCTGACTAGTACTAGCAGTAGCAAAATGCTGATATTATCTTTCTCCTCAAATATAGGGCTCTTATATATCTTCACTGGTCTAATAATTGCTGCAACGCTTCCCGAACTAAACTTCCCATATCCTTCGTAGAGGTCGTTCCTCTCATATCTTTCGTTCGAAACCCAGCATCCAAAGTTGAATTGACAGCCTTCTCGACTGCTGCAGCTTCCTCCTCCATGCCAAAGCTATACCGGAGCATCAATGCTACACTCAGAATTGCACCGATGGGATTTGCAATCCCTTTCCCTGCGATATCCGGTGCTGAGCCGTGCACTGGTTCATAGAACCCTTTGACTGGGTCATCTCCCCATTTTTGTGCAGGAATATCAGCCAAACAAGCAGAAGGAAGAACACCCAATGTTCCCGGAATGACACCTGCGAGATCGGAAAGAATATCTCCAAACGTATTGTCCGCAAGAATGACTCCATTGAAAAGCGTTGGTCGCATCATCATCAGAGTAGTGGCACTATCGGCAAGCTGATGCACAATCTCCACTTCAGGAAACTCTTTCTCAATAGTTTCCTGCACAACTTTTCTCCAAAGCCTGGAGCTAGCCAAGACATTGGCCTTATCGCAGCTAGTGACAGTTTTCTTTGGACTGGCACTCGACAAAGCCAGATGAGCGGCCATGCGAGCGATGCGCTCAATTTCGGAGCGTTTATATGACCACAGATCGGAGGCGTAGTCTGGTGTCTCCTCCTTGGGTCCGTAGAAAGGTCCACCACAGTTCTCACGTAGCACAATGAACTTTGCTCCACGTACGAGTTCGTCGCGAAGGGGACTATTTCCTGCAGCAAAGTATTCACATGGTCGTAGGTTTGCATAGACTTGCGTAACATCACGTAGGCGCAGTGTGGCTCCTTCAGGACCTTCAAATCCTCGCCTCATGCCATCCCATTTCGGGCCTCCAACTGCCCCCATGAGGATTGCATCTGCTTTGCGGCCTGTTTCCAGTACCTCATCTGTTACTGGCGTGCCATGCGCGTCAATCGAGCAGCCACCAAACAAACGGGGTAAAAGTTTGAATGCTGCGCGGCTTTTTGGGTGTGCAGAAATCACGTCGAGAACAGCTGTGGCTTCTGCGGTGACCTCGGGGCCAATCCCGTCTCCCCCGATGACGAGGATGCTGAATTCGGGCTTAGATTTGGTCATGTTTGAGAGTCTACTCGAATTGGTTCAAAATAAGATGGTAATCTCGAATTCATGTCAGAATACACTATCTATATGTGCGAACGGCTTCCCAGGCCGTTTTATCCCTCACTGGGCGCTACCATTTTGGTCCCGGAGTATGCGGTGGGGAGGAGGGGAGAAGGGGAGGGGAAAGAACCCCGTATTAACTACTCCCCCCCCACTCCCCACGAAGTCTCCCAGAAATGACCTCTCGGGGTATTGACTGTATTGTTTCCATGGTTTTATGGGGGGTGAAGAGAAAATTGGGAAAGTTTTGCATGCTTCCTCTGCTTCCCTCGCCTTGCATTTTACCGAAGTATCCAAGCCCGAGAAAACAACTTGGAAAGTTCATACTTTACCTAGGTATTTAGGATCAGAGAAGATCAAAATTCAATAGATTCAATAAAGTTCGTATTGATTGCCTTATAGATTATCTATGTGTTGCTATAGTAGAGTATTCAAGTTGTCTAAATTGTTCTACCTCCATCAACATCCAAATTCACACCGGTAAGAAACTTCCCTTCATCACTAGCCAAAAACAATGCTGCATTTGCAACATCTTCCACTTCCGTTAAGCGACCAAGAGGAACATTACCTAGGAACTTCTGACGATTATCAGGAGTGTCGGGAACGCCTGCGAACGATTCAAACCTGAATATAATGTTAATGATTCTATTCAGTGGAATTGTTGTAGATTAACACTCACAGTCCAGTTCCACAGAGAAGGGGGCAGATTGAGTTGACGCGGATCTGGTGGGGACCAAATTCTAGAGCCAGCCCTTTGGTTGCCTAAGAATAACATCAGATACTGAATAGCGGACCAAAAAATTCGGAGTTGGAGAATCCCACGTTAGAAACGGCACCCTTGCTAGCGTTATACCAAACGAGCCCCTGGCGTGGCCTGCTAGCCCCACAACTCGACATGTTGATACAAATTCCAGCCTTCTGCTTAACAAACACTGGAAAAACTGCAGAGACAGAGTGGAATATTCCGAGGCAGTTGACATCAAAGCATCGAGCATACTCCGCTTCTGTGACATCTAGTGTGGGCTTGTTCTTGTAGCTCGTTCCAGCATTGTTGATCAGAATATCGATTTGACCAAATTCTTTCAGAGTACGTTGCAAAGCAACATCCCAGTCTGCCCGCTGGGTGACATTCATTTGCTGAACCAGCACAGAACCGGAAGGGCATGCATTAATGACAGCGTCAGCAGAGTCAATGTTCAGGTCGCCAATTAGAACCTTTGCACCTTCGTTGGCAAATACTTTCGCGATCGCTGCACCAAATCCGGAGCAACCGCCTGCAATTAAAATGTGAGTATCCCGTTGCAAGTGACTTCAGTGAGCCCTCTAGATTACATACCAGTTACAAGTGCGACCTTTCCATTGAGACGTCCTTCTTTCGTGGCCATTTTGAGAACTGTTACAATATGTACTGTCGATGAGATGAAAGTAATAAAGTATAATAGATTTGAACTGAAATACCTCCCATGAACATGATACAGATTTGTCTTTATATGATTGAGTCTTAGCTATGAACAGACCTCTGTACTTGACGATCCACCGGGATTTATGCGGGGCAGCCCCTGGATCTTTCAGGGAGTCGGAGAGACTAGTGGGGAAAGTGTTTTGAACCGCTCCCCTCAATCATTTCTTGGAACTAGTCAATGTTGAATCCCGAATTGGCCGGTACTTAATATTCTGTCAAAAAATAATGAAATCCCTTATGGCTTATCTGTAGAGACAGAACATAGAGTTGGAGGAAATCTTCCGCTAAACGGATAAAGGTGATACTGGGGAAATTATCGCCGGTGAATCTTCCCCTCCGCACAACACCTCAACTCCCCCCCCAGGACTTCTGTCTGCGAACACAGACTTGGAATAAATACAGCAGAGCTTGATGCGGAGCTTGACGCGAAGTTGAATTGGACTTGAAGTCAAAGATTATTCAATGAGTCTCAGCACTGCTTCCTTTTTGTCCGCACTGGGGCTAGGAGCCACATTCTCCCCCTGGAATATCTCGGGTTGAATCAACAGCCCGCTGCCCCAGTGTATGAGCCAGCTACTCTTGCCGGTGAAAATCCATTTCTAAATGCTCTTCCCTCGGAATTTGAGCAATTGTCGATCTCATTCGTGAGGAACAATCTTGCAGTGATACCTGGAGATTGGGGAGTGGGAGACATCAGTCAGAACAGTCCAGCCACCATTTATTGAGTCAAGGCTGATCAATTTCCAGAAACATCATTTTACGATATCAAGTCGGATCAGCCGACTCTCCAAGATGCTCTGAGAACCCTGAAGTCTTCGGATTTTATTGCATGGCACTCATCATTTTTGGATTTGATTGGACCGAGTGCGAAGCTCGAGCGGATCCAGTCTTTTGAGGGCGAACCTCTTACCGTCCACGAAGCTCCCGCATATGTTCCAGAAACCAACGAACTGTTTTTCGCCGATACGCAAGTTACAGGGTGGCTCTGGGCTATCGAGGTGGACACGTTCCAGGTAATTTATCTGGCCAATAATGCAGGGTGATTTGAGATGATGCTAATCCATCCACCATTGAAGACTCGGAAAGTCGAGACAATCCCGCCCCTACCAAATGTCAACGGAGCTCGTTATCACCAAGGAAGAATCTACCTAACTACAAATGGTGGCTCGGCTCGTGGTATATGGTCTCTCGACCCCAGAGATGGTACCGCGACCCCAGTCGTGAACAACTTCCGTGGTCGGCATCTCAACAGCCCCAACGATGTCGCATTTGATGCACAATCCAACATGTGGTTCACCGATCCCCCTTACGGCTGGTACCAGGGATTTCCCGATGTTCAATCTCCAGAGGTACCCACGGGGATTTACTTTTTTAATATGAAAACAAAAGCCTTGAATGTCGTCTCCAACAATGTTGTTATCATGCCGAATGGCCTTGCTTTCTCTCCCGATGGCGCAACACTTTACGTCGCAGATTCTAACTCGACATCTGGAAAGCCTATGGAGCACCATCCTGCCAGTCTAAGAAACGTCTGGGCGTTCGATGTGAAAGGCTCACTACTGAGCAACCCCCGTCTCATTCATCAAACCGAAACTGGTTGGCCCGATGGTATCCAAGTCACACACAATGGATATGTCCTAGTGGCAGTTTATGGAGGAGTGGATGTCATTGATCCTGAGACAGGAAATTTGCTTGGCAAGATCAATACACCGGATGATATTGTTTTCAACCTGGAGAAGGGCCCTCGTCGCGGAAATGAGCGAGTGTGGTTGCTGACAGGGCAGAAATACATTTATAGAGCGACTATCAAAGAGCCTTAGAATATACTAGACCGATATACTATCAATAGAATAGAATCAATTCCATCATGCATTCCTCAACCCTTTTCAACCCGGGCGGTTCCCCTCCGGTGGTTTCTCAAAAGGTGGTCATCTGCGTTGCACCAGAAAACTTGAGAATAAGCATAATCCCCAGTAGCTATTAGATAAACTTCAGAAGCTGCCAAGCTGCCTTTATTTTGATACTGAAAGAAAGCTATGGTGACACGCGTAGAAAAATATACACAAGCTTTTAACCCCACGATCTCCCCAGGATTGGCATGTCTGGGGAAGCTCCGGCAGAGCCCCACCAAAGACTCCGGCCCTTCGGCCCTTCGAGGTAGATGCGTTCCAACTATGGGCGAGCAAGCTTTTAGAGGGGGTTTGGGCCGGAGTTTAAACCACTTCCCCCTCGATTCACTTACCTTCCAAGGTCTGAACCCATCATTTCGAATCATCTATTCAACACGAAGCTTAGCAAACACAGCTGCACGCACGTATATATCATGTATCTAGGGCTTCGAGGACCCTCCCTTGTTGCCGCTATAGGATTTTGCTGTGGAAGTGGGTTTTTGCTATTGGGATATGACCAAGGTGTGATGGGCGGAGTTGTTGGATAGTAAGAATATCTGTCTTTCCGTGCCGTGGCAGGTGGCTAATGACTTATAGCTCCGGGAATACATTCGCACAGGTTTTTGATAATCCGAACCCAACAGTAACTGGCCTAATGGTCAGTCTTTATGAGGTGGGCTGCATGTTTGGGTCCATCATAATTATCTTTTGGGGAGACAATCTCGGTCGGCGAATGTCCCTGGTCATTGGTGGTTTCATCGTCATTCTTGGGACGGTCATTCAAGCTTCATCTTTTTCTCGAGTGCAATTTATTGTCGGAAGAATAGTGGCGGGCCTGGGAAACGGAATGAATACAAGTACCCTCGGCACATATCAATCGGAAACCTGCCCTGCCAAGAATCGGGGCAGAGTGGTGACATGTGAGGGCATCATGGCAATTGGAGGTGTCTGGATCTCATACTGGTTGGACTTTGGCATGTCATATGCAAAGTCTACGGTACAATGGAGACTTCCGCTTGCTGTGCCGGCTATTTTTGCTTTGGCCATGTCGGGAGTTGCATTTTTCATGCCAGAATCCCCTCGTTGGTTAGCATTGAAGAATCGAGACGATGAGGCTAAGGAGGTTTTGGCTGCACTAGCCGGTGAAGATGTTCGCACCGACGACGAGTCCATTCTCGAAATGCACAACACCATTCGACAAGCAATTGACTATGAAACTCACATGAGTGGGGAATTCAGCTTTCGTGAGCTTTTTACCGGAGGGGAGCTACAAAATTTCCGACGTATCTGCCTCTGCTTCGGAATACAACTCATGGAGGAAATGGGTGGAATCAATTTGATCACTTATTACATGAGTAACGTTTTTCTCCAAATCGGCACTGGTCACTTTTTGGCTTTACTACTTTCCGGAATCAACTCGACTACTTATTTCATTTCTTCGTTTGTGCCTATCTGGCTGATCGATCGGTTTGGAAGAAAGTCCCTACTCATTTATGGTACGATTGGCATGATGTGCATGATGATAATGCTCACAATATCACTGAGCTTTGGCCCTGCGAACTTCACAGCAGGTATTTTCGCGATTCTTTCGATATTCCTTTTCAATATATTTTATGCAACGGGCGGATGGATGGCTACCCCCTTCCTATATCCCTCTGAAATTTCTACGCTGCGTCTTCGCTCAAAGGGTTCAGCTATTTCTGTTCTGTCGAAGTGGATGTTCAATTTTCTGGTAGTGATGATTTCACCGGTCGCCATGGCAAATATAGGGTGGCGAACGTATATCATTTTCGCAGTCTTGAATTTTGTGTTCATTTTTGTTTTGTTCTTCTTTTACCCCGAGACGAAAGGGCTCGAGCTTGAGCAAGTCGACAAAATCTTTACCGGGGGTGACCCAATCACCCGTGGTGCCATTGGTATGCGTCGCCCTCTCGGAGCTGAGAATCATCAACCAAGTCAAGATTTCCTGGATAAATCTGGCCATGATCTTTCGAAACATATCGAGGATGTGGGAAAGAGTTCAGAGGTCTAAAATCGAACTTTAGAACTTTTGGAACAGGTCAGACAGTTTGAGCTTTCTTCTATGCCCAGGTGGGTAGAACTCAAGTTTCTGTCGAAGTTTATTGCGCCGCAAATTTGAAATGATTTCCAAGGTATACATTTCAAAGACCGAGAGGTATTTCAGGATCGAACAAACCTGCGTGCCATTGGTGCGATGAAGTCCTGCATACACATATGTATGCCTTGACACTTGGACCTCCATGAGCCGTAAAATGACTCATATTTCGGTACATACACAATCAATAAAAGGAAAATAGGAGTGAAATGAAATTTCTTGGTCAGCCAGATATAATAATCATAATATCCACATTTGCAGAGTCTGCTATACCGAAATAGAGCCCCATGTCGAGAGCAAGCATCAAATTTAATATGGGGTGCAAACAGGTGCAAACAGTGCAAATCCCGCTATGACCTCAGCGCGTCGTGCTCCCCACATCTTCATTGCCACGACGAGCCGCGACTGGTGCATCGAGAGAAATGCAAACAGGAAGTGGAATCTCTCGACGTCAGACTGCAGCCTGCGGGTGAGTCAACCACTGAATCTGATAATACAAACTCGCGCGAAATCGTGGCTGGTCCGTGTTCTAGACTTGCGGGGTTGTAAGTGCAAACATGCTCTATAAGCCAGAACCGGTCTCACTGGCTAAATCGGGGTTCGCGGATGAAGCTCAGCTTACCTAGCTTGATACAGAAAGTGTAATTGGTCTTTTTCTTGGTTTCTCTTTTTTCCCAGTTGCCCTTTCCACTCACTCCCGTGTTCGGGTCCGTTCTTCCTGTTTGGTGATGTTTCGTCATAGAGTTTGAGCTTCTATAAGCATGGCCCGAGGTCTGCCCTTTCCATAAAACCATTACACCTCCCCTCGTCGTATGATACTTCATCAATCCTTGCTATTTCCGTTTTTCGCACCTCCCCGTGTTGCTTAGACTACCCCTCCTCTCTCCCCGTACCACCATAGCAAAATGTCTCCCTCAGCGCTCTACAATATTGACACAGTCGACATTGTCGACATTCACCAAGATAATATCAACTTTTCCCTAGCAGATTACTTGAGCAATAGTTTGAATCCTGCGGACGGCAAACCACCCTCATTCCCTACCCTCCTACTTTACGACACCAAGGGACTCAAACTCTTCGAGAAGGTCACCTACCTGGACGAATACTACCTCACCAACGCCGAGATCGAGGTTCTGACAACACACGCAAAGCGAATTGTGGAACGGATACCGGAGAATGCACAGCTAGTGGAGCTTGGTAGTGGGTGTGTTATCCTTGCACTCCGGATCCGTGGCCTATAAAACTACTCACGATGGGATCCTTGCGCCTCGGCACATTTCTAACACATGGCTTAGAAATCTGCGAAAAATCGAAATCATTCTTCGGGAGTGTGAGCGGGTGGAGAAGCGCGTCGACTACTACGCATTGGATTTGTCCTTGGTGGAACTGCAGCGAACCTTCGCGGAGATCACACCAGAAAGCTTTACATACGTTGAACTCCATGGCCTTCATGGCACCTACGATGATGCTCTCGCTTGGCTTCAAATACCTGAAAATTCTACGCGACCAACTGTTGTCTTGTCAATGGGGTCCTCTCTTGGAAATTTCCCTCGAGAGGCCGCAGCAGACTTTCTGGGTAGCTGGTCAAAGGTTCTGAAGCCATCCGACTTTCTATTGATAGGGCTGGACGCTTGCAAGAGCCCCGAAAGGGTATTCAAGGCCTACAATGACTCTGAAGGTATTACCCGGCAGTTTTATGAGAACGGGCTATCACACGCCAATGCAGTCCTGGGTTACGAGGCTTTTAAGCCTGGAGAGTGGGAAATACTGACCGAATATAATGAGCATGAAGGGAGGCATCAAGCATGCTACTCTCCAGTGGTCGATGTCACTATCAAAGACACTAAAATTCGGAAAGGCGATAAGCTACTCTTTGAAGAAGCTTACAAGTATGACCGCAACGAGCGTGATGCGCTGTATCGAGACTCGGCATTGATATCCCAGGTCGAATTTGGGAACTTGGACAACAACTATCGTACGCCCTAGTCTCCGATGCTCCACGTAAAGGAATTTAACTGATTGATAAACCCCACAGATATCCATCTTTTGTCGCCTGCTACTCTGGATAGATCGGTGCGACCAATCCAGTATGCATCACATTCAGTACCAAGTGTGAAAGATTTTCAGTCACTTTGGACTGTATGGGATATCGCTACGAAGACAATGATCCCTCGAGAAGATCTTTTATCGCAGCCTATCAAGCTTCGAAATGCGCTGATTTTCTATCTCGGTCATATCCCAACATTCTTCGGTTCGTCCGCAAACACCAAAGAGTCTATGTTCTTACTTCTAACTTATTATAGATATTCACCTCACGCGTGCTTTGCGAAGTAAGCCTACAAGTCCCAAATATTTCCAGCAAATATTTGAGCGGGGGATCGACCCCGATGTCGAAGACCCGGAGCAATGTCATACTCACAGCGAGATTCCCGATGAATGGCCTCCTCTGAATGACATACTGGATTATCAAGAACGAGTTCGCAACCGGGCTCGTTCTATCCTACAAAATAGAACAAATCTGGATCGCAGTCTCGCTGAAGCTCTCTGGATCGGATTTGAGCATGAAGCGATGCATTTGGAGACTTTCCTATATATGCTGCTTCAGAGTGACAGGAAGCTGCCACCCACGGGAGTAGACATCCCAAACTTTGCGCAGATGGCCCAAGATGCAAAGAAGAACGCGAAGCCAAACCAGTGGTTCCGCATACCAAAGCAAACCTTGACCATTGGTCTCGATGACTCTGATGGTACTTCGCTCCCGAAAGACTCTTTTGGATGGGACAACGAGAAACCGCAGAGAATCATTTCGGTGCATTCTTTTGAAGCGCAAGCCCGACCTATCACTAACGGTGAATATGCCCGGTACATACAAGCTCTGCGTCTTCAAACCTTGCCAGCTTCCTGGGTGCACACTCGTTCAGAAAAGGAGTATCCGATTTCTCAAGGTCTTCACATGTCACACTCTGGTGGAAGTTCTAGTGCGGCCCAAATCCAATTTGAGGATGTCGCTGTGCGTACTGTATTCGGGCCCGTTCCTCTCGAACATGCTCAAGATTGGCCATTGGTTGCCTCCTATGACGAATTCGCAAACTACGCTAAATGGATGGAGTGTCGAATTCCCACCTTCGAAGAAACCAGAAGCATTTACATGCATTCTGAGAAGCTGCGTGGAAACACTTCTCTGCATGATGTCAACGGCCATAGGTCAGTAAAGTCACAATCCCAATTGAGAAATCAACTAATATAAGGCAATAGCAACGGAGTCAATGGAGCTCAGAAATCCATTCCCGAAAAATCTTCCACTTTCTGTAATCTGAGCGGCTGCAATGTGGGCTTCAAAAATTGGCATCCTGTCCCTGTCACGCCGAATGGAGATCGACTAGCTGGCCAGAGTGAGTTTGGAGGGGTGTGGGAGTGGACAAGTACACCATTGGCGCCACACGAAGGATTCAATTCAATGGAAATCTACCCGGGATATACATGTGAGGAATATGGTTTTTCACTTCTGGGACCTCAGGACTCTTTGCTGATTTAGTTCTAGCGGACTTTTTTGATGGAAAGCACCACATCATCCAAGGCGGATCATGGGCCACTCTCCCTCGAATTGCTGGGCGAAACACCTTGTGAGTGACCTCCGAATTTCCCAAACAGAACTTAACTGATTGTGACCTTCTAGCGTCAACTGGTACCAACACAATTATCTGTACGCGTGGGCTGGAGCACGTCTTGTGCGGGACTGCAATGTGTAAATAGCTAGAATTTCATGACTTGGAATGTAGACAGTCATCATTTTACGGAGCTCAAAAATCACTCAGACTACCTTTGTTAACCTTTGGAACACTCGCTCCGCCTTCTATATAAGGTGATCGCTTGTTATGGTGATCAATCAAGCCAGCGCAGGAGATCGATAAGCCCACAGGTAATTGCTGAAGACCAGAAGTGGGCCCAAGAAGAGCAAGGAATAAATAACCCTATCGAGCAACCCCTAGAACAAAAATGTGGAATCTTCCATGAATGGAGGGGAGGAATGCAGGGCAGGGATCCAGTTGCTCGGGACAAGTCGCGCCAGCATAGTTAATAGGCCTTGCATTAATCCCCATTGCATGCCAGTCGTCTCGATTCCTAATCAAATTCGCCAATTTTGCTGTACCGCAGGATTACTGGTCGCACGATCTACCTATTCCCCCGAGAACGCGTTACCGGGGGGGAAAACTTGAGATAGAGTTAGTTACCAGCTCACTACTGAACTTAGTGAACGCGCTTCTAGTGAAAAGGTAAAACTACCAAACTAGCGAAAACTATTTCAACATCAATCATGGTCTCTTGGAAAGACTCGTATCCGCGAGGATGACGACAGTACATATCCCTATCTTCCGTTCCGGGCTAGGATGAGGCTGGGAAGGGGTTGTGTCAGCCATCTTGAAACGCCTCCGAGGAAGGACCTTCAAGGCGCTTATATTGTAAAACACCCCAGAGGCCGTTTCCAGGCCCTCTAGCTCCTCTTGCTATGTATATATTTTCTGCAAAGTCAAAGCATGGAATGTGTGTCGACGTCAAGCTCCTAGCTCGGCAGCCGACCGAAATTGCCTTTGTGAGATGTTCGTTGAGCCGGCATTGCTCCGACGCAAGGGGAGGCGAAATAAATTACGAGGAAGGTTCCTAGTTTGGTATAGGCCTCCGCAAGGACTATCAATTTCAACCTTCCGAGGGTTTGTACTCTGTACTCCGTACATAATCAATTCATGTGGCAACGACGACCAGGACGAAGGTTGTGGCTTGCCGATAGTACAGAAGACAAAGAAGACAGGAATACGAGTAGCCAAATAAAGCAGTCCCAGCCAAGAGAATCACATCAGCTTATAACAATTCAAATTTGAAAAAAAAGAGAATCAAAGGTCAATTGTCGTTAATCAAAGACTGCGGATGCACTACTAGTGTGATATGAGACAGTGGGATTGGATGTAAACAAAGGCGCGTGAAAATTGTCTACTACTACTGCCAGGTGGCTGACCAGGCGATTATACTGCAACACATATTTTACTCAAACGGTGTTACCTCTATTGCTTGCCCAGGTGAGCGATCATCCCTGTCAGTGACGAGTCAACGATTGATCGACATCGGGCTAGGCTAGGGAGATCCGCGATCTCCTGCGCATCCAGCGAGATCGTCGTTACACACCAGAGATCATGGAAATTTACTGTTTCAATGGAGGAACCTGGCAGAGAGGAAACTATGGGAAGGCAAACCGATGCTTAGATCTTTCTGGTAATAACTTCATTCTTTGTCTCGGGTTCACAGGCTATGGCCTTCCTGCCGGTATTTGATTCTTGCCTTCGATGCACGTAACTAGATTCAACAAACAGCGCATGTCCTGTCCCCGAAATGACCTGCGCTAATAACAAACCTTAACCAATCTACGGGTTCCCACTGACCGGAAAAGGCCAAGAATGAAGCAGAGAGCCATTGGAACACGAGGTGCGCCTTTTGCGACCCTCCCTTTTGCCTGTTTCGGGGGCCTCCCCACTCTCTATCTCCACTTCGATCTTTGAGTGCCTATCATGCACGGGTTTCTGATGCATAGTTATTCCCTGCAGGCTGCAGGCCATAGTGGCCTTGCTGCCTGTATGTAATCAAATAGGCATGCCCATATACTCTATATTCCCAGGCAAGATCGAACCTTAGAGGGTTGTGGCTTATTATAGAAGTCAAAAGGTTTCACGGACATGGTTTGCGTGCTGCAGATTGAAATCATATACACTGACCCGAGAGCTTGGTTCGTTGTTCTTTGAGTCGCCAATCCCAGGCTGTGGAAAATGCTAGCCCGCAGCTGCCGCCAGGGACAAGGCAGGACTGCCAGGCTGGAATGTGTCACAGACCCATGAAAGGGATTTACGGGTGAATCTTGCCGAACCTGTCACTGTGCGGTCCTGTCTCATGCCACAGGAGTGGCCGACTGTCGCCTAGTTCAACCTGCATGGGTGGGGCCGTGGATCTTTTTGTCCTTGTCAAGCCGTGGGTGGTATAGATTTGCATACTGCATTGAGTGCCTGGAACTTGGCTCAACACTGCCGCATTGTATATGTACCCCGGTGCAGCCTCGTTTGTTCCCTCTCTTCTTTCACAGCGCATCAATGACATAGAGCGACTGCAGCTTCCGGCGTCCTTTCTTTATCGTTCCTTCTTTCGGCATCCTCTCGCCACCAGTCTCTCGTTTCGTATTTTGTCCCTCGTTGTTTAGCATTGATTATTCCACCAGCCGAAGCGTTGCTTTTCGCCTTTATTGTTCTTTTTTGATACGCCAAACTCCCAGGCTTTAAAAATAAGCCTTTGTCCTGAGCCGCCACCGAACATTGACGGTGATCTTCATAAACTCGAGAAGGCCGCTGGATCCTGTCAACAACACCACCTGCTATCCAGTATGGAATGTTTTCGACAACTTTTTCGGTGCATTAAAGCACCATTCAAGCGCGAAAAGCCGCGAGGGCTTCAAATTGTGGGTTTTCTTGTCCCACTCAACTGGCTCATCATGCAAGATGAATGACTAACGAAAATGATGTGATACAGGGACCCCCAACCAACTTCCGCAAGGAAGAACTGCCTGCCTGCTTCTCGGATGCCGAGTCAGTTCTCTCGCCCAGCCAGACTCCAGCCGAACGCCCAATTCTGACAAAAGAACTACAGCACATTGACGTCTCAGGACAGCCACGAAGCAACGATGGAGAAGACCGAGACGACGATCGAGACAGTCGCGTGTCAGATATCCCCCAAGGGGAAGGTCCAGAGCCACGTCCGACGGATGAGCATCAAGCTAACGCCGCTCGCTTCCGAGACCGCATAAAGCCACTGCGATGGTTCAAAACGACCAAGGTTGACGTGCCTTGAAATATAGACACGCGGCTTTAACTAATTCAAGTTATCCGGTTGGAGAAACTACCCCCAAATCGATTTCGAAATCAACTTTATCAACACCAAAAGAGAGAAGGAACATATTGAGATGTTGCGGATTCAATATTCACAGCAGAAATGTCGGAACGTTATGTGAGCGGGATTTTTTGGACTCCAGATTGTTTTCGGCGGGACTCCTCTCGGATGTTCTGCTCCCAGGGGAGTGTCCCTTTTTCTTGTCAGAAATAGACGTATTTGATCTTGATAGCTCTGGCAGCTCATCAAAGTCATCCAATAATGATTGCATTCTTGACTTGAAACCCGAAGTCGGCTTCTGGCTCTGCTGGACCGGCGACAGCTTCCGTTTTTCCACAATTGGTCTTGTAGCGTCTGTTTGTGCATCCTTCTTGGAGTTCGTAGTCCTTTGTAGCTGAGTTGCTTCCCTCTTCGCTTCCAGTCCTCTGCTCTCGGTCGCTATTTTAGATGCGGAACCTCGATAAACTGGCTCATCAAGATTATCTTCATCTGATGACTCTGTCACGGCACCACTCGGCTCGTAACTCCCATTTGCCTCTTGCAGTGGATTATGCTCAGCGATCGAAATTCTCTCTCGCTTCAGTGTCATCTGAGCTGGTGGCCCAAATCCTGCTGCGGCTCTAGTGGAGGATTTGATCTTCATTCCGAATACTCCGGTAAGAGACCATACACTCTTTTTTGTTGCGATCAGATGGTGAAGATGTGTTCCGGCAAATAGATTCACGTCGCTCTTTTCATCATCACTTTCATATTTCTCCTCGTCCTTGGCATCCATTGGTTGAAATGCGCCTTGCTGACGCGCCGCAACTGCCTCCGCTTTCTTTTTGATTTGTAGTTCTTTCGGCATAACCGTTCGGCCATCTGTTGGACGCTCAATGTCATCTGGCGCTATCCTACCTGGAGCATCCCCACGAGGATGCCCTTGCCGATTTGAGACCTTCGAGTCGGCAGAGAAGCTGATCAACTCGAGGTTAGCGATCCAGTATCTCGTTTCCGGGGCGCATTCGTTCATATTGCCATACCTATCAGAAAGGTCGCGTTTAGTGACAGGCGTGAGAGGTTGTGCTAGCGTAGCAGTAACGTATGAGCTTCACATTCAACCTAGATTTCTGCGCGTTACCTACAGGATTTGAGGACTTCTTGTTTTATCTCAACAGAAGGTGGGCTGTTTGAGGCTATATGGTCGCCGGGAAGCGGCTCTCGCTTGACGCGCTTCCGCGAGGGGGACCGCTCATCGGAGTCGAAGGTATCATGGGCTTGGGCCCATGGCAAATTTCTGGACATTGCGACTCATTCGGAAGACTTTTTGAGAGTCGTGAAATGTAGTAGTGGCGGGCAGAACACGTGTAGAAACTCGTTGCAATGGTTGTCGCGAGGGCATTGGAGATCTTAGATCGACGCGATAAGAGATGAGGTCACCTGCCTCCCGCTGGTGCCTGTTCGGGTAACTCAGGGTAACTTGAAGCACGTCTAAGTCTACGTCTACATAGCGAATTTGGCAAACCAATGCTAGCATTGTATAAATCAACCTCAATCTTATTGGGTATCTGTTGTAATATTGACAATTTTTTATGTAAAAAAAGCCTGGCAGGCAAAAACAATAATGAAGCCATCAACGCCATCAAATCGCAGGGCCCGGGATGAAAGAACGGGCTCGCAAAACGCCTTTAAACCACCGGGAAGAAGAGAACGCCAATAATTCGTTGTCGCAAATATTCGTTTATGCCTCGCCCGGTCGTTTGCTGTTGCAGCTGACGATCTTCACTTTGTCCGCGGTGACGGAGGTTTGGTTGTCCAACTTGAAGGTCACGTCCTTGATCAGGAAGGTCCAGACTTCATCGCAGAACCGGTATGTATCGAGGTGGCCCTGAGAGAAAAAAGAAAGAGCGGATAGTCAGCTATCGGATATCTTCATAGAAATGTGCCTCTCTTCCACGAAGGGGGTCGATCCATGTTGTACCTTGAATGTAAGCCTGGCCCGAACGCGATCGGCCAGTACCTCTGTTACTACTCGGTCGAATGTCGATAGGATCTTCATCGCCAGCTGCGGTTCGATACGGCCATCGTTGATCAGGTCATCGAGAGTATCGGTCAGAGCAAGGCCGAGGCTAAACAGGTCCAGGTCATTAAGTTTCCATCCGCTTGCACAATCCAGGTTTTCCCCCTACCTGCTTCCACGATACAGCTCGTAGTATGATGTGGCGGACGACATCTCAAACGGATAGCGACTGACTTGACAGCGACTGAGATGGTATCGAACGGTCAGTTGGCTGGACCCGGCCGATGGCGGGGATGGGCGCAATGAGATCACATGACTTGACAAAGGCCAGACCGCCTACGCTTTCCGCCTTACGTCCATATCCGCAATTACATAATGTTCTGCCGGCAGTGTATCCCCATCAGCCATATTTTATTGGTCACTAATATGGCACTAGTAGATACTAGGCTAGCCTCCAGGAGCTACCTTATTCGGCGGTGAGAAAGTGGATATGGACGATGGCCTACTGTATCTTCAATTTACGTCAGTCGCCTCAAGTCAGGAAGAGAACAGTTTCCTTCCTCGTCCTTCACCTTCCCTTTCGCCTCCAATTACATTCATGATGCTACCGTATAATCTTTCAACCCTGGTAATCAAGAATAGACCCGTCTTCACCGGCTTCAATCGCCAGCCTGTCATTCGAACCTTATATTCCGCTTCTCCCTCCACAACACCCAAAGGTTGGTAATGACTCTTGAAACGGGATCATATTGCTTGACGAATTCCGTGAACTCAGACGAACCTGCAGGTGTCTCTCAAGATGATTCTAAAAGCCAACCCGGAACCAACCCGAACGAATCCCCGTCGAAGCTTCCCAGCAAGCCCCCAAACACGAACCAAGTGAAATCTATTACCCAGGCCGATGCTGAGCTTCGCGAGAAGATGGAACGAATGTCGGGAGAAGGGGGTGCTGCCGGAGTAGAATATGAAGACGGGAAACCAAGTGCCATGAAACGTGGCGTGCGAAACAACATGTTCCGGCTGATCTGAGCTTACCATGGCCAGAATCGCAACGACTTCCAAAACTATCACACAGACAGTGCACCGTGTCAGCGATATACTTCTGAGACTGAAGTACTTATCCTGCCCGACCTTAGTCCTCGCGTTAAGTTTAATCGGAGTATGCTGGGTTCCTCCGGCCCCCGGGGCCGAGTTTGGCGTGCATGACTCGCCGAAGATTTGCGCCACCTTGTCGGCCATGCGACCGTTTCTCTCTTATCTCATACCGAGTAACGGTCGCGCTACGAATCTGGGGATCTGCCGATGCCAAGCGGAAAATGCTCAACGTGACGGGATATTCCCCTTTTCTTGGGTGCTAGCATTCCTCATTACGCCGCTTCCATTGGAGCCGCGCAAGCATGTCGGCGCTTAGGTCGGTTGGCATATATGTCTTCGTCGGGCTGGCGTGTTTTCCGCAAGGCGGCCAAGGGTTTCAGACGCGGCAGCGATTGCGCGGCCTATCGATCGTCGCAATTTCCAACACATACCAGGGTGATCTAGACATTGCCCTGGTCCAGTGTGGTCGGCTCTCAGCTGCAAATCATGCTCGATTTGGATATACTGTTGAAACATACGAGATGGCAGTGCTGGCAGGATCAAAACACGAGAAACCAGATTGGCAGAATTACTAGTTTTGTTGAGTTGGCAACAAGCGCTAATCTGGCCTAATGAAATCCTCGTTTGAAAATCACAATCAATAATGAACACGAGACCATTTCCTTGTTGAATCGTATCCGCGGTAGAATAAGGAGGCGAAAATACCCGTGGAATGTTCAAGGCCTGTATTTCTGAATATTTTCTAGTGATATCAAGCTCAGCGCATCGCAAACAGCAAGGCAATCATAACAGAAAGAAAAAATCCCATTTCTATATGGTACTTCCTGATACACTAGATTGAAGTGGACATTGGACCATCCTAATTCTTTTCCCACCACTAGACTCCACGAAAAACATAAAATCAACCGATTCGGAATAAAACCCAGATGCGTTCTTAAAGTCGTAAAAAAGTCTCATTTGCTAGAAACCATTCCAGCCAGGACACCTGCTCCAATTACTCCTCCGTCAGAAGCCTCACGCAAGAACACTGACTTTCCGCCCCGCTGCGGACCGGTCCGCATGATCAGTCGATCGATATGCTGTTGGCACATTTCCTTGAATTGAGGATAGTGCTGGATGATGCCGCCTGTGTATGCCACCACCAACTCCTCCGGGCCAGACTGCCAATCGACAGGAATTGGCTGTAGGACTGGGACGACGTGGCCGTGAAAGCTATTGCTGACGGGGTTTGGAGTATGGGTCGATTGTGCACTGGAAGCTGAGTCTGCTGTGCTGTCAGGCACTGCTATATCACCGTTACTTTGTGGCGAAGCTGCATTCTCAGGGGTGTTGATATTGCTATCTTCTTTCAACTCGATCTCGCGACAGCATGCAAGAAGGCCAATCACGGCGGCAGCGATCAGGCCAGCCGATCGTCGTTGAACGGTGCGGGCGATTCGACGGAAGGCCCCTGCAGTGCGGGCATCCCAACGCCAGTCGCTACTCTCCGGTGGGGGCAAGGAGCTGTTGAGTTCCTTTGCGAGGTCGATGTCTGATCTGGCACGAGCGACATTGTCAGAGATATAGGTAGTAGTCAGGGCGTATTCTTGGATGAGGTTTGCGGGGAGGATTCGTTTCGAGAGGCCCGCTATTTCGGTAAGGTAGTCGAATAGGATCAGACGAATCAATTCACCAATGTACCGTCCACCAGTCATATACTCGAACGGCTGGAATCCCGGGCGCGCACAGGCCCGGTCCAGCTCGACATCCCATTTGGTGGTGATGTTCAGCTCCCGGAGTGGTGGCGCTGCGCCCGAAATTGTCCATTCCGTATTGACGATTGTTTCGACGGCCTCTGCGTTCATGGCGTTGACATTCTTTGCTTTGGATTCGTGCAACGAATCGAGTTTCATTGGGATGGTTGCGTTACATCCGGTTCCCACGATGATGCCCATTGCAACCCGGCTGTTGGGCAGGGATTTGACAGCATATGCGAGTGAGGCCAGCGTCGCAACCGTATCGTTTGTGATGGCTTGGATCTTGAGCTTGGGCAGAGCAAAGAGCTTGCGACGTTTAGAAGACGGTTCGTCCTCGTCCGGCCTTCTCGTGTGCTTTTCGTATCCGTTTAATAGAATATTGCGCAGGTTGAGGTTAGATGTAATAGCAAATCCTTTACCCATGGGCATCAATGTAGCCTCAGCCAAGGATTCTTGCCTGCATATTCATTAGCATTAGACAAGATGCGACCTTATAAGATCCCCAAAAAATCAAAAGTTTTTTTTCAAGAAGATGGAAGACTGACATTATGGGAAAACTGAAGGTGATACCCATGTCGAGTTCGGCTGGGATATCCTTCTTGGTGTCATCCGAGGTCAGACTCTCCGCAACCACCTCCGCAATACAATCTCCGATCCAATCGAATAAATCTTCGGCTTTGTCCATCTTCAAATGTTCTTGAATGGGCCATGCTCGCTCAAGAGTTCGCTTTACTCGCTGTCGCTGAGCTTTGCGGATGGTATTCCGCGATCTCTCTGAGGCATCTGCGGGGTGACTCTCAGATTCCACTTCACCTAGTAACTCGATGAAAGCGACTCGGAGATTACTACCTCCTACGTCGATGGCCAAGTAACGACCGGCTTCCTGGCCAGTAGGTAATTGAGTCACCGGGGTCGGCAAGAATTGCTGGTCTGAGGTCAGGGCCAAATGGCGGTATGTATCGGAGAAGCGGCGGGCCAGCCTGTACAGGACGGCCTCGTCCAAACACAAGGGGCCAAGGAAGTCATCTAGTCGCTGATGATACTCGAGGTATTCTCTTTGAGATGGATCCAGCTCAGAACTGGGCTCTTCTGGTTCTTCATCCTCGATGGTATCGTCGTGCATGATGTCATGTTCCTCATCCTTCTCGGACGATATTGAATTAACAGACGCCATTGGGGAGATGTTCGGTGGTATTTAAACCACCCAGGAATGATCAAAGGAGTCAAAAAAAGGCAATGCCCCTAAAAATGAAAATGAAATGACAAAAGTAGAAATTGAAAAATGGAAGGTGAAGATAGAACCCGCGATGTTGTTTAGACAACAAATGAACTAGGAAGTTCAAGTTCTGCCCTTGCGTTTGATTCTGATGGATGACAAGGAAAGCGGAAAGCTAAAAAAAAAAAATACCTGGGCAAAGAGAGCGTTAGTAAGGTTGCAATTCACGGGTCGGCCGGGTGAACACTTTGGCAAAATGCAAATGCAAATTCAAAATGCAAACTGCAAACTGCAAAATGGTGACGCGGTCTGCGGTGCGGGGAGGGGGGAAGAAGCAGCAAAAGAAGGGAAAGAAAAAAGGAAAAAAAATACAGGGGACGATCATGCCGGGAAAGATCTTCAGCTGTCATAGAATGTTTTTTTTCTCTTTCTCCTTCGTACTACTCCGTACATACGTACCTAATCTTGGAAGGTAACTGTGGATTCCGGTCTATCAAGGGGCAAGTTCCAGATGTAATGCGATCCGGGATCGGCCAGGGATCCGAGAAGAGGCTGGAGCTCCTGGGTAGATAGGTAATGGTGTATAGTTATATATAGGGCGATGGTGGTATACTCCTGTAAGTATATCTGGACTCTCACTGGATAATATCTTTCCAATGACTGCCCGATCTCCACTCTTCCCCGTTTTGCCAGGGAGAGGGAGCTCTCTGTCAATTTACGGTTTTATGGTTTGTATGGGTTTGTCTCCAGTTCAGGCTTGAACTAACTCAACGGAAGAGTGCGAGTGGATCTCCCCTTCAAGCCCCTGTGGTCCCGATGGTCCCTGGGGGAATCGATGATACTAGGTAATGTAATATCAACCGACGGATTCACGGGTTCGCCCGATGATGATAACTGTTTAAAGTTGAAATGATGCCAGTGACCCAGGCGATGTTATTGACGATGAGCAGGCAAAACGAGGATCAAATCAGATCAAATCCCAATCAAATTCGATGGACTCGGCGAGATTTAAGCACGAGCTGGCGGAGATGCGACCATCGGGGAGAGGGGGAGGACACGAGTCGATACCACCCTATTTTCCTTATTTCTATTTGTTCATGTTCATCCTCGCCTTTCTTCCTCTTTCGCCTTGAATTCCCGCGATTGGCCTTCCAAGGACCGTGAAACTCTCCTCATCTCTCCACTCATCACAACTTCCAGCGGCTATTTCGTATTAGGGAATTTCATCACGATATATCCAATTTGTGAAGCTAGTCTGACGATCGGAGATAGTTCCACTCTCTCTGTTTCCACGCGCACACTGGCACACTGGCTCTACATCCCCTCTCCTCCCCGCCATTCCCCTTCTTCCAAACGGGAACTATGTAACCCTACCGGGCCATCCGAATGAGCGATCTCCCCTCCCTCGTCCTCGGTTAGAGAACTCGGCTACAATCACTCTTGTTTTCGCCATTCAGCCTTCAGGCGCCAGCTTGGCTCTCACTCGTTACGGGGAAAATGGAATAAATTACGCACGGTCGCGAGCCAAAAGCCCCATGCCCATGCGGCAAAGAGGGTAAAAGTGTGGGGCAAACGAAAACGTGCTAAGTTTATCTCGTTCATCGCGCCATTCGCCGAGTTCCTACCTAGGTATTTAATGATATTTTCTTTTTTTTCCCTCATTTTTTTGCCCTTTTTCACTTTTCTCTTAATGTTCAACTGCCGTGGTTGGCGGTACTCCTCTGGCCCAACCCGGGAATGACCGTGTACATCCCCAACATTGGCGGGCACAAACCCACATCCTAAGCCAGTAGGGCCAACAGAACCAAACAGGGTCTCGATCATTTGCTGGTCAGCCACCAAAGAACTGTCAGCTTCCACGCGACTGGTCCAAACTCGTTTCAAGATTTGTTAAGAGAGGGGAGGATCTAAGTTCGGACTCTATCACCTGCTCCCCGTCCTCCCGTTGCCCCGTCGCCCCATCATCTCGTCATCAAAGAGACTTGCACAAACAGGCACAAAAAAGAGAGCCTCACAGGACGCGGTGCCACACCGACGGCGCTAAACGGGAACGCCATCGGAAATTTTGCATTTGAAATCCGGCTTTGGCTCTTGGGGATTTGGAGAACTTTAAAAGCTTGGGCACCAACATCTGGGCAAGGGCCTCCGAAGTCGGAGTTCAGGCATACGGAAGATGTATTGATTTGACGCCCTTGTCGATATCGCGGTGGAGAGGTGGAGGGGCTCCGCTGAGTCCACGAGGCGTTTCAGCGTCTCGGGTTGAATATTGGGTAATAATAGGCTCGTTCGGCTTAAAGGGCCTGGACACGATGAAATTGATCTTGATCATCAATGCTCACTAACATTGCCTATCCTAGCAAGGGGAGACGGAAATTCGCCAAACTCGACCCACGTATCAACTCCGTATCCTATGAGAACAAACTAACAAGCCAATCTGCCATTGGTATCCTCTTCCCCCTCTCAGTCTGAGACATGAATAGGAAGCTTATGGCCGCCTATCAGCATTCATCAACTGCCACAGGTAGTCTCCACGGAACTAATCGGCAGCAATTATCTTCCCTTTCCTTCTCTTCCCGGTCCCTTGTTTATCCACTATGGACCCAACACCTGTACTCCGTCCACCTTGAGAATCCTGAAGCTGTGGTCAGGTGGGCTGGTTGCCTTGCAGCTGACACATGGCGATTTACCCGTAGCTTGGATTGCGTGACATTTTTGGTGGCACTAACTAGCCTTAACCGCCTGCGCGGCTTACGCGAGTACGAATCGACCTTATGGTTCAAAGCTCCGCACGGATCGAAATAATCATAGAACAGCTCGTGTCAACTAGACCATGAGGCTCGCGTTTTGATGCTATATCAGGAGATCTTACGTTCTTTTTTTTTCGATTATCGGTGACTAGTAAAACGGATGTTGTGTAGGTTAGCTATATCGATACATTCGTTCGTTCGTTTCCGGGTCCCTCGGTGTAACCAAGGACATAAAAGTGCCTTAGAAAAATACGTCCACCAAAGTTTCTCCATGTCATTTTTTGCCGTCTTGATCGCCTACTCCGTAACGTTCTCGTACCCTTCTGAAGAACCTATTCGAGGGGCCAGAAGCTTCGCAAGGTCCCTTTCATTGGCTGTCTGATATTTCCAAGAAATTCAGCCCACTTGAGATCCATGACTTGGACACATGATGGGATACTAGTAGTTGACATATTATCATATCTCCCAGTGTGCACCTCCTCTTGGGTACCGGTACTAGGTACCTGGGTAGTAGGTAGTATCTCTTACCTAGGTATGCCGGTCATTTCTTTGTAAGTTTGAATGGTGTCAACCTTGGAACCAATCACCTGGGCATAACCAGCTTATGGAAACGTACAGTTCGTTTAGTCCAGAAGTTCAAGAGCTATGTCGCTTAGCTGAGAATTTGAAGCCATGGATCACTGCCCCGCGCTCTCATCCTCATAACGCTGTCAAGGGGAGACTGGCACTGGCATTGGTCGGGGGTTTTCAAACCTGAGCAGTCAGCAATGAGCGGCAATCGGAGATGTTAGAGTAACTCTATGGATACGTGCCTGGCGAGTTGCCACCGGATATGCATCATATACATGGACATTTTATCCAGGAAGATATGTCCGAGCTTCCCTTGAAACTGCCGAAATATGAAATTAGGGGGGTTACCCTGACACTTCTATTGCGCTCGTTTGAAGTGGTGCAAACAAAACGCGAGGCCTCCACTGCGGTGGTACCCAGGAAAGCGTACACCCGATACAAACGAAAACGCGAAGACTTCCAAGATTCCGGCGTAATCTGCATCATAAGAAGAGGCAGGGTACTGGAAAGATATAAAGGGGCAAACTTAACTTGCTTGAGAAACTGATAAATATGGTATTCTACTAACCATGGGATTGGCATGAACAATGGCTACTACCTACTACTAGTAGGAGTATTAGTAGTACTTCTTCACCTTTCCTTGGCCATTGATACCTAGGTATCAAGTAATATCTACTAGTAAGTGTAAGGCCATCCATGAGTACTACTGGGGAGCCTGAGGTTGACTCCTCCGAATCTTATTCCCGGACGATCCGATATCAAAATATGGCTGTGCAAACTAAGTACAACTTGGATATTCTTCACGGAACTCTACTCATATAGCCAGGATATTGCTTGACGTCATATAGCACTGGCAAGATGGCCGAGCGGTCTAAGGCGCACGGTTCAGGTTTACCTGATCCTCTGAGATCTATTATAGATTTCCGTGTCTCGAAAGGGGCGTGGGTTCGAATCCCACTCTTGTCATAGTTTTTGAACTATTTTTGCTTATCTGGGTGCCATTATATCGTGGATCGAAAGTGGGGTGGTCGACCAGCAAGCTGGAACGGATAGAAAGGGGACCGAATCTACATAACAAGAAGCATTTGATACGTTTGTGGGCTGAATGGATACAATCCGGGATTCTACTAAAATATTCAATCTAGAATACAATATCTCAATCGTATTTCAGCTATGGAATAGTAGGTCTAACCAAAAAAGCTATACTCCGTACATTATACTAGTTATGTCACCAAGCCGAGACCCCACAGTAGCTACCTTACGTAACCCGATTTACAAGGGGCTCCTCGCAGGAATCACAACTTCTCCGCACTTCATCCTAAGAATGACAGACCCAAAAAAATCAGTCCTCTCTGGGACTTCTAGCGATATGGAAAAACTGCCCATCCATACTAACGAGGACCTCGCGGTTCCCCAGCCTAGATGGGCTACCGCAGAACAACGCCAAAACAGACCCCCGAAAAACTGCCTGCTTCGTCGCATCTTTATTGCACTGGTCTGTTTTGCCGGCTTCTATCTGTTTGTTACAAGGGGATCTGAATTTCGTCTTCCTGCGCCATGTCATGCTTCCGGTTTTTCCAAGCAAACCATCGCGGACCACAAAGAGCAAGCCCATACGCTGAACTCCGATAACCTGCATGCTCCCGGGTCTCATAAGATTCCACTGGAAGCTCACATCATGAGCAAATGCCCCGATGCGAAATCGTGTCTGAAGGAGTTGATTCTGCCAACGATGGAGCAAGTCAGTGACAAGGTAGACTTCCAACTATCGTTTATCGCGAAGTAAGCGCAGTCGCATCCTGGGCCATCTCACCCCCTCTCTGCCCCCAAACGCGAGCTTCTGATACTCATTCATCGCATGTATAGCTGGAACCCCGCGTCGGAAGAAATTGAATGCAAACATGGTCCAACCGAATGCATCGGCAACATGCTCATACTTTGTGCTGCAAATCTTCCTTTCCCTCCTACATCCGACGAATCGCTGCTCTCGGAAATGTACCCTCGTACTCCTGTCATTCGATCGTTAGGTTTCGCAAACTGCTTGATTGACGATTTCCCTCGTATACCCGAACGCGATTTTGTTCACCAGTGTGCCTTGGAGCATGGTATTGATTTTGATGCTCTGAACCGCTGCGCTAGTCAACAGGATGACACCCCCGGCGAGTCGCTCAGCGGAATTGCTCTTTTAAGACAGAGCGTACAACGAAGCAAGGAACTCGGCGTCACTGCAAGTTGTACGGTTCGTCTGGACGACAAGGTCTGGTGCATTAAGGACGGTGGTGAATGGAAGGACTGTGTCCAGAATGGTGAGGGTGGTAAACCACAAGTACTGGTTGATGAAATCAACAAACTCTACAAAGAGAAGAATTAGGATTGACACGACGCCTATTGATACCCCACACAGAGACTCAGTGAATGATTAGCAATATTTTATAATTTATCTTCGGGGTTTACTCTTATTCTTAGCAAGAGCAAGTGCTTATTTTTATCCTAAAAGCCCTTGCCTTGGCTAATTCTAAGGATCTGCCTGATCCTCAAGATGAGCCTCACTAGTTTCTCCCAGTATGTTATCTACCAGTGCCAAACCACTCAAGCCCGAGGCATCGACCCGTCCGCACCATCTTTCCCTCTCCCCCTCCCTGCACAAACCAATAACGTCTTTGACCGTCGGTGTTCCCTTCTTCAATTGTTCACATCGCCTATTCTGTGACCCTAAACAGCGCGCTCAACCTCACCAACAATGGTTTCTCTCAATCGGAAGGTAGCCGAATTGCGAGCCAAATACGATGGTATCAGCGAGCCTTCTCCGGTTCTCACGAGAGTTCTGGATGACGATACCAAATCGGCGGCCCTCTACTATTTAGTAAACCGCCAGGTACAGCTCATTTGCTGCCACTCCTCGAACTGGGATGACGGCGAGGTGACCATCTACGACATTGCACTGGCCCGCATGTACGAAAAGGGCCTACCCCTTCAAAATATTGGTCTGCTCGAACTCTTTTTCGCCCAGTACATAGGCCTCGGTCCCTGCAACTCCGCCGATGAAGAAGAGACAACTGTAAATGCCTTCCTTGCAGCAGCTCATCCCATCACGCACAATGGTCGGTACCTTCTGCGCCTATGCCTCACCCTTCCAAGTTGACTCAAAGTTTAACGAGTCACAATAGCTACGACGGACACTGAGAGTCCCTACGTTTATCAGAGCCACAATGACCAGGACTCTTCCGATGCCATTTACCAAGGAAACGACCAAGGAGACGACCAAGGAGACAATTTCAGCCACCGATCTGAACCGAGCAAAAAGGACAAACCTAAGACTGGATATGATCTCAAAGACGACAAAAAACCTTCTTCCCGGAAGGAAGCATTACTGGAGAACCTTATTCAAGTCTACCAGGCTGCCAAAGCTGATTACTATCTCGGTGACGCTGACAAGTCCGGTATTTCGAGCAAGAAAACCGACAAGTTCAGCAATGTTCGCTTCCTCCGTGACAGCTCTGAGAACTTGCTTCGTTACATGAGATCTGAGGGCCATGGCAACCATCCGCTGGTCTCTGAAGTTGAAAATGTCGCCGATGCAAGCCGTGGACATGCTGAACACCTTGCTGGTTGCAAGAGAAGCTATGAACGACAGGCGGGTAGTAACGACGCTCACTCTCCGCGGCCCCGCAAGCGCCGACGCCGGGTGGTTGACTCATATCGCCCTGGAAATTAAAACCAAACAACTATGGGACTGCTCTGTCGCGGTGGAGAGCTTGATGCGTTTTACTTGCAAGCGGGTGAATTCGGAGATTTAGCAACGTCTGGGGGTGTGGTCATGTTTCTACCCTCAATTTTCAATGCGGAGATAGATGAAGTTTTCACCAATTACAAAAAGTTAACTAGTACCATATTATTATTCTGTGATACCAACACTGACCCTTTTGAATTCTCCGATGTATACTCTCCGTCCGTAGTTCAGCCCTGTAACAAAGTCCCTCCAATGAGACAAGACTTGCCGGGGAACGCGTCGATCTGCGCTAAACCACTTTGGTTGTATCTCCACGTGCCGGGATTACATAACATTTTGCGGTCTCGAGGTCGGGTCAGCTGGGAATCCGACATCTTTTTTCGGCCAGGAGCAGCTCCATAGATGGAGCTGGTACGGAGATCATAATACTGGGGAATCCCTGCTAAATGAATCTCTAGTTCAACCGCCGTGCACATTTGCCCACTCCACGATAACCGGTCGAGAATGGGCTCTCTTCACATTCCTCCTCCCGCCGCGGGGAATGCGAGATCCGACGATTCCGCCTCCTCCTCCTCGAACTCTCGATACACACCCGTCTCCAATGATCCGGAAGAACAAGAACAAGAAGAATATGACTACTCGGCTTCACGGTTGGGGAAAGCGCCTATGGGAAACTTGCGATTACAGACGGATTTCGAAGAAGATGCGGAGACGGGCGAGCCTGTTTCCGAAGACGAGGATAATCGATATGATTCTGATGAGGATATCGAAGGAAAGACAGGGCGAGCTGTGGATGGTCCGAAATACACACCAGATGAAGAAAAAGAAGTTGTTTCGGTATTTGATCGACGCCTAGTACCATTTTTGGCCTTACTTTATTTGCTGGCTTTCCTAGACCGTTCAAGTATGTTTGCATTGGATCTTTGGTGTTTGATGATCTATATTGTGCTAACTGGCGGAAAAAGATATCGGAAACGCAAAAATCGCCGGTCTACAAGATGATCTAAACCTCTCATCTTCGCAATATGAATGGTTACTTACCGCATTCTACATCACCTACATCCTCTTCGAATGGATGACCCTTATGTACCGCCTGGTACCACCGCATATCTATATATCCCTCTGTGTTTGTGGATGGGGCCTCGTGGCATCATTTCAATGTCTCGCCACTTCATTCTGGGGACTTGTCGTCCTCCGTGCTCTGCTCGGAATTACCGAAGCGGCCTTTGGCCCCGGTGTTCCGTTTTATCTATCACTGTTCTACAAGCGTGACGAACTTGCATTTAGAAATGGGCTTTTTATTTCAGCGGCTCCTCTGGCGACCTCTTTTGCGAGCACCCTGGCTTGGATCATCGTTAAGATCAGCAGCAATGGCGCTATCTCTCCCTGGCGCATTCTCTTTTTGGTCGAGGGCTTCCCCAGCGTCATCGCTGCTGTTTTTGCCTGGATAGTAATTCCGGACTCTCCTGGTCGAGCTCGCTTTCTGACCCGCCGACAGCGAGGCATTGCTCGACTCCGTCTTGAAGGGGAAAAGCCCGAACCCCAACATTCGCAGGAGCAGCAGCAGTTTAACTGGGGGGAAATTAAGAAGACACTTGCCGACCCCAAGGCATACATGGCTGCTGTGAGTTCCTATTTTGAGCATATTTCCTACAACACCTCAACTAATTTTTTGTTTCCAGTTTATGTTTTTCAGCTGCAACGTTGCCTTCAGTTCCATGCCGGTGTTTCTCCCCACTATTATCAAAGAGTAAGCTTGTCTCATACTTACACCCAAAATCAATCTCTGACCCCAGTAGCATGGGATATGACTCTCTTCATGCTCAAGCGCGTTCCGCACCCCCATATCTTGTCGCATTTGTCGTCGTCCTCATGACAGCTTACGCCTCGGACCGCGCACGCACACGAAGCCCTTATCTCATCGCACACGCCCTCATCTCCTCTGCTGCGTACCTCGCCATCGCGTTGACGGGTTACTTCCACGATCACATCTCCCCCGGGCTGAGCATCTTTATCCGATACATTTGCGTGTTCCCAGCCACGGCGGGATTTTTCTCAGCAATCACTTTAATCATCACCTGGTCAATGGATAATCGAGTCGAGAAGGAAGGTAAAGGAGCTAGTATCGCCATCTTGAATGTCATCGGGCAGTGTGGGCCATTACTTGGAACACGATTATACCCCGAGTCCGACGGCCCATGGTACGTTCCTGGTATGGCAATCTGTTCGTTTTTCATGGTCGTCGTCGCTATATTGGCCCTTGTGTTGCGGATCTTGTTACAGAGAGAGAACCGGGCCGTTGCCGATGATGAGGATCACGGGACTGTGGACCCGGGCGAGGAGCGAGAAGAGCTTATGGGCGGCGGAAGAAGGGATGACCTTGAAGGATCTGGTGATCAAAGGCTTGTGTATATCATTTAGTGGTCCATGATGGGTGTTATTTCATGCATTTGGCGTTGTTTTTTCAATGCTCTATATACCCTCATATCTAGAGAGACTATCTAGTCATCAATCCACACGGAGAAATTGCTATTCACCTGAAGCTGTAATTATCTTTCAACTAACCTCGGGAAGTATAGAGGGGGGAATGGTTGGTACTTGAAAATGCTTGATGCAATATTAAATTGTGATATATCACTAAAGCTTATGGCAGATTCTATACCAAGAAGGATAGTAGATAGTGTGAACCCGAACCCGAATTTTGAGCGAGCCGAACCCGAGTCTTTGGTATTAAGAGTTCCCAATCATCCCACGCCGCGGAGTATTGGACGACAAAGTAGTAGGGTCGGGAAGGAAAATTCACCCTTGTGGATGCAATTTGATGCAGCATGCAACCTATTTACAGCGCCTAGCATGCTGGGAAAAAAATCGATACTGCCCGATGCTGTTTGCTTTTTGATGAATGGCTATTCCCAGGTCTTGAGTCTGTGGCCTGTGGTGCTGGTGCTTTTTGGTTCATTTTTGTTGTATTATTGGGTATCATGGTTCTCGTTGCAAGCATTTACCACGCGGTATGGCCACCATCGATGAGCATAGTACTGCCGGTCATGAAGCTGCTAGCATCGGACAAAGCAAAGAGGGCGGCACCTCGAAACTCCTCTGGCATTGCCAAGCGACCAAGCATGTTCTCAGCTTCCCAAGTGGCTCGAGCAGCAGGATTCTGTTGGAAGACCTCCTCGACCATTGGGGTGATGATGTGACCGGGGCACAGGCTGTTGACACGAATGCCGTGACGACCCCACTCCATTGCCAGTGAACGAGCCAGCTGGATGACGGCAGCTTTGGAGGAGTTGTAAACAGGCGATGTCATGCCCTTGTTCGCGATAAGGCCACTCATGCTGGCGACCAACAATATAGAGCCCTTGACCTGGTAATTGAACATCTGGCGAGCAGCAGCGGTGGCCGAGTTGAAGACACCATTGTAATTGATGGTCATTACATCATCTAGAGCTTGTTGAGAGTGTTCCAATGCACTAGAGAGGTGGTTGATACCGGCGGCGGCGATCAGACCGTCAAGGCGTTCGTGTTGAGCGGCAATAGCAGCGAATGTGTTGTTCACTTCAGTGTTGTTGCGTACATCAATGCGGATATACTCCAAAGTACCGCCATACTCGTTTTCGGCTTTCCCCTGAGCTTTGATGAAATCAGGATGGGGGGTCTCGAGGCGATCGAGAGCATACACTAGGATTGATATTAGTCAAAGATCCTGTTTTTGATACAAATGAGTCAATTGCATACCTTTTGCACCGGCCTCAATCAATGCTTCCCCCATTGAGAGACCTAATCCTCTACCACCACCGGTTATAGCAAATACACGGCCCTCAAGATCAAACTCGCGGAATCGATTGGCATTGCGTAGCTGTTTCTTGGACGGCAGCTTGGACTGAACGTGGTCGGGGCTGTGAGAGATGTTGTGGATATCCTGCGGATTAAATGCACTCTTGGTGCTTGAATAGAGCCTGGTCGAGGAAGACGCAAGAACGCGCGGAGCCGAGATACTAATTGCGGCGCCAGAGAAGCGAGCGCGAACCGGGGTGAAAGCTCGAGACATTGAGAAAGACATTTTATTAGGCGTGGCGATCAAGGTCTGGCCCAACGTTTGAAAGTGACAAAAATAACTTATGTCAACGACCTCAATCAAGGTGTGTCGCGGGCGGGGGTATACAAGTCGACAACACGCAAGTATGCAAATAATCTGAACGCTGTCCAAGGTCAATGGTTTCTCTTGGGGGAATGGGGTTTTATGTCTAAGGGTGACCGGAGCGGTATTTCCCATCAAAGGTAACCGAAAAGCAAAGGCGTTTCAATTCGAAGGGGTACTACAGAAAAAAAATCCGAAAAAGAAAAACGAAGCACCGCGTGACACTGGTGAATTTGCCTGCTGCTTTCACCATGACTTAAGATCCAGACAAATCGACCGAGAGCATCCACGGGTTGACCGATTGCCACATCAGCTGGGCGCAATTGGCAAACACTATGGGGTAAGGAGGTAAATCCTCCGCTTGGCAGTACAATGATCCCCTGGACTAACGCGCAGTCTCATCGGCATCGTGATCTGTCCATAGCCCATAGCTGAGAACGGTAATACTTCGAAGGCTTCGATGGAATGGCCCACTTTGGGCGGGTCCCCGAAGTATTTTTTTTTCGCAGATCTGCAAGCCCTTGCTAGCCAGCTTTAAACGCGCCTGGTGTGGATATAATTAATTGTGGAGTCTAGGCGCTTCCAGGACGTCTCCCGGTCTTCCGACCCCTAGAAATGGCCAACGAGATGCTGGGCATGGGATCTCGTGTCTATTCTCCGTGCATACATCGTAGATGCAAGCCTCCAGGGTAGCAACAACAAAGCCCATGGTACCGAAAGGCCTGGATCCACCGATTAAGAACAGAATTTCAAAAGGATCCGGGTCCCTGGGACAGGTCAGTTGACTGGAATGCCTGCACGAGCCCCCGCTAAAAATATGATGGGCCCGGGGCAAAAAGAGCGGTTGCTGTGAGATACCCCGGGATGTCCAAATCGGGTAACCCTTGGAAGTCCCGGATTCACACCGACGTGGATCGGAGTAGTACGAAGTACAAGAAAAGTTAAATGCAAGCTTAACATTTCTTCGGTGAGTTCAAAAAGGACCTGCCCTGGTGGATTGCATGCTATCAATTCTACCACAAAGAGCGGCCTGGTCTCTCGACCTGTCGCCCCGGGTTCCCCAGTTTCTCCATTGACTCCGACCCAATTCAGTGCTGTTCGTGGGACTGGGTCTAAGTGCTGTCCCAATTGCTGTGAAACAGTACTTTCGTCCGGGACCAAGCTTGCACGATCCACCGGGAATCCCGATTAGCTCAGAGCTCACATATTTAGCCACCCTTCGGCGATGAAGACAAGGATCATCGATTGCATAGAATTCAGGCTTGAGAGCCCTCAAACCAAGTGTCTTTGGTCACCTGGCCCCGGCAAAAGAAATAATAATTCCATTTTTGGCAATTTTAAGGACTTATCAACTCTCTAAATATTGTTGACACGTCGGCCCGTTTTACAATGAACCGGTGTGTTCATGTACCTAGTATAGTTTCAAGTTATACATACCTAGGCGGATAATTCCTAGCCTGAGGTGTCTAAACCTCGCCATGGGTATTTTACCTTTTACCCAGATTTCACCCAATTCAACACTTTCTACCGGTTTGAATCGGGAAAGGGTGCTTGGCCATTTTTACTACTTCATAGAAGCTATAGTGTTTATATACCCATTGGAGGTTAGTGGAACTGCCCACCAGACCGAAGCGCCAACATCGACAGTTGAAATGAGCAGTATACGGTGAGGCTATATAAAATCACATGGACCTGTGATCTCCGGCCGGCTTGGCAATCGTCAAGTAACTTCTTGAGGTTGAAAATTGTTGCATCCGACCGCGCCGAGTCAACGATCATAGACCCACCCGGCTTCACATCCCAACCCTACTTGTAGTACTATCATCAATTTGCCACAAGCATGCCACTACGTCGCTCACACGCTAAGTCTCACCATGGATGCAAGCAGTGCAAGGCGCGCCGGATAAAATGCGATGAAAATCGTCCAGCTTGTGGATCGTGTCACAGAAAAGGCCTCGCATGCTCATTCAACGCGTCCCACGCACCCCCGCAACTTCTGAGCCCCACAACAAACCACGCGAGACCAGGACATGGGAATATAGCCAGACTTCCTGTCCAGGAACTTGAACTGCTTCATCACTGGCATACTGTAACGGCTTCATCGCTGGCACAGAACGATGCCTTGAGTCAAGTTTTTCAGATACACGTCCCCCGCAAAGGGATTGCCCATCCCTTTTTAATGCACGCGATACTGGGAATTTCAGCACTGCATCTTTCTCACCAAGTTTCTGATATTCATCGCCAAATACATACTGGAGTCGCAATACAATATCACAGCCTCGCGATGTCGCTTTGTACGCCACTATTAACCAATGTTACGGCGGAAAATTGCGACGCGCTCTTCGCTTGTTCGCTTCTCATTGCCAGTTTTACTTTCGCTTCTAGAACGTTAAATTCTGGTTTCACACCCATGGGTTTGGTTGAAGTAATAGAAGTGTTCACTCTAGTTCGTGGAACTGCGTCAATTGTGGAAAAGGCTCGGTCCTGGATCGAACAGGGTGATATGAGGCTCTTGTTGAAATTCACCCGGTGCGCACAGCAGATTCCAAAGTCTAAGAATTCTCATGAGGTACATACCCAATTGGAAGCTTTAATTGGAGACTATGAAGATATAGAAACCTATTCATTTCAGAGTGCTGCGCAGGCCATTGTTCTGGACTCTATCAAGCATCTCTTGGACGTTTTTGACTCCTGCATTGCTAGTGAAAACCAGAGCACAATTTTAGCGTGGCCTGCGATAGTAGATTCAGAATTTCTGGACCTGCTATCTCAAAAAGAAGATGGTTCTTTGGTGGCCCTAGCCTACTACGGGGCAGTTCTACATGTTATGACTAAGGCTTGGTGGATGGAAGGTTGGGGAAAGTTTTTGGTCATTCTTGCCGCGGACTGTTTGGATGAACATGCACAGTCGGCAATTGCCTGGCCTTTAGGCGTTATCAAGAATGATGAAAGGTCTTCGTAACCTTTAATGTGTACGGTATAGTTTTCGAAGCTACTGTAGAGCAATGTGGGTCATAACAAATCCAATCCTCCCGAGGTACGCGAGAGCGCAACCTATGATCTTCTTCACTTGGGTTCAAAGCAAGGTCATGAAAGTCAACATGGTCGTTCAGTCTATCTGAAGCCGAAGGCAGCAGTTGATATAAAAGGAAAACCACTCCAAATGGGGTCTTCAGGGTTTCCCCACAGTTTGTTCCCAGAAGTGGATCTATGTCCAAGTTAAACCGTAGATCCAATCCACAAATCCTAAATCTGCACAATCGTAATCTTGTTCAAGGTAGTCAGTCTATGGAAAATTTTCGGAGGAGCCGGAATATTTTCATACACAAATAGGATGATCTTACCCATATAGATGTGCTAGCACAAGCTGTTTTTGAGATACTTCACATCTATTTTGGAATAATACGAAAGTTGTTGAGGATATTAAACTAGACGGTGATCGCATCGTATGTATAAACTTATAATAACAAAAAAGTCACGACACTAGGCGTGTGGTTTGATCAAGCACGATTTCTCATGATTTAGGAGGCAGAGGCTTGAGCGGCCACCCAGAGTCACGGTCAAAGACCGTTTCAAATTTCCACTTCCCATGGGTAACAATCTTTTGCAAGTCTTTAGACCTATTGGGTAGAAAAACCTCGCAACTAATACCGGGTGGAACGATGATTGTTGCTTCTAAATAGGTTTGATTATCTTGCAAGGCAGTCGTCTTCCATGAACAAGAAATGTGACCCATAGGAGTTTCATGTGAAGCCGAAGCATTTGAGAGCTCAGCACCTATGCACGGTGCAAAGCGGCACTTTCTCCATCCGACGCTTAATCTTTGCAAGCCTGCGACTCTTTCGTATAAAAACTTGGCAATTGAGCCGAATGCATAATGGTTGAAAGAAGTCATCTCACCTGGATTTATGGATCCATCAGGAAGCATGCTATCCCACCGCTCCCACATTGTGGTGGCTCCCATGCTTACTGGGTATAACCAAGAAGGACAGCTTTCTTCAAGAATCATTGCATAAGCCACTTGAATATGCCCAGTTAAGACAAGTGCTTCACATAAGAAAGGTGTACCAGCAAACCCTGTTCCTATCCGAAAGCTATTCTTCCGTACCAGATAAACAAGGTGTAGCCCAGCTCGCTCTTGCTGCGCGGGCGTCAGTAGACCGAAGCAGATTGCGATGGCATAGGCTGCCTGGCTGTCAGATACAAGACGACCATTAGGTGTCACATATTCGTCTTGAAATTCTTTTTCGGTCATTTGGAGGTCATGTTGAAATCTTAATTCATCTTGGTCCTTATGAAGAAGACCTGCAATTTTGACCATGAGGCCTAGACTGCGGATCAGAAATGCATTTGCCACCAGCTGAGCGTCGGTTTTACCCTTCCAAGGTGCATCCGGCGGAGCGTCTGGATCTAACCAATCCTATATTCACAGCTCAGTCATTGACAAATACGATCGATAAAGGTGTTATATCTTACCCCAAGTTGAAAAATGGTAGTATCCCATAAATGAGTAGACCCGTCTTTCCTTCTGGGTATTTTTCTTATCCAAATTTCCATGCTCTCATACTGCTGTTCCAAAATTTCGATATTGCCAGTCTCTTCGTAGAGGGCCCATGGTGCTAGGATTGTAACATCATGCCAGACAGCACAGGGTTTTCGGCGACACCAGATAGGATCAGGGAGCGTGGCGTTCGGAGTGACCATGGCAGGAACTCCATCTAGGACCTGTTGATCATACCAAACATCAACAAGCCAATTTTTCAGAAATTCATAACAGTCGAATATCAAGACTGCCGTCGGTGCGAAGAGGGCAAGATCTCCAGACCAACCTAATCGCTCATCGCGCTGGGGGCAGTCTGTGGGTACTGCAAGAAAGTTTCCCTTCATTCCCCAGAGAACATTGTGATACAGCTGATTGAGTGAACCGCTGGAGCATGAAAATGAGCCAACTTCTTTCATATCTGTATGACATACAACTGCTTCGACTGAGTCCATCAAAGTAAAATCGCTGCACCACCCCTCAACCTGGGCAAACCGAAAGCCGTGGAACGTAAAGCGAGGCTCATAGCTCTCCCCATTCTCATCACCTTTCAGAGTATATTCATCGATGGAATCACATTGTCGAAGGGGTCTTGTACAAATCTCTTGATTCTCTAAGACTTCGGCATGAGACAAGATAATTTTGTGACCGCGAAGACCTTTGATGTTTTTCAATCTGACGTATCCAACCATATTCTGACCAAAATCAATGATTTCTTTGCCTGACGGAGATAAGATATGTTGAACTGGCTTGATGGTCTCAATCCGTCTGACTGGCACTCCAATGCCAGCTATGACCTGAATTTGTTTCGACAGGGGAGGCATGCAGAGTACTGGCACCCAATAGTGAGAAATGTCAAGAGATCTCAAAGGCGCAACAGTTGACCAGTACGGAATCTCCTGAGTTGCGTCATATTTTTCCCCGTTGTATAACTCAGCGCGCTGAATCGGGCCCCTGGCTACCATCCAGGTACTATCGGTAGGTGTGGTTTCAATAGAGGTATCAGGATAGTGTATCTGAAGCTCGCACATCAAGGCAGGGTGAGGTCCCCAAATGTTTCGATGACCACCTTCGAAGCCGATGCGGCCACAGAACCATCCTTCAGCGACGCGAACGCCGATACAGTTTTTCCCTACACAGAGCAGGGATGTAATGTCATAGGTCTGATAAGGTATTCGTTTGTCGTAGGCTGTCCATCCTGGGGCCATGAAATGGTCCCCGACGCGTTTTCCATTAATTTCTGCCTCATAGACTCCCTGGGCAGTAATCGATAGCCTGCCGCCTGCTAGAGGCTTAACCTCAAATTCTTTGCGAAAGAGCCATTCAGTATCTAGTCCAGGGGTAGTAGGACCCCAAGGCGCAGCGATCCGTTCGCAAGATAGTTTGGTTTGCTTATCAGATTGGGCTGATGTCTCGACACGACCCAGATCACAACGCCGAGGATCTTGAGGTTCGTCCATTCCGATTTTCAGAGAGAGCATTTTTTGTTCGGGTATAATGCAGCTGACAGTAGTCGACAAAGTAGCTTAGGAGAGAGCTTTCGTTAGTCGCGAGGAAAGTCATTTCACTGAATTCCTCGGCGTGGTATGCACCGACTCGGTGGAATTCAGAAGCGAAGGCGTTCGCTTGGAGAGCATGAATTACCCCGAGGCTAGGATGAAGGAAGCCCTTCAAATGCCGTGTTCCCCTCTCAAAAGCCGACTAATGTCACATCAAAAAGGTGTTTTAACCAGATTCACATACGGGTAAATACGCACTCTCAGAACGCCACATAGTACGAAATTTCACAACTGACTTTTCGAACCAAAAATGAATGTGAATATGTTCCAGGCTGGGGACAACGTCCTCCATACCGACAATGAAGAATGGGCTATCAAAATTCCTGCTGTTGAAGAGCTACCCCTCCCTTCTGATTTCTTCTGGGGAACAGCTACTGCTGCATACCAAATTGAGGGAGCTGCCTCCCAGGATGGCAAAGGGAAGTCCATATGGGATGTGTTCAGCCACCTCGAGCCCTCGCGTACCAATGGCGACAGTGGCGATATGGCCTGTGATCACTATAATCGCATGACCGAGGATGTGAAGTTGATGGCCTCCTATGGAGTAGACGTGTATCGATTTTCTATCTCTTGGTCTCGTATTATCCCTTTGGGTGGTCATGATGACCCGATCAACGAGGATGGGATCACATTTTACAACAGGCTCATCGATTACTTGTTGGAACACAAAATCGAGCCATTTGTCACTCTCTACCACTGGGATGTACCCCAAGAGCTGTATAATCGCTATGGTGCATTCTTGGACACCGATAAGTTCAAATCGGATTTTGAAAGATATGCTCGACTATGTTTTCTCTCGCTTTGGCGATCGTGTCAAGAAGTGGGTTACCTACAACGAGCCATACATTATCTCGATCTTTGGGCACCACAGTGGAGTTCTTGCCCCAGGCCATAGTGCTGCCAACGGGCATGACACGAAGACAGAACCATGGCGTGTTGGTCATACTCTCATTCTTTCTCACGCGGCAGTTGTGAAGATCTATGCGACAGAGTTCCAGCCCTCTCAGAACGGCATTATATCGATAGTGCTCAACGGTCACTTTTACGAGCCGTGGAACGCGGACAGCGTAGTACACAAAGCTGCCGCTCAGCGTAGACTTGAGTTCTACATTGGCTGGTTTGCTGACCCTATATTCTTGGGTGAAGACTACCCCGCCGAAATGCGCACCCAGCTCGGGTCCCGCTTACCGGAATTTACCGTTGGAGAGAGGAGTCTTCTCCAAGAGACAGCTCCAATCAATGCCTTCTATGGAATGAATCATTATTCTACAAAGTTTGCCCGTGCTCTGTCGGACCCGCCAGCCGAGGACGACTGCACCGGAAATGTGGAAGAAGCAGCCACAAACAGTGAGGGAAAGATGCTCGGCCCCGTTTCTGGCATGTCCTGGCTTCGTGTCACCCCTCATGGGTTTCGAAAACTTATGAACTGGGTCTGGAATCGCTATCACCTTCCCATCATCATCACTGAAAATGGTTGTCCGTGTCCAGGTGAAAGCCAGATGACTCTAGAGCAAGCAGTAAACGACGATTTTCGAGTGCGGTATTTTGGCCTCTATTTGGATGCCATTTCACAGGCAATTCACGAGGATGGTGTTATAGTACGAGGGTTCTGTGCATGGAGCCTCATGGATAATTTTGGTATGTTCAGAATCTGCTTGTCTTGATACGTAGTCTAACGTTTTTACCAGAGTGGTCGGCTGGATATGACCCGCGCTATGGCATCACGCACATCGACTATGATACACTTGTGAGAACTCCTAAGAAATCCGCTTTGTACTTGCAACAATCATTTGATGAACGCCGCAAGCGGCGTAGCTTGTTCAAAAGAATACAGCTTTTGGAGCTTGTGCATTTTTCGTTACCATCCAAGTGCTAGGAAATAATTAAAAACCAAACTTGAAACGCATACCTATATTGCCATTTATTCTGTAGAAACAGGAAAATGCAAACACAATATTTTCCCCCGACTCATAGTTTTGGGGAAATATGAGCTTTGTCCCCAGCTATGAAGGTGAAATGGGCAGCCCTTGGTCAAAGGATGTTCACTTTACAGCGCCACAGACCCTTTAAATGTGCCAAGGCCCGTGAACCTTACCTATAACGGGATAGTTTACGGGGTTACTCGTCTTCCATGTACCTCGATTCTCGCATGAAACTCAACTGGGAAAATTTCTATTTGTCCAATAGATACCCATGTGGAGCGAATAGATACTTTCCGTGGTTATTTGCCGAGAGAAATGTGTAAAGTACAGGTATTATCTCAAAGAAGACCCCGCGAAGCTACGGATACCTCCACCCAGAATTACCGCCATCGGCAATTGAAATGGTCTTATTTAGCCTATCATGAGAAAGAAATTATATCACTTGACTCTCAATAAAGCAGCCGTTAACCCCACGGAATCCTGGGGAAATCTGACGGGACCCACAAACTTTATGGCCGTGAACTTGGGGTTAGGCGACACAGTCGCCGGGGTTCTCCACGGCCACTCTAAGCGACCATACTGACCATCCATGTCAGTTTTGCGGAGTATCTCCTACAATCATTTTTATACAAATAACGATTCGGGATAATAAGATCCGAGTTAGGCCGGAAACAGTACTGGCATTCCCTTTTTAGATCATGTGGTGTCGGAGTGTGGGTGTTGCAGCTCTGCCACAGCCCGGGATTTAAATTCAGAACGTTTTACCTCATTATTCTCTTCAAAGATAAGCTTACTAGCTCGAATATATGTTTATTGGTATTGAAAATGACACCAGAATACAAAACTCCCGATGAGGTGCCAACTGCCACACAGCATGTTGAAATTATCACTGACGAAGGGCTCCACAAATCCGACCCAGCTATTGATGCTGTGACAAGAGGACAGGTGACAACCGGATATGAGGAACTAGGTGTCCTGGAGACAATTAAAACCTTCAAAGTCTGCACCCTCGTTTGCTTTGCAATGGCTTTCAGTGCAGCAACCGACGGGTATCAGATTGGGTATGTATATCTTCGAATTGAAGTGAGCGCTTCATCACTAACTTAACATGCCCTCTAGAATAAATGCTAGTATTATTGCAAATACTGGGTTTGTCTCCCGCTTTGCGACCATCATCGCTGCCAAAACTGGAAAGCCCGCCCTTGCATCGCCTATACTCAGTGGCTGGAGCTCAATCATGTCTTGCGGCCAAATTGTTGGAATGACAACTTTACCCTTTCTTTCCAGCAGATATGGAAGGAAAATTGCAATGTACACATACTGGGTGATTCTGGTGGGAAGTGTGCTTACCGAGTGTCTCGCAAAATCCTGGCAAAGCTGGCTGGTAGCAAAGTTCCTGGCAGGGATCGGAGTGGGATGTTTACAGTCAACTGTACCAACATACATATCAGAGGTTGCCCCTATTCGCATTCGTGGAGGCTTATTGATGTGTTATAGCTTCTGGTGGTCACTAGGCTCATTTTTTGCCCAAGTGGCTCTCCAGCACTTGTCAAAAGATGATCCAACCAACTATCTGACACCAATCTACACCCAGTGGGCACAGATCGGGATCATGTTTCTCATCTATATATCTGTCCCAGAGTCACCTGCATGGTGTGTGAATGCTGGTAAGATTGATCAAGCAAAGAAAGAACTCCTCAAGCTCAACCAGGGAGTGCCAAACTATGACTTGGAGCGGCAGGTTCAGGTATTGACCATGGCTGTTGAGCATGAGCGTCATGTTGCAGCAGAGCAGCGTCGTGAGAAGTGGTACAGCATATTCCAAGGAGTCAATGGCCTTCGAACTGTTATTTCCTGTTGGACCAACCTCACTCAGCAGTTGATTGGCCTAAGTCTCTTTGGGACGTTTGGAACCTACTTCTTCCAACAGGCCGGACTCGCTGAGCCTTTCAAGATCAAGGTCATTACAAACTCAATTCAAATTGCAACTGTGCTCGTCATTGTTGTTGTAGCCGACCGCTTGGGTAGAAGAATACTTGCCTGCTCTGGAACGACACTTTGTTGGGTGTCATGCGTGGCGATTGGAATTATTGGTAGTTGTCCTCAAGTGAAAGCAACAACCTATGTTTTCATCCTGTTTGCTTGTCTCTGGAGTAAGTTACCCCTGCACATCGGGAGAAACAACGAATAACAAGGAGTTTCCAGACTGCGGATTGGCCATCAATGGCGCTACTGGTTGGGGATACATCGGAGAAATCTCCTCTCAACGTCTCAGACCATATACGGCCGGCTTTGGTGCAGCTATAACGTGTGTAGCTGGGGTTGTGATGAATGTTCTTGTCCCTTACATGACAAACAGCAGCAAATGGAATTGGAGTTTAAAGACAGGGTGGTTCTATGCCGGTGTTGGCTTTCCATTCGTGGTTGGCATGTGGTTGCTGATCCCCGAGACAGCTGGGTATGTTTTGGAGATGAAGAGCGGAGGAGTTCCATTCACTTAGCTAACATTGATTCTTATATAGGCGATCTGCAGCTGAATTGGATGAGTTGTTTGAGCGAAAGATCAAGCCTTGGAGGTTCCACAAGACCGAGACGGCGACCCAGCGACTTGTCTTCGAAAGTACTAGCAATCCGGAGAAGAATTAGCCGAGCTGCCTTACTGGCTACCTAGGTAGCTAGTAGTTGATTCATATCCGCAACTCTCAGAATACAAAACAACCTTGGAATCCCAAGAGATCGGATGCTCCCGAGGTCCTCCGAGTCAGTTGTGATATTAGTATATTGCCTACTCAATGCAATCTTTAATGAATTTCGTGTGATCAGTGTTCAAAAATTTAGCCAAGATTTTAAGATATGATTAGTATTGTAGATTGTCCTGCTCTAAACTGTCTTCCAATCTAGTAGGACAACTCGCTGATGATGTCATTTTTGTTAGTACGGGCTGCTCTTCGGGCCTAGAGGTTGAGACTGCCTGCGCATGTTCTGCTACCGGCGCCACGCTCTACCTAGGTATTTAACAGCGTGATGTGGATCCGCGGAAGATACTAGTAGTGACAATCTCATTGTATAGTTACACTGCCCACTCAATAAGTCATTCAACCTAGAGTGTCTCAACTAGTAGTACTCTAGTACCTGGTAGTTGGTGGAATACTAGCACTGGAGCTCCTAGTTGCTGGGCCTAGAAGGCTTCACTGGTTCAATTTAATAGACCTGCTATGTATTATGCTGGGTAAGCCATGTCTTCTCTTCTGGAGCTCGGAGTTCCGCGCTCGAGGTATCCTAGCCTTAGTAGCAAAGACTCTGCCAGTCTGTATTTCTGTGCATCCCGATTCGTGTTTCATGCATGCTGTCGTTAACACCAGTGCGTGTTAATGCGCCAACCTTTGTTCCGAACCAGCGGGGTGAGGCGCGGTGTGGCTCCTGCTCGAGATATGTTCTCGATTGCATGGCGGCAGATCTCGTATCAGCTCTTGGGCCATGAGCTCCCTTGCAGAATTGTTGTATAGAGAGATTTCCCTTGACCTTCAATGCGCAGAGTTGGAGAGACTGTCAGACTATTGGTCATTGAACAGGAGTGGCCTAATAAATAGTCGCTGCAGATGTTTGCAACTATTCCAGATCAACCAAGCCAGGTGTGACTGTTTGACCTCCCGTACTGCGCAGACTGCCAAAGTCCAGCTTCATGAGTAGTCGGTCCACCCCTGCCGGCTTACGCGGCTGGTAGTGACTGAAGCTGGGGCCAGTGATCCCATCAGGCCATATTCTCGGCCCTGTTGTGCCACTGCTAGCAGGGTAGTCTGAGCCCGAGCGTCGCTCGTCAATGTCCCGCAGAGTCGCGACAAGCTCTTGGATACCTGTCTTAACGTCTTTGCGCGTTTCCCTCAGTTCTTGCCAGACTTCTCGCTCTTCTTGTGCGTAGTCTACCAGCGCATCCACAACTCCTTCATCCGTCTCTAGATCCATGTTTCGTTGAATGGTATCCAGTCTAATTGTGAGGGCAACAAAGCGATCGACACTCGTCAGGAGGGTTCGAAGTACGCTGGTGAAGGGTACGTCTGTCAAAAACAAGGACTGTATAACACTGGCTAGGTGGCGTCGATGCGCAACAGTCAATGCTTCTGGGTCGTGTCGACCCATAGACGCTGTGCCTGGTCGAGAGGATGGTCGGCTAGACGGGCGATCGGCAGGAGTAGTCTGAGACATTCTTTGGGCCTTGAAAGAAGTTGCCGTCCCAGGTCGAGAATTAAGAGCGGACGTGGGTATTGCGTTATCCTTTTCAATCCATTCACGGAGATGTTGCCAGGACTCGTGTACCACTTCGCCCTGGAAGAAGCTGCCAATCTCCGAAAGAACAAACAGGCAGGCACTGGCAGTCGCCCAAATTGGTCGCATTTGCTGCGTGCGAGCATTTGTCCTCTCGCGGTTCTGCCTCTGCTTATTCTGCAAGAAGGCGTTGTTGTTTCGTGGTGGCATTCGTGCACTGCCATGGGTTCTGCGAAGAGTGGTTCTTTTCCACAAATCACCGAGGCGGATTTGGGCGCGTCGAATTCCGAGGAGATAAGAATGAATCTTGGAATAGATTGCAATATCGGAACTTGAGAGGAACAAATCCAGGGGCGCGCGGACCTGGGCCGTTAAGGATGTTGGGGTAGGGAAAAGGAGGTTCTCAAATGAGACACTGGAGATTTCAGGGATTGTGTTGGAGCTGTGCGATGGGGTTGTAGCACGGCCATTCTTTCCATCATTTATTGACAGCCTAAGAAGCTCGCGAGCCAGCTCTAATCCTTCGTCTGCTGGATCCTCTTCTTTTTGCAGGGAGAATAGTTCGGCCCATGCATGGGCCAGTGAAGTCACCACATCCCCTTCCCTGATAAGGAAGTTGTCCAATGAACCTGGCTGCTGAATCTGAGCTAATGCGCTGCGTCGTCGACTTTCCTCGATTCTAGAGTCTGCATGCGCAACAAGCGCCACCGCAAACTCCCCTCGTCCCAGGAGTAGAAAGTCGTTGAGCAATGTAAGCATCTCAAGTATCTTGGGCAAGGGAAGCAGTTTGGATAAAGTGGATTGGGACAATGATAGTCGAATGCAGTCTACAGCAGTAGAAAGCTTGGGGGATGATATAGGTAATGTGAGACCCGAAAGCTGCCCGATGTGTTCCTGGTACAACTTCACCGGCGCAGTTGATATTCCACTGGGGGGTTTTTCGTTTCGCACGAATGTGATTTAGCGACTTGCCGATGAACAAAATAGACCCTGCCGTTTGCTCGGAGACGAAGCCCGGAAGCAAATCCATCTGGATATTAAATTGAGCGTCATCTTGTTCTCTGTTGGACTCCTCTTGGATAAAGAAGTCTTCCTTGCCATACATGGGCAATTTACCGTATAACAGCCACATGGAGAGCTGCTTCATCCATGCTGTCTCTGCTGCGGTCACAAGTTGAACGGCCATGTCTTTGATGTCGAGGTATCCAGTTTGCAGTCCATCGCGCAGGTGATTGATTAGCGCGGCACCGGAGCACCCATATCGATGACCTGAATAGCGGGTTTCCGGTTGAATGAACTTGGTGATCTCCCATAGCCATTCCAGACGCCGTGTCCAAGGTGTGAATTCCCCGACGATAGTGGACAAGGGAACAATTCCATATCCACCAACATAGCCGCTGTCTCCCGAAAGAATGGCTTTCTCGACTTGGAGGATCTTTTTCTGGAATTCGCCGAGGTGAGTCGCAACGATAGTCGTAGATACGGAGCGGCATATCACAGAGCGATGTGATGAAGATATGAGGGAGGTATGTGATCGTAGCTTGGCGTGAAGCTCGCTCAAGCGGGCAATCGACCCGAGGAGGGCTTTCTCCGGTGGAGAGAGAAGGGCGAGATCATCTTGCGGGATAGCGTCTTCCACCTGTGGAGAACCGAGGAGGGGCGACGGCTGGCCGGAGAGGGAGAGGAGGATCTCGTGGAGCATCCTGACCGACGCTCACTGCGGATCTATTCAGTCAATTTCTGTTTCCAGGTGGCCTCTGATCAGTCTCTCCAAGCTCACCGACCTGTGGGACTGGGTGTATAGTAGGACGCGTCCTAGGATCTCGAAACGACACATCGAACTGCCTGAGCGATGCGCTAGGTGGGTTAGGCGTGGCAAAGAATTGGCTGAGGCACCGAGATCATTAGCGGAGCTTGCACTATCTTGTAGGATCAGACACAAGCCATGCTTGCTTTTTTTAGTCCCGTTCCTAGCGCGTCAAGAGAGTGTGCCTTAAGGTGGTCGCGACGGGAGTTGGAACGGGGAAGGGGCCTGAGGCATCATTCCCCTCCAGCCCCACTCTACCAACACCTAGGAGGAAGAGGGAGGAATTGTGAAGACAAAGAGATTGCAAATTTCCCTGAGAAATCAGGTTTATGACCTATATTCTAAATATTACTTCTCTATCCAAACATTGAAGTAAATTAGTTGAAACACATCTTACTATGGCTGGCCATAATGCATGTTATCATTCTCGTAGTTTTACCCCTCCTAAACGTTCATAGCTGGCTAGCTAGTGATAAGCATAGGATCCTTCATTTCAGACTATTCTCTTTAATTTTATTACTACTTGAAACTTAAAATCTAGTTACTTTCAACCGATCACGAGATGAATACTTCTTTTGGCCAGAGAAGTCAAGCTGGTTCTGTAACTATAGTTCGCTGAGGATTAGTCATCGAAGCTGCCCTCATTACGTCGCCGCGGACATGGAGACATCTCTCCACTCCTCGACTCTCCCACTCTTCCAATCTTACATCCTCTCTCTGACCTCCCCTCTATCAACTCTTTCTTTCTTCTGTGCAGAAAAACGCTACTTTAATCGCATTTTTACACGTGGGCTGTTTCTGGCTTCTGTCTCGTTGGTACGCTAGGTCTCTTCTTCCAGCACTGTCGAAGGTCTTGCTCATCGAGCGAGACTTTCAGCCTCTAATTTCCATCATTCCTTCGGATCTTGCTGTTCGTGAGTCGGCTAAGCCGGGAAAGCGCAGAGCGTCTGAAGACGACCCCTCATCTCGGCCTCAGAAGAAGAACATGACCGTATGTCCATCAACCCTGCAACATCCCAACCCGCTTTGTCACTGACCCCTCCTCCCCCAAGGACGGCACAATGCAGGTCGACAACCCCCAAGAAACCGTGGAGCTCATCAAGCAAGGCGAGATCGATGAGAGCCTGTACAGCCGTCAGCTGTGAGATCCCTCCCCCCAACAAATACGAATAACATTCCGATTGCTAATCATTTCTAGCTATGTGCTCGGCCACGAGGCCATGAAGCGCATGGGCTCCTCCAACGTTCTTGTTGTAGGTCTCAAGGGACTCGGTGTTGAGATTGGTGAGTGACCACGTCTCCAAAAACTCCACTGGAATTTCCCTAACCGTAGCCTCTCACAGCCAAAAACATTGCCCTCGCCGGAGTTAAATCCCTCACCCTCTATGACCCCGCTCCCGTCGCCATCTCCGATCTTTCCTCCCAGTTCTTCCTCCGGCAACAAGACGTCGGCAAGCCGCGTGCTGATGTCACCGCCCCGCGGGTCGCCGAACTGAACTCTTATGTGCCAGTTACTATTCATGAAGGCGGAAGCCTTGTGGGGGATCTGGAACAGCTCAAACGTTACCAGGCCGTGGTCTTGACCCAGACACCACTCAAGGAACAACTGGCTATCGCGGACTTCTGCCACAAGAATAAGATCTATCTGACCATCGCGGACACCTTTGGACTTTTCGGTTATATTTTCAATGACTTTGGCAAGAACTTTACTGTTGGAGACCCTACCGGCGAGGACCCTGTTGGTGGAATCGTCGCCGACATCTCCGAGGACGGTCTCGTTTCTGCGTTGGATGAAACGCGCCACGGACTAGAGGATGGCGACTTTGTCACTTTCACCGAGGTCAAGGGTATCGATGGCTTGAATAACAGTGCCCCGCGTAAGATTACTGTGAAGGGTCCTTATAGTTTCACTATCGGCGATGTTTCCGATCTCGGATCTTACCAGGGCGGCGGTCTCTATACTCAAGTGAAAATGCCCAAGTTCATCGATTTCCAGCCTTTAGCAGAGCAGCTCAAGAAACCCGAGTTCTTGATTTCCGATTACGCTAAATTCGACCGGCCGCAGCAGCTCCACATCGGTGTTCAAGCTCTCCACCAGTTTGCGGAAACCCACCAACACCAACTGCCCCGCCCACACAACGATGCTGATGCTCAGGAGATATTGAAGATTGCTGCTGAGCTTGCTTCTGCGGAGGAGGAGAAGATCGAGCTCGATGAGAAGCTTCTTAAGGAGCTGAGCTACCAGGCTCGTGGTGACCTCAACGCATTAGCTGCGTTCTTTGGTGGTATTGCTGCCCAAGAGGTCCTAAAGGCTGTCTCTGGGAAGTTCAGCCCTGTGCACCAGTGGATGTACTTCGACTCCCTGGAGTCTTTGCCCTCCAATAGTACTCGTTCTGAGGAGACCTGCAAGCCTATCGGCTCTCGCTATGATGGCCAGATTGCAGTCTTTGGAAAGGAGTACCAAGAGAAGCTCTCCAACGTGAAGCAGTTCCTCGTCGGTGCTGGTGCCATTGGTTGCGAGACTCTTAAGAACTGGGCCATGATGGGCCTGGGTACTGGTCCCGAGGGTAAAATCTTTGTCACCGACATGGACCAGATCGAAAAGAGCAACCTTAATCGTCAATTCCTCTTCCGCCCTAAGGATGTGGGCCGTCTTAAGAGCGAATGCGCCTCTGCTGCGGTTCAGGTCATGAACCCGGAGCTCAATGACAAGATCGTCACTCTGCGCGACCGCGTTGGGGCCGATACGGAGCACATCTTCAATGAGGATTTCTGGAATGGATTGGATGGTGTGACCAACGCTTTGGATAACGTGGATGCCCGGACGTACGTGGACCGTCGCTGTGTCTTCTTCCGCAAGCCTCTCCTGGAGAGCGGCACTCTCGGCACTAAGGGCAACACCCAGGTTATCCTGCCTTTTATCACCGAATCTTACTCAAGCTCTCAGGATCCTCCCGAGAAGTCGTTCCCAATGTGCACACTGAAGAGTTTCCCTAACCGCATTGAGCACACTATTGCCTGGGCTCGGGATCTCTTCCAAACCTACTTCGTCGGCCCGCCGGAATCTGTGAACCTGTATCTTTCACAGGCCGACTACATTGACCAAACACTCAAGCAGGCGGGCAACGAGAAGCAAACTCTAGAGCACCTCCGTGACTTCTTGGTTACGGAGAAGCCTCTGACCTTCGATGACTGCATCGTGTGGGCTCGTCAGCAATTCGAGGCCCAATACAACAATGCTATCCAGCAGTTGCTCTACAACTTCCCACGGGATTCAAAGACTTCTTCGGGTCAAGCTTTCTGGTCTGGCCCTAAGCGTGCACCAACTCCTCTCAAGTTCGATAGCGCCAACCCCTCCCACATTGGGTTCGTGATTGCGGGCGCCAACCTCCATGCCTTCAACTACGATATTAAGAACCCCGGTGCGGACAAGGGCTACTACCGTAAAGTTGTCGATGATATGATCATCCCGGAGTTCACCCCTAGCTCCAATGTGAAGATTCAAGCCAACGAAAACGATCCGGATCCGAATGCCCAGCCCTCTGGATCGACCAGTGACGCTGACGAAATCCAAAAACTTGTGGCTTCTCTGCCATCGCCTAAATCTCTCGCCGGCTTCCGTCTGCACCCCGTCGAATTCGAGAAGGACGACGATACAAACCACCACATCGACTTCATTACGGCCGCTAGTAACCTTCGTGCGGACAACTATGAAATTCCTCAGGCGGATCGCCACAAGACCAAGTTCATTGCGGGCAAGATCATCCCTGCTATTGCTACGGCCACTGCCCTAGTCACAGGTCTTGTGGCTCTAGAGCTGTTCAAGGTCGTCGACGGCCAGGATGATATCGAGCAATACAAGAACGGCTTCATTAACCTTGCACTTCCGTTTTTCGGATTCAGTGAACCGATCGCTAGCGAAAAGGGCAAGTATCAAAGCAAGGAGGGTGAAGTTACCATCGACCGACTTTGGGATCGATTCGAGGTGGATGACATTCCCCTTCAGGAGTTCTTGGATTACTTTGCGAGCAAGGGTCTGGACATCACAATGGTCAGCTCTGGAGTTAGCTTGCTCTATGCCAGCTTCTATCCCCCTTCAAAGGTCAAGGACCGTCTCCCGCTACCGTAAGTATTATCGTCCTCGTATAGACTATATTTAGTAAAGCCCCGCTAACGCCACTCCACAGGATGAGCAAGCTCGTCGAGCACGTCAGCAAGAAGCCGGTCCCCGATCACCAAAAGAATATCATCTTTGAGGTGACGGCCGAAGACCAGACCGAGGAAGACGTGGAAGTCCCTTACGTGATGGTCAAGTTGGCGAAATAAACGGGTTCAAGAAAAGCAACCAAAAGCAATGCCAAGAAAAAGCAGAACCGTATAAAGAGGTGGCTCAGATTAGTTAGAGTAACGATTATTATCAACGACCCAGTTTCCGCTTAGAATTTCCATCACCAATCAATTGCTCATGCTTATTCAACTCTTATTTTTCGGATCCATCGAAGCTACCCAAGCTACTAAAAGTATGCATGGACCAATTTCCGGTTTAAGCTTAGATCCGTAATTCCATTACACACTGCAGCCACCGTATCAGTCAGAATCAAGTAAGCATACTATCTCGTTAACGTCACCCCGCCGTAAGCCCGCCTTTTTCTTTTCTTTCTTTCAATTCCAATATACCCTGGGGAGAACTATAAAATCTCCAGTCTGCCCATGCTCTTGACTCTTCTGCGCTCATCGGTGTTTAATCATCTTCCACGCTCCACATATCGCGCGGGATTCCTTGCAGCTTCCAACCACAGCTTCTCCACAAGATCACCGGTCAGATTTCAAAATATGGCGGTAAGCAAGAGATCCCTGCCCACTTCAAATTGAAGATTACTAATTTTCTTATACATGAAGACTGGCAATGCTAGTAAGGTCACCGACTGGGTGAACCCAGCTGACAAGTCGGGCGAATTCAAGCGTCAGGTATCGGCGTTCCGCAACTTTGTCTCCCGCGAGTCTGGCGCGGAATTCCCCGCAGAGAAGGGCCGCTACCATCTTTACGTTTCCTACGCCTGTCCCTGGGGTAAGTTGAAGCCTTCAAGCTGATAGGGCCGATTGTGAGATAAAAACTTACTGATTCTTTCTAGCTCATCGAACATTAATCACTCGCAAGCTCAAGGGCTTGGAAGATATCATCTCTTTCTCCTCCGTGCACTGGCACCTCGGTGAAAAAGGTAGAACACCCCCCTCCTTAAGCTTGAAATTTCTTATACTGAATCTTTCAGGATGGCGCTTTGCCACTGCCGATGAAAAGCTGCCCGGGGAGAATACCATCCCCGACCCGTTGCACCCGGACTTCACCCATCTCCGTGATCTCTACTTCTCCAACGAACCGGACTATACCGGTCGATTCACAGTTCCGGTCCTTTTCGACAAGAAGACCAACCGCATTGTCAGCAATGAGGTAAGAATCTCATCCAATTTGATCCCCACACGCATCTCTCACTCACATACCACAGAGCGCCGAAATCATCCGCATGCTCTACTACGAATTTGACGACTTTCTCCCCGAGCAATATAAAAAGGTTGACCTCTTCCCAACCGCCCTGCGCAGTGAGATCGACGAATCCAATGAATGGATCTACAACGACGTCAACAACGGCGTCTACAAATCCGGCTTCGCAACCACCCAAGAAGCCTACGAGAAGGCCGTCATCACGCTCTTCTCCTCTCTGGATAAGATCGAGGCCCATCTAGTCAAGCAGCAAGCTTCCTCGAAGTATTTCTTCGGAGATTCCGTCACCGAGGCTGATATCCGCCTCTTCACAACTATCATTCGCTTCGACCCCGTCTATGTCCAGCACTTCAAGTGCAATCTGCGTGATATTCGGTCCGGGTTCCCGGCTATTCACCGCTGGGTGCGGGGTCTTTACTGGGACTTGGATGCTTTCCGCGAGACGACGGAGTTTGAGCATATCAAGAAGCATTATACCAAGTCGCACAAGCAGATTAATCAGTTTGCAATTACGCCTCTTGGACCGGTGCCAGATGTTCTGCCCAAGGACCAAGAGGTTCCTGCTGTCAAGGCTGGTTGATATTAGGTTTGCGAATGAACTTGAAGCTTGGTCTGCAATCTACTATTACTAGTACTATGTATGTGGAATGAATGTGAATGTGGAGTACTTGATGCAATTCAATTTCCAAAATGTTCTATCAATAGTCAACCATGCTCGCCGATTACTCCGGTGAGCGGAATATCTAAGCAAAGCATAGTATTCTTTTAAATATATACAAAAAATGAGACAAATCCCAAGTGGTATTGCGTGTGAAATTCACATGCCTCGACGCCATGCCATGCTGATGGTTTGTGGGAGTACCCTGGGTTGTTTAAAGTCATTTTCTAAGCGCAAATCCCCCAAATGGAATAGCCGCTGAGAAAGACAATGGTAACAGCCAAGAGCAATAAGTAAATGCAAAATGATGATGGCCAAGTGGCAAAATAGATCAAAATATCGAATCAAGCCGGAGGGATATGGAGCATGTACAGAAAGGACAGCACCGAATATGCATGGCATTGTTTGGAGGGTATCTTGGTCGGATGTGTGTCTCGGTAGAGATCAAAGTAAGGAGAAGATGACGTTTGCGGTGAGGGTAAGGCTAGGTAGTTATGAGAGAAATATGAGATAAATTAGTATGGTATGTGAGTTTGAATGTGCCATTACTTCAGGCCGAGGAATCGTTTTGAATTCTCGTAGACCACGTAACTGATTGAAACAGCGGGCGCCACTTTCAAGAGATTAGGAGTAAGTCCCTTGTAAAAGCCGCGGGGGCCTTCTGTTTCCAGAGTTTTGCGAGCCACGTCACCGATGCTGGTGTATGTTGATGGATGCAAAACGGTTCCCTGTGCCTGAAGACGAGTTCGCATGACGTTGAGTGGGTAGACCACCGATGCACTCAGGCCGCCACTCAACGCACCGATGGCACCGGTGACAAAATTGTTGAGTGGAATATCGTCTTCATGGCACTGCTTGATACGAGCCTGGCGAGCGAGGAGCGCACGTTTCAGGTACTCAAAGGTTGTCAAATCAATCGCAGCATACGGAAACATGCCCATTAGGCCGAGTGGCAGGCCACGGAAGAAGCCGAAAAGGCCGTTCGCATTCCAGACTTTGCGGGCTGTTGCTGCAATGAGCTTGTTGCCCCGTAATCCGCCTTCGACGGTCGAGCACTGCATGCGAAATTTCAAAGTGTCGAGGGGATATACGAAACATCTAGGAATCTGTCAGAACTGATGTTCATTCTTTGACACGCCAAGTCAAGACTTACTGGGCGACCATTCCACCGATACCACCTGACAAGAATTGCGAAGTTGGAAGAAGTCGTTTTGTATCATTGTGCCCTTCCAGGCCGGCGAAAAACCGCTTGGCTGACTCGTATGCTCCGAATTTGATCGCAGATTCGGGCATAACCTTGACGACATTCAATCCGTTTCCTAGGTAGCGTTAGAAACCCGCATCCTTGTGATATATGGGGTTATGTATGATTGACTCACCAGCAAACAAACTCCGGATACCGCCAGCCCGCCAAAGCTCTCTGAACGCATCGAATAATGTTTTGGAGGCATCTCCCGCCGCAGCAAGTGGGGCGCCCTCCTTGGCCGCGCGTAGCGCCGAATTTTTGACGCCCGTCTGAGCGATGAGATACACTTTCAGACGATCAAGAGGGGCAGTTATCGTCCTGGAAACGACACCTGCAACACCGCCTGCAGCGAAATAGCCTAGTTGAGGGGTATTCTCGGTCAACTTCCGTTCATAATTCCGCAGAGACATCCGCAATGCGACGAGTTTAGAAATGGGAAGATTCTCCAGCTCGACATCACCTTTCACGGTGGTGGTCGAGTCAGAAGGCGGGCTGGTTTGCGCGTAGGCTGAAGGGAGGAGGCAGGCGAGAGCGTGCAAGGAGAGAATATTGTACAAAAGGCACTGGATAGCCAGAAGAGAACGGTTAAGAAACGGAGACTCTGTACCTAAACCCTGTAGATCATTGATGTGGACATCTCCTTCCGGGTTTAGATTGCCCGTGGCCGTGTAGTACGATAAGACTGCGGTGAGATCGGTTGGGGATCGAAGCGGGAGGAAGAGGAGAAAGTCCCTAACAAAGAATAGGACGGTTAGCTTGAATCCTACAAATATCCGACCTGTAGTCACTGTGGCTATCCGTCCGGTAAAGTGATTTGAGGTGTAGATAAGCCGAACCTCCATTCTGTGTATGATATGACCCCGTCGTTATTTTTGTCGACCTCGGCAAAGAACTGGTCCAGCTTCGAACTTGATACGGTGACTCCTGATTGTGCAAACGCGATCCGCAACTCGTTCTTGTCTATTTCGCCGTTTTTGTTGTGGTCGATGGACTGGAACATCCGCCATAGCCCAGACTCGGTATGGTCGATAAACGCCTGGAACTCTACAGAAAACAGAAGGGGGTGATGCATTAGCGCGACTCCTAACTCCAAGGGAAGGAACAGTTCACAGATCTTACCGGCATGATCTATCTCGCCGTCTCCATTCGTGTCGACTTCGCGCAAGATGCTGTATAGCATGCCATCTGCGTTTTTGAGAGCTGCGACCGCGTCAGTCCGGAGCGTTCGGTACGGGATATCGACAGGACTCACGGTGATCGATCTTCTTCAGCCCTTTCTTCAACCCATTCAAGTCGATATGACCCTCCTTACGCGCATCAAGGGTCTCCCAGAGCCGGGCAACTCGTTCGTCCCGCTCATCCTTCGACTCGCCGGGTGCCATGTTCGGAGGAAATTTGTTATTGAGCACCCGGCATGCTTCAAGGGAGCATCGCCTCGTGTGGTAAAGGTGAAAGTGTAAAGGTGGCGACTCCAGGGGGGGAGGGCGTCTTTAACAGTCAAACATGAGCATGCTAAGCCTGAGCATAAAAGAAAGCATAAGAGAGGAGCTTTGCGGGTGGGGAGGGAATGATTAATCCGGGCCCGATCATTGCTGCAGCCGCCTTGACGCCATCATCTCTTTAGGCACGGGACCAGGGCTGGCCCTACTTTCCTATTTAGGGGGTCCCCGCCTTGCCCGGACGTCTGCTTTGCCGGTTGGTATGTTGGTTCTATATACATCAGGTGTGTACTAGGTAGACGTGCCGGGCGTTATAGAAGGCCGGCTTGACATGAAAAGGATGCAATCTTCTTCACATCCGATCTCAGCTCACCACATCCCATCCCATTCCATCCCACCCTACCCCATCACATCACATCACATCCCATCCCACCCCATCCAATATGGCTGCCAACTATTGGTCGTCTACTCAACGCGGATGTTGGCTCTTCACTCGTGAGAAGCTGGCGGAAAGTCGAGACCGCTTACGAGACCGAGATAAGGTCGCGCATTCGCAGTTCCCACTTCCAGACCAACGCCTGCTAAACATCTATTTCAACCAACGTACGAATCTTTTCTTTTCTTCCTCATTAACTTGAACCCCTGCTGATATCTCCAGAACTCATCAAGCTGGGTAAACGCATGTCCACTCGCCAACAGGCAATCGCAACTGCGCAGGTTTACCTCAAGAGGTTCTACTTCAAAAATGAAATTCGCTATACAAACCCTTACTTGGTTCTCACCACCGCTTTCTATCTGGCCTGCAAGATGGAAGAATGTCCCCAGCACATCCGCTTCGTTGTCGGAGAAGCGCGTGGACTCTGGCCAGGTATGCGCCATTCACTCCCTCACAATTCGTGGCAAGAGATCTAATTATTCGCAGAATTCATCACTCCAGATGTGGCGAAACTCGGTGAATGCGAATTCGCTCTCATATCCGAGATGAACTCCCAACTCATCTGCCATCACCCGTATCGGACGTTATCAGAACTTCAAACAGAGTTATCTCTTGGCTCAGGCGAGGTGGCTCTGGCTTGGTCCGTGATCAACGACCACTATCTTACCGATCTCCCTCTACTAAACCACCCGCATATAATTGCGGTCATGGCGATCATCGTCGCGGTGGTTTTCAAGCCGACTCATCCAGGCGGAACATTCAACTCCACCCCTGCCCAGTCTGCCCAGTCCACTATGGCGGGGGCGGCTAGGGATGGAAACGGTATGAACATGCTCGCTGCTCTTGCAGATCGAAGCGGAAATGGACCTCCTCGGATTCAGAAGCTGGTGCAGTGGTTGGCGGAGAGTGAAATTGATATTAAGAGTGTCATCGAGTCTACTCAGGAGCTGCTTTCTTTGTATGAGGTGTGGGAGCAGTACAGTGAAAAACACTGCAAAGAGCTCATCGGGCGAATGGTGAAGAGCAAGAATCTCGACAAATGATTGGTTTTTAGCGTGCTTGTTCATCAGGTTTATGCGGTACTGCATGGCGTTTTCGGGATCTTGGGCGTTCTGTTCATCACGTATCTTTATATTATTCCTGGGCTTTATTTTTCGTCGGCTATTAATGACCTGCCAGCGGGGCTTTATCTTTATTCTTCATATTGATACCCGAGCATCAATTTATCAAAATGATCCCTTTGGAAAAGACAACTGAAAGTTGTGACCAACTCGAAATACTTCCAAGGTTCCAAGCTACTAGTAGTAGGTCTATCGGGTTGCTCATGCTCCAGAATGTGCCTACTCGAGAGTCATATTTGGGTCATCCTCCGAATTGGCACGGCCTTTCGGTTGATGAATATGTCAGTCATCACGGAGTGCTGGCGAATCGGAATATTTATTGGAGTTCAAGTTCAAGTTAATCCACATACCCCAGCCCGGTGCTGTAAATTCCTGGGGCTAACTCGGCGGTAATACTAGTACTAGTAGTCTAAGCAGACATGTGTTGATTGCTGCTCATGTAGCACATGGTCTAGGAAAAAACCTTGGAATATACCCCCTTGGGCTCCTACTAAAATTACTAGTACATTCATGATTCAAGTTTTTACATTCAGTCCAAGGAACCAGGGCTTAAGCCCTTTGGTTTTTTTGCTTCGGTACTGCCTTTCACCCAGGGCTACTAGTAACTAGTAGCAATCGAAAAAGCTTCCTCTTGAACCATACACTGAGATAATACCTGATTCTCTTTCTTACAATACATCCTTGACTATCTGATAGTCGCAGCTCTGCAGTGGCGTTTCTTTGAATCCGGTCTCATCATTCCCATTGTGTTTCCTTTTCGATTATGTACCCGTCGCGTTCTCGATGGCTTTCGTTTTCCACAATTTGTTTTTCTTTATCCTCTTGTTTCCTCTATCTCTTCTCATTCTTCCCGCCTCCCTAAAGGTCAGATCCCATCCGGTGTGGGTCCGCATTCTCCTTTGCAACGGGCGAGTTTTACATGGTGGTTGAATTGCGAGTCCGGTTTGTTTCGTCTTTTTACTCATTTTTTTACCTGCTTTGATTTGATTCACGTCCCCTCGATTCGATCCAACGTAAGCCTAAGGTTGGCCACGAGGGGCTTCAAGCGACAAGGAAACTATCAGTCTATATGCTGTTGTCGGCGACTTATGCCGATGTTATATTGAGAGCCATCATGATCGTTTAAACTGCCCAGGTCACTTCTAGTACTAGTAAACCTGTCAGACAGCCCTGGTCATACTAATAGTATACTTGAGTTCATCAACAGACATTTACCAGCCCCTCACTCTCTCCATTCAACCCTACTCGACAAAACGTGTCAGGTGATGCTATAAAGTGACATGCCGCTGTACGCGGGGGTTATTCTAATTCGGGCCAATATCTGAAACAATCTCCGAATCGGAGTCAGCATAAGCCGTAGCTACTCCGTACACTGCATCAACACCAACACAGTACAGAGTATCCATGGCAAAGTTTCAAACTGAACCGTGGCGACCAGATCGTGTTTTTTATCAAATCTCCTTGCATGGTGTCTGGGGAAGGCGATCCGAACTAGTCAGGGCCTCCCCTCTGGCCCCTCACTGATTCTCCTATGCATTGTACACAATGTAGTTAGATCATAAGATCTGAGAGATCGCATCGCATGCCGGACCTATGCGGTTATGCGTCAGCTGCATAAATAAGGCTTCGAGTCGGCGGGTGCTTGCTTATATGTACCAGCATGTCTACAGTGAGTCCATGTACTACTAGTTATGTGGGCATAGATACAAAGTTATCCCTTCTCGCGCACCACCACCGCCCCCCTCCTATAATGTTTTAGGTTTACTAGCAAGACTTGAGAAAGAACTCCGGGACAGCCGGTTCTCAAAGGAGCGGTGAAGGTGATAGCCTCGAAGTATGTACGTAGCACCGACGGGAGAACGTCGAGGGGCTCGTCCCACGCAGTGACTGGACACGAGGGGAGCAAGCACCGACCGGGGGGAGGGGAAGACCGGGAGTTGTTCCAGCAGGCGCCGGCATTCCAAGCCGGGTCAGTCAGGTACGCGATAGAAATTAGATCAGATACTGAATCAGCACACGTCTGCCACTTATCGAGTGGAACCGTGTGGAGGGGTTGGACCGTGAGTCACGATGCTACCCAGCGAGGGAAGCAAGCAGACGCCGCATCCTGTACGGAGTAACACGTTTGATGGGGACCCGGTTGCCGCTTTGAGGAGACCGATGGGACAGGGCTGGATCTCATTTTCAGAGAGGTGGTGTGTAGCCAATGATGGAGAAAGTGGTTGCATGCACTATGCTGTACACTGCATACCTACAGCATCAATCGTGGCGTGTCTCAATCGCCCAGAATCTTCCCCCAGTGGTCCCTGCGCCCTGTGAGTCGAAGAATTGGGGAATCTAGGAATCCGAAGGGGAGGCGATCAGCGATCAGTGATCAGCAGCCACAACCGGGGCCCTATGGGAAGAGGGGAATGTGGTGCCTGGGACCTGCAATACGCTGCACAGTTTGGAGCCATAAGCACTACGACGGTAAAGAGCAAAGCTTCAAACTCTCAATCCTGGAGACGGAGACTCCGTTTGTACCATAATGCCTTGACCCCAACCCCTACAGGGAATGTTCGGGAGAGGCTGGGGGAGAATTGGAATGGAATCCCCAAGGTGAAGGGGGTGGAGCCGTGCAAAAAATGGAGGGTGACAATCCTTATTGTGCATAGCCCTACCCTGATGGTACGGAGCATTATGGAGAAAGACTCACACGAGCCACCCAGAGCCCACCAAGGGCGGCAAAAGCGAAGGTATTGAGAGATGTTCGGGGAGGGGGGCGTCATGACGATACCCTCGAGGGGAGTGATCGGTATCGTATGTACCAGCTTCACTAGGATCAGTTCAGGAGGCAAAAGGCGCAGCCACTTGTAGGCGCAGCTGGTGGGCAGATCTGCGACAATCTTTTCCGGATAAAGAATAGATCCACTCAGGTCGTCGACGTCACGTTGTTTTCTTCCGGCAGTGAGAGAAGATAAAAACAGAAAAACAGTGAGGAAACTGGTGGGAAGCGGTAAAGTGTGGATCAATGTTCGTGAAGAGTGTTGGGTGATTGGAGGAAGTGAAGTCTTGAACTTCGCCACTGCGGCCGCTCGACCGGCTTTGGTTGGTGCGTGACTCAGTGGATCCTTCTTTCGCTAGCGCATTGGTTGTACCGTGCAGTACATAATACATACATATAATACACTCCCATCACTGCACACCATTACAATACAGTGACCATACCAGTGCAAAAGACCAAAACACACCCATCGGCACCCCTCAATTCCACCTCCCACAACCACTTCGATTCTTCTCTTCTACAAATCTTCTTGTGCTATACCCCCAACTGCTCACTCGTCTTCGACTATTCTCCTTTTCTTTTATTCTCTCTTCACTTCACTTCACTTTCTACTTTCTGTATTCTTCTCTTCAAAGGGTGCTGGCCTTACCATCCATACCACCCTATCACAATGTCTGCCTTCTACAACCACCACCACTACCAGCAACAACACCCTCACGCTCACATGCCCACCCAAAATCACCACCACGGCCGTCGTCGGGCTCCCAAAATGGCTCAGCAGAACGCTCAGCGTCAGTTCCGTGGAGTCAAGAGCATGCGCGAATTGGCCGAGGCTCCCGCCGTCACTGCTTTCCGTGCTCGCTTCGAGGCCGGTCGCTCCTTTGATCTCGACGATGACCTGGAGTTCTGTCCCAATCTTTTGACCGAGGACGACGTATGTTTTGCTGATCCCAGCAAAGGGGAAAATCTCTTGAGAGGCAGGCGTGGGCTAACGGTTTCCTCTTCCCCCCTGCAGTTGCACTCCATCCACTCTGTCTCGTCCGACCGCTCCTCGCTCTCCAGCGGTTCGCCCGATACCTCTCCCCTGCAGCACCAAATCCAGCCGGTTCAGCAGGTTACCCCCTCTATCTCCCTTTCTCCTGCGCAGGCCAACTCCTATGTTCAGGCGGGCGTTGCTGGTAATCTTAATCACGCCAACTACCACCAGTCTGCCAACAACCAGGCCAACCGGACCCGCAAGGTTATTCCCATTGTCAACCCCAACACTGGAATGACTTTGGCTAGCCCGCCTTCCTCCATCTCCCCGGCCATGATGCAGGCGGCTCAGCGTCGATGGTGAGAACCTTTTTTCGGGTCTCTCCCCGGGCGCTAGCGCCCTCCGCCCTAGCGGCATGTTTCTATTGCACGTCACCTGAGCTTCTGCATCATCCGGTTGGTCCTTTAATCGCAGGTCCTAATATCTTGTTTTGCCTTTTTGGTCTTTTCCATCTTGCATTTCCCTGTCTCATACGGGCTGGGCTACCTTTGCATTCGATAACGACACCACTGGAGGGTATGTTTCCTTTCTCCTTTCTACGACAACGGCGATCGATCACAGTGATCGACAAAAAAACCTTCAAAAAACTCGAAAGTTCCTCGAAAATCCGGCTACATTGTATATACCACTCACCACACACCTTTTTTTTCCTTTCCGCCGATTTAACGACCTACACCTATATCTTTCGCCATATATCTAGATCTCTTGCGATGCTTCCAACTTGTTGCGAGCGATGGCGCCTGCGATTTGATTCTTTTTGCATCTTCTACCTACGATACCGACCGTCTCTCGGGTAGGGACGAGAAATTCCTTTCTCTTCTTTGGTCCTTGGTTTCCCCGGTTGAGGCCGACCGATGATGTATAGAATGGTGACTTGCTACTTGACGTGCATGTTCCATTGGAACCGGAGTTGATTTTTGTTCTTTTTGGAAAAGGGGAGGGTCGCTCGCGAGCGACTTGGACCCGAACCTCTCTTCTCTCTTCACCTATGCTGTGACTTATTCTTTGCCACGATTTCCTTACTCTTTCTGGATTCTCATTTCTTGGGGTTATTTTGCTCTTGGGGCGGGATGGATTTCACATTATCTTTTTCAAGGATCTAGAGGCGGAAACGATACACGT